AAAATAAAGCAAGGCACACGGACTCCCTGTGAGTCACTGGATAGAATTCAGAATCCATAAACTTAGAAGAAAAAATGATACCCTGATTCCCGTTAACCTCTGACTAAAATTTACTATTCCTGTCATTATAAACGTAGACAATAAATCCCAGTCACTGTGACTTTGTCACCAATTAAATCATAAATATTTTTATATGCCTTTACTGTGATATTTTAACTATTCTGATAACTATTTCATACAATCTGTTTGCTTTCTAACTCTAGATTAATTCCAGATAATTGAAAGTTTTAAACTAAAACTTTTCAGAAAACCTCAGGCACATCTGCTTACACGAGGTACACAGGGTACCCCAGGGATTTATTTTATTTATCCAGGGCTGATGTACCAAATCTCAAGATAAATGCACACGACTTCACTGAGACCTGCCAGCTCTCTCTCCAGAAGGCCATACTGTTTGATACCCCAGCAACAAGGTGCCAAGCTTCCCTCACCTTTGCCAATACGATCATCATCTTACCTTTAAATTCTTTTCTTTTAAGATTTATTTTGTTTATTTATGCATACAAGAACCGGGGTGTAGGCCAGAGAAATGGAGAAGAGGTGAGCGGATTCATTCACCAGAGACAGAGTGGGGAGCAGACCAGGCGGATTTACTGAAATACACTGCTGAGGGGAGCAGCAGGCGAGGCAGGAAATGTCTGCTGAGCCATGTGGGTCACCTCCCTGGCCGGGGATCGAACTGAGGCTGCAGTGGCTGGTGATAGCTTGATTGTGCTGAGACTTTAACCCTGTGCCACCAGGGAGGGCCCCTTTAAATGTTTTTTGCCAAATGTAAATTGTCAAGCGACATCTTATTGCCTTCACTTTGTTTCTGGGATTAGAAGCAGGTTGAGAAAAGACTTCCTGGTCATTTGATTTCCCCTCCTGAAAACTGCCAATTCATATCCTTCGTCCATCTCGCTCTAGCGTTTCCTGTCTTTTCCTTATTGATCTGTCTTCCTTCCACAGTTGCTCTACTATTTATTTGCTATTGTTCTGACCATTGAAAAGGGTTCCCCCTGTCCCGCCCACCCCACAGACACACTTTTTCAAACTTCTGTTAGTTTTGTCTAAGACATTCTTCAATGGGCAAAAGTCCATTTTTATATGGCCAAATTAGAAGACTTGAAAATGCATAAAGGAGTTCTTCCCACCCATATTTATTTCAAGTTCTTCTTCAAGTTATTTGCCTATTGTCCTATATTAGGACGCTTGTCTCTTGCTGACTTTAGGAATTACTGAAATACTCTAGATCCTAATCCCTCTAGGGGGTGCTAACTCCCTGACATTTCCGCCCTGTGCACAGACTGAGCACACCAGCGACCAGGGTATGTTTCTGGTAGGAAGTCATGGGCATTTCCAGGAATGTCTGCTCAAGCAGGAGGGGACCTCTGGGTGGCGGAGGGTGTGGGCGAGGCACTGCCAGCACCTGCTGTTCCCATTCTGGTAGTTTCCTAGGCTTCCATAGCCACGGACCACGGGTAGTTTAAATCCACAGAAATTTATTCTTTCACAGTTCTAGAGGCTAGAAGTTCAAGATCAAGGTGTTCGCGGGGTTGGTTCATTTTGAGGAGTCTGTGGGTGAATCTACTCCTTGCCACTCTCCTACCTCTAGGGGTGGCTGGCCATCCCTCCCTCCCTTGAGCTGCAGATGCCTCGCTCCCTCCTCTACCCGCATCGACACATCTCCATCTCCCTGTGTCTCTGTGTCTTCACAAGACCATCTTCTCACACAGACGCCAGTCATTTTGGATTAATGACCCCCACCCCCTTCAATGTGACCTTATTTTGACTAATTGCATCTGCATCTGCAATGACCCTATTTCCAAAAGAGGTCACACTCTGGAGGCTAGGACTTCTCTCTTTTGAGGGGACACAATTCAACCCATTGTACCCACTTTGTCCACTCTGAGCATCCACCCATCCTGGGCCCCCTGTCATCTGGGAAGCCTTCTCCAACCCATCTCTCTCCCACCATCTTCTCCACCACTCCCTCCGGGCAACTGGCTCTTGGATATTGCCAGGGCGCTCAGGACCTGATCCTCTGTCCTGGCATCTTCTACCTGTCTACTGACCTGCCTGTCTCTTCACAGGAGTATGAGACCTCCCAGGGAAGGTACTGAGCCTCACTCACCTGGCGCCCTGCACAGGGCCTGATGCACGGGATTGTAATAGGAGCTCACCTGTGTTGCGTGCTCCCCATGGGCCAGTCACTGTGCTAAGAGCTTTACACACGATTTACCTCATTCCTTTTTTACAATAATCCTAGTAAACAGTGTTAGTGTAGAAACCGAAGGATTGACTGAAACAAAACTCAAACACGTTTAAGCAAAAAGTTAATTATTGGCTTGCAAACAGATTTATGAACTTCTAGGACAACCCTTCCCTGGTCCAGGCAAGAAGCGCAGCCAGCTGCATAGGCTTAAGTCAAAACTGGCTCTGCCCTGTTTGTGAACTCCCCATGCCTGCAGAGACACATCAATTTTCACTCTCCACCAGTGACCAACAACCAGCTGAAGACTTTAACCGCGGTACCCTGCACTTAAAAGTCAAGAAAATGACTTAAAAGTACCGTCCTTAAAAGTCAAGAAAATGATTCAGGCATAGCTTTTGCCCTCCTCTGTACATAAAAGGCACCGCCATTCCACTAGGTCAAGACAACAATCAAGGAAATCCAAAGATCTATACCTACAGATGAAAACCAGAAGCACCTGTCAAAATAATTACACTTTTACCATCAATGACTCACGGCTCTTTTTCTTCCACACTATGTTATACTGTAACACGATGTATAAACTGAACTCTAACTTGTCACAGGTGGAGCAGAGCTCACAGAATAAAACATGTCAGATTTTTTTTCTGGGTTGGAATCCTCATTTGATTACCTAATAAGCTCTTTGCATAACCAGCGCTAAGACTTTTTATTTCTATTAACAGTTTCAATTTATGACCAGCACAGGTAGAGAGCTTTTAAGGTGCCAAGGGCCACCATGAGTCCAAGTTCTCCTGGCTCTGTGGACCGAGGGGTCCATCCTGAGCCTGGGCAGGGCTGGGCTGAGCTGGAGGGGGTTGAAACCACAGGAAACAAGGAACTGGCTGAGGTCCTGCCAGGTCTGACAGCCACGGGAACACCATAACCTTTTCCCAGTTGTCATTATACCTGGTCCCCAAAAGCTTCAGATGACCCCCATGTTAAGTGGGCACACCTTGTGCCAGTACATTCTGTGCTATCTTTTCTCAAACCCAGGAGGAGCCTTTGGGGTGCTGGTGGTACAGGGATAGAGGAGGCAGAGCACATTCCAGCCGGTTTCTCCTGCAGCCCGCCTCCCATCCAGGAAAGGGCTCTAGATGCCAAAGGTCTCCATGCAGGAGGAGCCCCGTGTTTCTCTGGAGGGCTAGATATGTGGAAAGGGGAGTATGAGGAGTCTTAAGAGAAGGGAGGAATGAGGAAGAGGAAATGAGACAATCTTTGCCCAACTCTAGTGTCTACCCAGCTGGGTCTCCCTGCGGCTGAGCACAGAACACAAGGGGGCCAGACAGCAGGACACACCGATGCCAGCATGCAGGGCATGGAACTGGTACCTCATTTTCTGCCACCCCTACTTTCCCCCCTTCTCCTTCCCCACCCAAATCTTCAGAGAAGCCCCTAATTCACTCCCGCTGGGCATCTGGGAGCAGCTGGACTCCTCTGGACACTCTTAACTGGTGTTCTGCCCCTCTCCCAGGGCCAAGCCACTTGATGACAATCACTAATTTACTTAGAATCCCAAAGGGGCTCTCCAGGCCCTCCAACCTCGCTCACTTGTGTATATTATCTCATTCAATCCTGTTGAGGACTCTGTGAGATTCTTCCAGTGCACCCATTTTACAGATGAGGATACAGGCTCAGAGAGAGGGCCTGGTGTTCTCAAGGTTATGAACTAATAAATGGCAGACTTCCATCCTCGCAGGAGAACAGAGATTATCACTCCCGCCGACTGCAGAGGTGAGGAATCTGCTTCACAGCGGTCAAGGAACGCGCCAGTGGTTCAACATGTGGAAAGTGGTGGAGCCAGGATGCAAACCCATTTCGCTGACCACCAATCCAATGTCCATTTTGCCCATGAAATTAAAAGGTAGAGGGTCTTAGAGGTCCCCGTCAGCTGAAATGCTTTTAAATTCTGGGGGTTGCGTCAACATGGAATTGAAAGGGGAAGGAACAGATGAGAATAAAATTCTTCCTGGCCTCCCTGCGGCCTAGGGGCTGGAGTCAGCACTATCACCACCTAAGCCTGAGTTCAATCCCCGGCCAGGGAGCTACCCCTAAGGTCCAGCAGACCTCGCCTGTCTCCCCACTGCTCCCCTCAGCAGTGTATTTCAGTAGACTGGCCTGTCCTGCTCCCCACTCTGTCTCCGGTGAATCCTCTCACACACACACACCCCCACCGCCGCACCCCTGGTCTACACCCCACTTCTTCTACTCAATAAATATGTTTATAAAAACAATTCCTCCTTGCTGCTCTGCCTCACACTTCCTCACTCAGGAAGCCAGAGCCGCTGTCCCAGACCTGCCCTCTCAGCCTCATCCCATCGGCATCTCTCAGATGAGAGTAAAAGGCACTCAACAAGCTAAGGCATTTCAATCCTTGGAGCTTGACCTTCTAGACTTCAGTCTGACCCACTGGGCACTCTTCCCCAGGAAGGCGATCACAGTCACCCCTAAACAGAGGCACCTCTGGACACGCGGAGAGTGGGCGGTGAGGAAGACTGATGCGCTCGTGGGCCGTGTCCTTCCACCGCCTTCCCCGAACCACTGGTGGGAGCGGGGTGGGGTGCCCGGGTGGGGTGCGCCGCCCCGCCCCCGCCCGGCAGGAGCGCACCTCCAGCCCGCAGGGCACACCCTCGGGGAGGAGCCTCGGTGGGTGGGCCCGCCTAGGCCGGCCGACCTCGGTCTTCTCTGTCCTCCGCCCCAGGGGACCGACATGGCCCAGGAGCGTCCTGCCGCGGGCCTGGAGCCCCAGCAGGTCCAGCGACTGCTGCTCACCTGCCAGGAGGCCAAGAAGTCGGCCTACTGCCCCTACAGCCACTTCCCCGTGGGGGCGGCCCTCCTGACCCGGGACGGGAGGATCTTCTCGGGTAAGGCGGGTGCGGGCGGCAGGTGGGCCGGGAAGGCGGGAGGCACAGCGGGGAGAGCGCGCAGCTTCCCCTCCAGGCTGGGCTCCCCTGGAACTCGGCTTTGCCTCTGCCCCCGCCCTCCCGGACTGTGGGGCAAATTTAGGGGCTCACAGATACAGGCTGTCTGGGAGCGGGAGGTGCTGGGGGCAGGAGGAGGGGAAGGCGAAGCCACGAATCCAGCGCATCCGCTGCTCTGGGGAGAGACAGGCCAATACCAGGCTCCCACCAGCCGCCCCCTCAGCCCTCACCCCGCCCGCTGGCCTGCGCCTGATGCCCATTTTTCAGTGAAGAAACCGAGAGCCAGAGAGGGCTTGACTAGGTTAAGGTCACACGGAGCACTGGGCGTAGACCAGGGCTGGCTGCCGTCCCCCAAACCCTGCTCTTGTCCACTCACCCACCTTGCTGGGAAGGCTGGGAAGCAAGTTGGTTGGCTGGGAAGGCTGGGAAGGCAGCAGGCTGGGTGACTGGATTCCCGCAGTTGGCAGATGCAGGCCTTGCACCGAATCAGAAGCTGGTTGGCAGGACCAGCGACGGCCCTGCCAGGCTGGTGGGGAAGTGAGGACTGGCATCCAGCTACACCAGTCTGTTCCTAAGCTCCGTGTCTGTGGCTTGTTGTTTGTATAGAAAAGTTCACTTGAAAAAAAATTGAAATTTGTGTTCTCTCTCAGGACAGAGGGAAACATGGGGTGCAGGTGGAGGGGAGGTTGCGGGTGCAAACTGGCACAGAACCCAGGCAGGAATCCCCCTTCTGCTAGGAGGGGCAGCCGAAAGGCCCAGAAGCTCACCTCTGTCCATCTGCACCCCCAGCAGCTCCAGAGCCAAGTTCTCCTTCAGGCTCATGTTATCTCTTGTCTTTTGAGGTTTCAGACCTGTTCACCTGGGTCTTACACATCTTTGAGCGGGAGGAGTAACCTTGATGGAGAGCTCGGGGTGACGAGAGCGTGACTAATATCCACGCAACCCCTCCCACCCTCTCTGCAGAGAGGAGAGCTGAGATTCTAAGAAGTTAAGCAACCAAGATCACAGAACTGGGTATCGAACCCAGAGATGGGAGTCGGAATTCCCCTGACCCCCAGGTCTGCTGTTCTATGGGCAATAGAGAACCCCTGAGGGTCTCATGGAAGCTCAGGCCTGCCCTGCTCGCTCAGATGATTATTAAACATTAACCACAGCGTGCACACTGCCCTGGGATCCAGGACCAACCAGCCACTGGTTCTTTCTAGGGCCTCCACCTCTGCTCCAGAGGTGCAGAGAGAGGGGCCTCCCCATCCTTACAGTGATTCAGTCATTGACAAATATTTGCTAAGTACCCACTGTATGCACAGTAATGATTTTCCGAGCACCCATTTTATGCACATTAATGAGGGTGGTCCTGCCAACCAGCTTGTGATGCCAGGCCATGAGGGTGGGCCGTCCACCGTTGGTGATTGTGGAAGGAGTGCATGAATGTGGGGAGTAGTGTGGTGGTTTAAATCGCTTGGAAGGATCTGGTGTCAGCAGAGGAATAGTCCTACGGTGGGATTTAGGGGACCCAATGGGGTGGGGTGAAGGCTCTGGGGTTAGAGGCTCCTGGGCTCGCTGCGGTGCTGCTGTTTATCTGCTGCATGACCCTGCACCCCTCTCCTCTCCCTGCCAAGCCTCAGCTTGCCCACTTGCCAGGGGAGGGCACATCCCACTGTGCAGGATGGCTGTGCAGAGCTGGGGGCCTGCCTGGCTGTTACTGGCTGTGCCACATCAGTCCTGCCACAGGCTCTGTCTCATCCCGGTTGGGAGGCTCTAGGTGGGTTTCTGCCTATAGCGCTTAGTGTGGTGTTGGACCCACAATAGGAACATCATGTGGGTGCCCTCCTACTGCTGCTATTAGCAGGATAGTGATGTGATAATGATGATTAGAGGCAGCTGATGAAGGGTGTTTGCCGGCCAAGCAGACACTGAGATTTGCTGCAATGGGAAGTAGGGAGCCAAGGAATGTTGTTAATTTTTTTAAAGATTTACTTATTTATGCATACAAGAGCTGGGGTACAGGCCAGAGGTGCGGGGGGTGAGAGGATTCACCAGAGACAGGGTGGGGAACAGAACAGGCAGACTGACTGAAGTACACTGCTGAGGGGAGCAACAGGTGAGACAGGCGAGGTCTGCTGCGCCATGTGAGTCAGCTCCCTGGCCGGGGATCGAATTCCTGCTGCAGTGGCTGCGGACAGCTTCATAGTGCTGTGTCTTAACCCCTTGCACCTCCAGGGAATTAAGAGTAACATGAACGTGGTGCTGGAGGACAGTTAGTCTGCCAGATGCTCAAGGACAGCCGGGTGGAGGAAAGAGTGTGAGTGAGCAGTGTCTGTCTTGTTTGACCTTCCCCGCCGCCAGCACTGTGCCCAGGCTGTTGCCGGGCCTCGATTCACATTCGCTGGAGACACGAATGAACGGCTCAGGCTTGGACAGCAGACAGAGGAAGGAAAGATCTGAGAGAGGTTGGGGGGACGAATGGACCGGGTCTGGGATGGGCAGCATTAGAAAGAAGGAAAGGAGGCGGTGCGCAGATTTCCAGCCAGGTGGCCCTGGGCAATGATGAAGCAGGAGGGAGGAGGAGGAAGGCAAAGCTGGATTGTTCTGGGGGCGTGGCAGACTGACAGCTGACAGGTGAGGCAGCCGATTCAGTGGCTGGAGCCTTCAGGAAGCACTGGGTAAGGAAGTGTCACCTCTCAGCCTCCACCTGAGGGGGTGGTGAGTGTCACGGATGTTAGTCAGAGCCTTTCCTTGCAATGGGCTGGGATAGATCAGTGTCAGGGAATTCGGAAACGCAAATGCCCTGGGCCCTTTTTCTTCTGGGTGCTGGTTTCTTTCTCTTATCCTACAGGTGGCATCAGGGGACGTGTGTCCAGTGAGCATGTGGTTTATCCTACAGCCTCAGAAACAGAAAGAGCTCTTTGCCCCTAGTTCAAGATGGGCAGTTCAGGGAAATCTCTCGTGGGTCCACCTGCAGGCACACGTGTGCCTGGTTAATCTCTGTCATGATGGCGAGTGTGATCTGGCTAGCTCATTCATGTATTCCTCCGCCCAGGGGCCTGGGTGGATTTGTAACCACAGGAGGAGCGTGGGGCTGCCCAGAGGCCAAACTAATAGCCAACACACCCATATTTTATGAACGAGATAACGGAGGCCTGGCTGTACCTGATTCCAAAGGCCGTGTTCTTCTGCCCCCACTAACTGCAGGATGGATGTGCCAGAGGGCGAGGAGACTTATGCTGAGGAGGGGGCCAGACCCAGGGTGCCTCCCGGAATTCCTAGGTCTCCTTATGGAGATGGAAAGGAAGTGGGTGTAGGTGATGTAAGGTGGGCCTGGGAGGGTAAGGGACCTTGATCTACTGGACGAACCCCAGAGGGCAACTCACCCTGTAGGAAGTGAGTTAGAGGGGATCAGCCGCACTGCTGAATTTAGCAGGCTTAGAGTAGGGCAGATGTCCCTGTTCTGTGCTTCTCCAGCCTCCGTGGCATTTGTGCCCTCAGAGGCAGCTGTGTCCTGTCCACTCCACAACAGCAGGTCTGGCTGCAAGGACAGGCCTGCTGGCATGGTCTCCTCGTAGGGATAGTTTTCTTGTTACTCAACCCTGGAGGCCTGTGGCCCTCCAAGATGGACCACCACGAGGGTAATGAGTAACTTCTAGCATGCTGTGGGGACAGCCTCGGAACCGGGAGGAGGAGCCGCCAGGGAAGAAAGAGCTGCTGAGGAAAGGGGAGGTGAGGACAGAGCAGCAGGGGGCATGTGTCATGCTTGTGGGGCAGAGGAGGCCCGGGAGGGGTCAGGGAACCAGCCCAGCTGTGTGGAGCTGGAGGAGATGGGTGGAGAGTCACAGAGGATGCTCACTGCATCATTGAGGGAGGGTGCTAGTCTCCTTAGTTCATCCTCTCAAACACTGGTCTGTTGATCCCTCTCTTCTCTCCAGGGACATGGACTTTCTCTGTGTCCCAGGCATTTAGGGGAAAAGCCATTTTACTGGATCAGCTGTAATGAATTCTGGGAGGAACAAACCACAGGACACTTAAGGACATCCTGGTTAATCATTCAATAGCATTTGCTTTGCTTTACTCTTTAGATCTGGTCCATCTTGCCCCAGACCAGTCTCTGCCCTTCTGAGGCCTCCCCAGACTCTTTTCTCCCTTCACTTACTTTAAGGCCACCCCTCCCTCACCCCACCCTGGCACTCCCAGGGGCATCAAACCAGGCTTCCCTGAGCGGATTCCCCACCTACAGCCCTGTTTGTCCACCCCACGCCATTTCCATAGTCTCCCCACCCAGTTCTACTGTCACTCTAAAGGGGATCATTACAAGACGAGCAACACTAAAAGCCCTGACTCTAAAGGTGCTAGAATATCATTCACCCCTGAAACTGCGGCCCTACGGCTGTCGGGAACCCAGGAGGGTGCAGTATTTCCTCAAGCTCCTGGACATGACATTGCTCTATCCAGTGAGTCTTTGAAGTGGGCCCAGACCACAGGCTTAGCACTCCCTGGCAACCTGCTAGAAATGCAAGTTCCTGGGCCCCACCCAGACCTGCAGCAGCAGCTCCCGGGGTGGGGCTCAGAGGCCTGTGTTAAGCCTCCCACATGCTGAGGCCACTGCCTGAGGAGCTCTGTGCCCATCCCAGTGGGACCCCTCAGAGGACAGCAGTGCACAGCTTGTCCAGCCCGAATCTCCTCTGGGTGAACTGCCTTCCTTGCTGGTGTCTTGATGACATTCGACTTAAGCACCAAACCACCTCAGAAGAGGTGTTTTGAATGCTGTAGGGGAAAAGGATGGTCCTGTGTAAGGGACAGGCCAGAACGTGAGTCCTGCCTCTCACCAGCAGCATCAGAATTTACCTTCTGTAAAATGGGGCTGTAATAGTATCTGCCTTTTGGAGCTGTCAACGGGATTAATGACCTGGCACAGGTAAAGTATTCCCCAGAGTACCTGACAGGTAAAAGAAAAGCAATGAGAGAATCAAAGAAAGCAAGTAATAATAGCAGTTAGTAATTGTAGTACTATTTGACCCCTTCTTTTAATCACGGATTCCCGGCTTGGCACTATCCAGTCTGTCTCGCGTGTTTCAGAGCCAGTGAAGGCAGCCGGGAATGGGGGTGGTTTGCCTGTGTGGCTGGTGGCTGTTGTCTGGGCTTATGAAGGCAAAACAAAATTGCCTGGTCTTTCAGGATCAGTGTCTGGTCAGGGGCTTCCCCCACCCCTTTCTTCTTTTAAGCTAGCCTGGGAAATTACACCAAACAGGCTGGAGGTCTCTTTGCATCGCAGGAATCTAGCTCTGACGTGGGCATGTCCACTAGTAGGAAGTAACAAGGGCTCACTCGCCTCACTGTTCTAGGCTCTGGAGCCGGAATATATACTATGGACAAAAGTCCTGTCCTCGGGGTGTTTACACTATGATGTGGGCTTTAAGTAGCCAAGACATTTATTTCAGGAAAGTGTTGGTGCCATGAGGAAAATGAAAGCAAGATAAAATGGAAAGTGATAAAAAGAAAAAGCAAGAGGTTTGGAGGTGCTGGGGGAGAGAAGTAATTTGAGAAAGGGTGATCAGGGTAGGCTGGTCAGAGGAGGTGACATGTGAGCAGATACCTGAGTAGGGTGAGTCATGTGCATATAGGAAGAGGAGTGTCCAGGTAGTGGCACCAGCCAGTGCAAAGGCCCTTTGGCAGGAGTCTACATTGGGGTCTTTGGGAAACATCTGGCAGGCCCACAGGCCTGGAGAGTAAAAGGACATGAGGTCCAAGACGTAAGTAGGTTGGCACCAGCTTGTGTAGGTCCTTCTAGCATGGAAAGGCCTTCAAAGTGCCTGGAAGACCAAGGCAGGGCCAACTGACACACCCTGTCTGGAAGGAACAGAGACTGTCTCACAGGTCTACCACTGACAAAACCTTGATTTTCATGCAATTAATCAGAGCAGCTGACAGCTGTGTAACACTTACTCAGTGCCAGGCTTTGTACTAATTGCTTTACATGATTTCAACTTGTTCTCAGGAAAGGCCTGTAAGGAAGACCCTGTCATTATCACTTCACAAATGAGGACACTGAGCTTCAAGGAACTCAGTCTCTTTCCCAAATTCTCAGAGCCTAGAGGGCAAAGCGTCCCAGTGATAGACAGAAACTACAGGCTCTTTACAGAGTTCTGTGCATCCAAGAGGCCATTCTCCAGGGCTCCAGGGCTGACACTGGCAAGGTCCTGACACGGGCCTTCTGCAATCTGGCAGTTTGCTTTAACAGCACATCAGCAAAATTTAAGATTTGCATGAATCCCATCTAATGGGGAAAGTGCCCCTGAATTGCGGCAGGGCTGGGAGATTTGCTAGACAAGGCTGGCAGGATCTTAATATGGGAGAGGCAGAAAACACAGTTGGGTCAAAGACAGGAAACACATGAAAGCCGCAGGTCCCTGCAGTTATCTAACCCGCTGGGCAAGAAGTGCGAAGCTACCCCGCCGTGGTGAATTAATCTGCCCCTTACGCTGCCCCGGCTCCCAGCCTGTGCTTTGAGATGGAGGCATTGAAGAGCAATGAGAATTGGAGGTCCCGGGGAAGAGCCCCAGCCCGGTGGGTCAGAGGGTCTCCCCACGTTGCCTTTCCTTCTTCCGACCTTGTCGAGAGTCAAGCAAGCCTCTTCCTCGGCACACGCAACAGGAAGTGGGTCTGCTGGAAATACCACCAGGCTCTCCTCTCTTCACAGGGTGCAACGTAGAAAATGCCTGCTACACCTTGGGTGTCTGCGCAGAGCGGACGGCCATCCAGAAGGCCATCTCAGAAGGGTACAAAGACTTCAGGGCAATTGCTATCGCCAGGTGAGTAGGAAAGTCAAGTGACAGCAATATCTATGCACTGATTCAGCCAACATCCACTACACACCTATTATTCATTCACGTGTTTGTTTTGCGCACCCTGTGTGCCAGGCATGGGCCTGAGTGTGGAGGATAAAGGAGATAAATGAGAAATGGACTCTGTCCTCAGTGAGCTACAGAGCAAGTAAATAACCAAGACATCTTGGTTGACAAGGACAGGTGTGCTTCTGGCCTCGTAACAGCACAAAGTGCAACACAACCCCAAGAAGCAATTGCAAGGTAGCATGGATACCTGAAGCTGGAGGGACCTAAAATCACCTGGTACAAACTCCCTGGCCTCTCCCCCCATTTTGCAGTTGAAAAAACAGGTACAGGGAGGATGAGCAGCTCCTGGGAGCTAGTGGCAGAGCTGGGGCAAAACCTGGTCTCTGGGGGCTCACTCCAGTGCCTATTCCACTGCACCATGCTGTGCCAGGAGATCACACTCTGTTCCCTGCTCGCCTCGAGCTGGTCCCCGAATCCAAGCTGACTCCTTCACTCAGCAGCTCTCACCTCCTGGTGCCAGAACCGGGATACAGAGACAAGCTGCTGGCGGCCTGCCAGCCAGGGAAACTATGACTCAAACGAATCAGATTCCAGCCCAAGTCCCAGCTGAACAGCGCGCTCACCAGCTCTCTCTGCATGCCCCAAATGTAAGTATCCAAGTTCTCACATGCGTACCCCCAAAGAGAACTTATTAAGTTCTTGTTGGCCCTGGACCTAGACTCAGTGATTTTAGGATTCAAGCATGTAAACGGGCTGTTTTATTAATTTGGACACCATTATGCCTCTCATTTAGCGGTGAATTGCTCTTGTGTGTACCCTCACATTGTCTGGGAGAGAGAGCAATCTCAGCAAGTTAACGATGCAGAGAAGATAACATGGCAGATGTTTAACCTGCCCAGAAAAGGCTGCATGACTGGCCCAGGGCCGGTCTTTGGGGATGTCTGGCCACATGGGTCACATCCTTAGAGTGAATTACTTCTTCATGGTGGTGGAACTACAGGATCTTCCTGGCAGAAAGGCAAGCAGCAGAAATGTAGGGACCCCCAACAAAAAGGATGGCGTCCTGTGATGAAAATGAGGCCCCCTTTCTTTTATAAGATCCCAAACTTTGCAGCATTTGGACCCTGAGGTCGTCCAGGTATTGTAGGTTTTTTCCCAAGTCTCTGGCACCAGTGGCACACTTGGGGAGGAGACCCCAACTTCCAAGCACTCTCCCCCTGACCGATGTCTGTCCTGGCCTCCCTCTGGCTTTGGGAAGAATAATGAGGTCATGCTGGAAAAATTTCACGCAGATGAGCAGAGATCAGAATGTGAATTACACTTTGCAAAAAAAAAAAAAAAAAAAAAAGTGGGGAAAATCGCTCAATTTCAGAGCTGACCCAACAAAATAATGACATTCTGGGGGAAATGTCAAAGTCAACACAAGGGTAATGGCATCGCGGCCTCGCTCTGTTTAGAACGCCCCGAATGACAGGCTTTTTCTCTCAGTCATTATCTGCTTTTAAACATGACTGGGTATTGCTGGTGATAATTAGCAAATCTCCTTATTTACACAAAACCTGCATTTTCCCCGCACCCAGCCGCTCATCTCTGGGATTCAGCCTGCACCAGCATCCCCAAGCCAGGGACTGTCATTACTGCACTAATGATTTGTTAAATTGAGAGTATGGATTTAGAGGATGGAGGGAAAATGCCAGCTCCCTTGTTAACACTGATGGGTGTGAACAGCCGAGAGAGCCCCTTGGAGATGTGAAAGATGAGGAGAGCAGAGCACACAAATGGAATCTTGCTAATGGGGACAGAAGCTCGCCCCACTGGGGTCGCCGTTGTTACCATCACAGTCAAAAGATTTCCAGGCTGTTGAGTCTGATAATTGGCTTCAGTATGACCAAGGTCAGGGCAAACCACAGGGAACCGTCACTGCTCAGAACAAGGCCTGAGCGGTGCAGGGCAGGGGCTCAGGAGAAAGGGGACATGAGGAGGGGACAGCCAACGCCCCCAGCAGCATTCTGGGGTACGTCTTCCTCCAAGCACTCAGCTCTCACTGTTGGCAGGAATATAGAGTCATCGTTAAATGTCCAGGCTCCCAGGCTCATGAGAACTTTTTCAAATCCTGCTCTGCTGCTGACCTTGGACATGTTGCTGCAACAATCCGAGTCTGGCTTTTCACCTGTGAAGTGAAGGACAGTGACACTGACCCATCGGGCTGTCGTGGGGACTGAGGAAATGATTTCTGAAAAGCTCCTGGCACAGAGTACGCAGTAAATTAAAACTCTTGTTTGCAAGTTATCATCATGTGATCACTGCGAAGCTACCCACGGCAGAGTACGCAGGGCCTGGGTTCGATCCTGGCCCTGTGACTTTGGGCGGGTCATTTCGCTTTCATGATCATGTGGGTAATATGAGCTGTACAGAGCACCTGCCTGCTAGGGTTGTTAGGGGACAACAACCTTACAGGTGTTAATTCATCTGATAGATGTGAGGCCCCAAGCTGAGCACCCGACACAGATGTGCAAGGTAAGTCAGGCTGACTTCCAGCTCTCGGAGCTGCCTGGATGCACCGGCTTGTGTTCTGTGGTTGACCCCTAGGCCAGATCAGCTTCCCAGTGGGATACATGTTCACACACACCCTTGGAAACCTAATGCAGGTCGCCTTGGCCAGGGAGCCATCCCCGTGGCCACGCACGGCACAGACTGGGAAGGAAAGTGGTGAGCCTGGCAGGGGCTGGTTCGTAGAGGAGAGCAGCTGGCTTCACACAGAGCGCCTCTCCCAGGGGCCTGACCGCGCCCTGCCTGCTTCATAGCATTTCCACGCAGAGATCCTCTCCCTTCCCAAACAGGAAGGTGGAGTTTGAAGTCAGGGATCCTCCGCCTGGTCTTGGCTGTTCCTTCAGGCTGGTGGTCAGCATGTGTGGAGGGAAGTGAAAGAGAATAGATTCCAGCTTCCAGAGAGCTCACAAGAGGCTCTGGCCACCGCACTGTGACCTGGTCATCTTCAGGGTTCATTTGGCTCAGAGGGCTCACCCTTTGTGGTCCCGTGGGCTTTTTTTCTGAAGCTGGGGTGTGCTCAGACTCCACCTTTTCATGGACCAGAATCTATAAAATGGAGTTATCACGAGGATGAAATACAACAGCCCATCCCTTGTTCTCCCTCCACTGCTTTATTCGATTCATAGCATTTCTCTTTGTTTCTACTCGATACATGGCTGGCTGGCTCCCCTGATTCGTCAAAAACTCCTGAGTGCAATGAATTTTGTCTGTTCTGTTCACTGCCACATCCCCAGCACTGACGGTGCCTGTCAGTGAGGCATTATCTCCTAGTGGGTGTCCCATAACTATCTGTTAATTAAAATGAGACAGTGGGCTTCCCTGGTGGCGCAGCAGTTGAGTGCTGGGTTGCAAAGCTGCCTGCAGCCTCTGCAGCACCAGTTCGATCCCCAGCCACAGGGCGAGGGTCCCACATGGTGCGCAGACCTCTCCTGCCACTGCTGCTCTCCTCAGCAATATATTTCGTCAGTCTGCCTGTTCTGCTCCCCGCTCTGGCTCTGGTGAATTCTCCCGTGCTTCTGACTGTACCCAGTGCTTGTATAAATAAATAAATAAAATCTTTAAAATAAAATAAAATGAGACAGTGCATGTAAGGTGCTTTGCTGGATGCCTGTCACATTCTGGGTACATATTAATGTAAGTATTGTTAATATGTAATCAAATAAGTTAATGATGAAATAATACATAAAGCTAGTAGTATATAATAAAACAATACATGATAAGGTTCTAAAATGATGCCAGTTTATATATGTAAGGGAATGTAGGATAAGCCATTAATTATCAAGCTGTGATTAATACAGGCAATAACCATCTATGTGTAGCATTCTAAAGTTTGTATAGCGCTTAGGACATCTTTTATCTTAGGACATTTTATTGTCTTGCATTCCTACAAAGTAGATGACATTATTGCGCACATTTTACAGGCAAAGAAATGACCCTGCGTGGATTAAAATGATCTGGTCAAAGTCACACATAGTTAACAAGAAGAACTGATCAAGAAGCAAATTTTAAATCCCACATTCCTCTAGACTTATCAAAGGGCTGCGGGTCTAGAAGGGCAAGGGTGGTGGTGGCCGCTGTCTAAACTTCAAGTGCTCCAGCAGGCTTCAGGCCTCCTGCAGTTAAATCTGTCTTTTTTGTTGCGTCGGACAACACCACACTGACAAATGGGAGTCGTGGAGCAGGCTACATAATGCAGGATGCTGCTGAAGAGCAAGATCCTGGCCCTTTTATTGACACACATAATTGATTGTAAGGAGATTAAGGAGATTAAAGAAAGGGGAAGGGTGTAGAAGATTAGGGATTCTGAGTCTACCCTCCAGGTACTTCTAATCTACTTGATGATACACCCTAATCCCCAGCCATGGTTCTGATCTTATCAACAAGGCACTCCACTGATCAGCTTCTGGGGTCCCTTGTCATACATCGGTCCTCAGCCCCCCGAGCGTTCCCGGTCATACCTCGTGATGTATAAGTCGGGAGTATGTGTTATGCATCGGTCCTCAGCCCCCTGGACATTCTGGACATACCTCCTGATGCACATGCTATGCATCAGTCCTCAGCCCCCTGGACATTCTGGACATACCTCCTGATGCACATGTTATGCATCAGTCCTCAGCCCCCTGGGCATTCTGGACATAGTTTGTGATGCATAACCTTCTCAGTATGATCCAGCTTTGCGCTCTTGTTTGATTTGAAGGGCTTAAGGGTTGGGTTCCTGTTTCTAACTGGCCGGGCCACTTTTACCTTGTTTAGGTGACAAAATGGCGGCCAAATAGGCTGGCTAGGAGTAGCAGACCCACATTTTTAAGCATCATCCTTCATCCTGCTCAGAGCTGAAGGATGGCCTGTAGGTCCCTAAATCCTCAGAAGTGATCCCTTGACTGTGAGCTCCTCACCTCCAGACTGTCTCAAATGCAAGGAGCCCATTTTCCTCTGACTCACACACACTTTCTTTCATGCCTCAGAGCCTTTGCACATACTACTTCCTGCCCTACAGAAAAATGCAGAACTTCCAAATAGCACCTGTTTCTTCTTCACACTGAGCCTCTTTCCTTGCAGGTAGAGTGGTCATTCTGACACTCAGGTTGTCCTCAGAATTAAATGAAATAATGGCTGTCGAGTGCCTGGGACAGATCTTGGCACACAGTGGGTCCTCAGTAATAGTGACCTGTGCCTCCTCCAAGGACGGCGTCAAATGCCATAAAACATTTTCTCTCCACAGATCAGGATTGTTTTTCTCTTACCATGTGCACTTATTGCATTTTGTCTAAAATGATAACTCATCTGGTTTTCTATATCACCCACTGGGTTGAGCAATCTCTTGAAGGTCAGAGACAAATTCTCCTTAATTTTTGTGTCCCCAGGGTGTGGGCAGCAACAGTAAGTACTCACTAAATGCTTATTGGCTGCACTAACACAAACAACGTTCTTGCTTGTGGTCTGGCCTCTTGGGAGTGTGGAAAGCCGCCAGGCATCTTCTCCTCAGCCTCTGGGACACAGTGTGTCTGTGAGCTGGGAACCACCTGGTGGGGTTTGACCTCATCTGGAGTGGGGCGGGACTCAGGCCTGAATCTTAGCAATTGTCCTCATACCTCAGGAGACTAATCCATGTTTGATTCTGTTTCCCCAGTGACTTGCAAGATGATTTTATCTCACCATGTGGGGCCTGCAGGCAAGTCATGAGAGAGGTAAGCAGATTCTCTTTCTGGATACAGACAGGATGCCTCCTTGCTTTCTCAAGCTGTGGGAGCAAAGGCGGGCTACCAACCAGGAGACGCAGCTACTGTCCTGTTTGCTCAGTGGGCCGATTTCTGAGCTCCCATGAATCACTGGAAATTATTCTCAAATTCAACAAATAATTGCTGAGTGTTTTCTCTGTATTGGGGACTAAACTAGTTCTGGGGAGACAGCAGTGAAAAGACAGACCAGCTCCTGCCCTCACAGAGTTCATAGTCTAGTGCAGGAGACTGACAATAAACAAAGAGCAAAATAAATAAACAAACAGTATCAATTCTGAGAGGGTTGAGGATTTCAAAGAAAAAATAAAAAACATAGAAAAAGGAGTTGGAATGGCAGAAGGGGCAGCAGGTGATACTCTAGATCAGAGTCAGAGGTCGGCAAATATGGCCCATAGCAAATCCAGTCTGCTGCTTGTTCTTGTAAATAAAGTTTTATTGGCACACATTCATGCCCATTGGTTCAAAGTTTGTCTATAGTAGCTTTGACCCTACAACAGCAGAGTTCAACACTTATGACAGAGACCATATGGCCTGCAGACCATAAAACAATTATTATCTGGCCCTTTACAGAAAAAGAGTTTGCCAAGCCCTGCTTTAGATGACCAGAAAAGACCTCTCTGAAGATGACGTTTGGGCAGAGATATAAATAATGAGAAAAGATGAGGCAACCAAAGGTGTAGAGGAGGCCATTTTCTGACAGAGGAGCCAGCAAGCTTAACACCCTTGATGAGTTTGATAAGCAATAAGAGGCCAAAGAGGCTAGAACACTGAGTAAGAAGGCAAAGGGGACAGGACTTGAAGACAGAGGGGTGGGCAGGGGCCAGATCACAAGAGGTCTTGTAGGTCATGGGGTGGAGGGTATATTTTATTCCAGGAACAGAGGGAACCAACCTGTACACTTAAACTGATCATAAAATGGTAAAGCTTAGGTAATATAAATGTTATGCTGTCTATATTTACCACATTGTAACAAAAGTTGAGAAAAAGAATTCAGAAAAGCCATTTATCTGTAAGAGGGGACTTTAGGGACCAAATATACTTTTTATAAAGATCATCTGGATGGAAATTTTCAATTTCTTCAACTCTTAAAACAAAGAGGAGTTTTTTGATATTTATATGTACATTTGGGGGTGAGGGAGTGTCAGGAGCTTCTGTGGACTCTCAGACCTGTGTCCTTCAGAGCCCCAAATCGTTAAAGCCCCCCACTTAAAAGATCCCTTAGGCCCCTGAGCTCTGATGTGACGTTATCAGCCGCTCTAGATGCAGCACTTCATGTTATCCTCACCCCCGCCCAGGAGGGAAGCATCTGTCATTACCCCTCCCTCCGAAGCAACCTGCTAAAGGACACACAGCCCATGCATAGCGAACTGGCTGTCGTGACCAATGCAGGCTGACCACAGAGTCATGCTGCTCACAGCGGCCCGCGCCTTTGCAGTCATGTACGTGGAACAAATCCTTCTAGGTTGTGGAGAAGACATGGTGGTGCTTTGCTGCATGGGAGCTGCTTGTTCCGTGGGGGGTCCTGCTTTCCAAGTTGTCTCAATCTGGGAGCAAAGGGCTGTTTGGACCATGCATGTGAGCCCTGGGTTTTCACAGCATCTGTCACACATGCCAGCATCCCCGTTCTCGTTGCCAGCACCGCAGACCATACACGGTGCGCAGAGCTCAGTTCCCAAGTCCAGATGAAAAATGCCGCACGGAGGCACTGGATTGACAGTGTGGACATCATCTCGCTTGGGGGGGACGCCTGTCACTTCCCAGGCCATATAAGGAAACCACCTCAGATGCCAACTTCCTGGCTCCCAGGCCCTGACTAGGTCTAATTGCTCATTGCTGTTTTCTCCATACAGAATAGATGTTGGCAAACAAGAAAGGCAAATGAAAAAGCTGAAGGAGGGAGAAGCAAAACTGAAGCCAAAATGCAAATGCTAGGAGATGTGGAGGCGGGGACCTCGCGCTTATGTGCCCCGCTGCTCGCTCTCACCCATACCTTCAGCCGGGCCTGCCAAGCAGAGACATTTTCCTTAAAACATTAGTTTTCCAAAAGCCGGGTAATAACGCGGTGATCCGGACAGCAGTGAGGAGGAACAGCAGGCTGCAAACCCCAGCGTCTGCTCCTAGCAGCCGCAGCGATGGCTACCATGGGCTGAGCATCTGCTCAGGCCGGCACGGTGCTGGGTGCCTTCCCCTGCCACCTAATTCCAACAACACCTGGCCAGGTAGAGCCTGGATCCAGTGACTACGACCCCAAGACCTGCCATTCGACTTGTCTTCCTGCCTAATATATTCTTCTGTCTCTGAAACCATTTCACAGGTGAAAACACTGAGCCCCCAAGAGCTCAGTCATTTGCCCCCAAGTCATAGGAATGGAAGTGGTAGCTCCTCATGTGTAAGAGAAAGACGGGGCGAGAGATTGGTACTGATATTCTGCCTTGCTGACTGTCCCTGCTAAGCCTCAGTTTCCTCATCTGTGAAATGGGTATAATAACAGTCCCTACCTCAAAGGGTAGGTAACGAGGTCACGCGTGTGCAGTAGCTGGAGGGTACTGAGGCAGGGGAGCAACTTCTCTGGTTGTGAGGCATAAGGAAGTAATGAAAGGGAAGCAGATGTCAGCTGTTCTTTGTCACAGCAAGAGGAAGGCTGTCCCGGGGGTCGCATGTTGTTCTTATAAAGCCCTGGGTCCAGGGGCCTCCCTGGTGGCACAAGGGGTTAAGACGCAACTTATGAAGCTGTCCAAAGCCACTGCGGCACGAGTTCGCTTCCCGGACAGGGAGATACCCACATGGTGCAGCAGACCTCTCCTGACTCGCCCACTGCTCCCCTCAGCAGTGTATTTCAGTCAGTCTGCCTGTTCTGTTCCCCAGTCTGTCTCTGGTGAATCCTCTCACTCCCCCATACCTCTGGCCTATACCCCGGTTCTTGTATGCAAAAATAAATAAATCTTAAAAAAAAAAAAAAAAAAGCCCTGGGTCCCGAGTCCGTCATCATAGACCACAAAAAGCACAATGCTCACTGCTCGCTGTGCTTCCTTTCACCTGCTCCTCCCCACGCGCGATGAGCCAGGTTGTCCTCCCCACTTTACAGATGAGAAAGCAGAGGCACAGAAAGAGAGGCCCGTAGACAGAGGCAGAGCCAGACTCAAGCCCCGCTCAGCCCTAACCCCGTGGTCGCACGGCTGCCCTTATGCTGGCTCTGCCTCTTTTCCAGTTTGGCTGCACCTGGGCCGTCTACATGACCAAGCCCGACGGCACGTACATGATGAAGACGGTCCAGGAGTTACTGCCGGTCTCCTTTGGGCCCGAGGACCTGCAGAAGACCCAGTGAAGGCCAGAGAACACCCACCGCCGGGGAGAGCCTGGATCCCGACACGTACTTGCAGGGACAGCCGCGAGGAGAACTTCGTGAAGATGTTGTCACAGACCTGGGGACACCTGCCGACTGGACCCCTGTCCTACAGGGATGAGGCAGAGAGGACTTTTCCACATTACACTCAAACACCGAATCTCCAACCCGAGTGATAAAGGTTCCACTCCGGCCTGGGCCGGAGCCCCTCCTTCCAGCCCACCTCGTCCCTTCTCGGGACAAGAGCAACATCCCTCCTTCCTCCGAATCCTCTTTAAAATTCCAGCTGAGGGCCTCGCCGGTGGCGCAGCAGTTGAACGCTGGGCTGCGAAGCTGTCCACAGCTTCTGCAGCGCCGGTTCAATCCCCAGCCGGCTGGCGAGGGCCCCACATGGCGCGCAGACCTCTCCTGCCGCCTGCTGCTCCCCTCAGCAGTGTATTTCGTCACTCTGCCTGTTCTGCTCCCCACTCTGGCTCTGGTGGATTCTCTCACCCTCCCGCGCTTCTGAGTATACCCAGTGCTTGTATAAAATAAATAAATAAATCTTTAAAAAAAAAAAAACAAACATTAAAAATTCCAGCTGAGTCTGGACTGCTTCCCCATCAGGCTTCCCAAGGTTCTACCCTGTTCTGAGGACTTTTCTAATTATAAACATCACAGAGCATCCTGATTCGGGTGCATGTTTTGCTGTGTCTCTCTCATAGTTCATGGCTCCTGGGTGACCTGTCTTTATAGAAAAGCCTGGGTTTTCTGCTGGGAGAAGCAGTGGGACCTTTGATACTGTGCACCCCTCAGAGTGGAGAGCTGAGTTTTTAGTTTCCTCTCCCCTTTGTTCTCCCAAGGAGAGACCCCGCTGTGCTGGGCTAACTGCCAGCGGCTGTTTCTAGAATCTGTGATGGACTCAGCTCCCTGCAGTCCTGGACACTGCCCTCCATGGGGCATCTGAGAGATGCCAAGCATAAAGGGGGAGGCCTGAGTTTGTCTAGACAGCATAACAAAGGTTTTTCTGAGGTCCTACTATGCATCAAGTACTTCCACATGAATTATATATATTTTTAAAGATTTATTTATTTATACAAGAACAGTGGCGGGGGGGGCGCTTCTCTGTTGGTGCAAGGGGTTAAGACACAACCTATGAAGCTGTTGGCAGCCACTGCAGCATGAGTTCGATCCCCAGCCAGGGAGCTACCCACATGGCACAGCAGACCTCTCCTGACTCGCCCGCTGCTCCCCTCAGCAGTGTATTTCAGTCAATCTGCCTGTTCTGTTCCCCACTCTGTCTCTGGTGAATCCGCTCACCCTCCACATCTCTGGCCTGTACCCCAGTCCTTGTATGCATGAATAAATAAATCTTTAAAAAAAGAAAAAGAACAGGGGTACAGGCCAGATCTGCGGGAGGGTGAGAGGATTCACCAGAGACAGAGTGGGGAACAGAACAGGCAGACTGACTGAAATTCACTGCTGAGGGGAGCAGCAGGCGAGACAGGAATGGTCTGCCTCGCCATGTAGGTATCTCCTGGGCTGGCCAGGATCGAACCCACACTGCAGAGGCCGTGAACAGTTTCACAGCACTGCGCTCAACCCACCACTACCAGGGAGGACCCACATGGATTATTTTTAATGCAAAGTGCTCAGCAGCTCTGTGAAGTAGGTGTTCCCTCCTCCTTACAAATAAAGAGCCGGACTTCAGAAAGGCTGAGTGACTTGCTCTAGCACAGCAAAGTTCAGACCAAAATCCACCTGCTGTAACTCCCACTGTGGTCTAGACACAGTGCATGTTCAGGGGGTTCATGTACATGAACCCACTTACTTCTCACTTACCAAGCTCAGAGTATATATTGCTCTCACTTTACCAGTGAGGACATCAAAGCTCAGAGAGGTTAAGTCACTTGCCCAAAATCACACAGCTGATATGTGGCAGAGCTGAAATCTGTCTGATCCTCAGAGTGTTTCTGCATTTTCCCACAGCTGATGTCTGGGTGCCTTTGTTTACGGAGTATCTACAAATACTGCAGAGAGAAAGATGTATAGGAAGCAGCCTCTGCCCTTGAGAAGCTCACAGTCTGACAGGGAGAGAGAGACGTAGACAGCTTAGTGCACAGAAATACACTGTGATTCAGGTACGTACCAAGTGCAGGGGTGGGGGTGGTGGGGCCCTGAGGTATTCTCCAGTATGAGGAATGTCAGTGAGGGCCCACCCCCCCGTCTCTCTCTCTCTCTCTCTCTTTCTCTCTCTCTCTCTCTCTCTCTCTCTCTCACACACACACACACACACACACACACACACACTCTCACACTTGGGAAAATGACGACTGAATAAGGAAAAGAGCCCAGGCTGGCCCATGAAAAGGGCTATTAATGCCCCCACACCCCCCAGAAGCTGGCCTGGGGGTCCGCCTCAGTGCCTGGGGTAAGAATAGAGCTGAGGATTCCTCTTTCCAAGGCAAGTAAGCAGCCAGGGGCACAGGAAGTGGACAGGTAAGCCCCCTCCCCGGGTCCTAGCCACTTGGACGGGAGCACGGCAGCGTGGCACCTGGCAAGACTGGCCTTTCCGCCGCACACCAGACCTACCCGCTGCCGCCTCGGGGGACAGGACAGTAATCCCAACCTTGGAGGACAGGAAAGCAATTCCAGCGTTGCTGCAAGACCCGAAACTCCATTTTGCCTTTCTCTGGAAATGGTGAAGGGCTTCGGCAGTCTACAGGGGCTCGGCAGAGGGGCTGTTTACAAATTCCACTCAAGTGCCACGCTCTTCTGAGCAGTCTCCTCAAAGGAGTGTAGAGAAAGGCAAAGGAGAGAGACCCCCGGAAGAAAATACCCCCGAATGTTAAGTTCAGTTCAAAGTCTGTTTGCCGGGAATACAGACTCGTGACACTTCTTTGCACATAGCTGTATTTTTGATTTCCAAACTTTTTTTAATTTAATGAGGAAAATAAATGGTAGAGCCTCCTGGCCCCAAGATTGAGCGCTGGAGTGGGGCAGCCTCCAGGCTGTGGCTGTGGGCAAGTTATTTCATTCCTCTAAGATTCAATTTCCTCATCTCTAAACTGAGGATGATTGCTTCCGCCCTACAGAACAGTTGTGCTGACCAAATATGCGTTATGACGGCCCAGTGCTGGGCGCTCATTAAGCTCTTGTTCCAGGTCAGCTGTTACTTCTACTAAGGGTGACAAATGTGAGTCCCTTGAATGGATTTGGTTTTTGCAAACAAGCCGCAGCTATTTACAGCCAATCTGCTCATCCATATAACAATTATTTATGGGGTATCTATTGTATTCCAGGGGTGAGCCAGACCCTGAGGATGCAGCAGTGAATAAAACAGAGTCCCTGCCCACACAGAGCTCTCAGTGGGAAAATGAGATCTAAGCCATTATTGTTCTTCATGCCAAGTGCTCCCCACAGGCGAGAAAGTGCCCTAGGAGCTGGTAGCAGGAAGACAGGGCTTGACAGAAGAATGGTCAAGGCAGCCCTGAGGAGGGGGTCTTTCAGTCAGGACACGGGAAGGGTCGCCAGGTCAGGGAATGGGGCCTGGGATGGGCAGAGAAGAAGGACAAAGCCCAGTGTTCTCAGTCTTCTTGGAAACAGACTAGGAGAGGCAATTCTCAAAGGAGGATTCCAGAAATTATTTGAACAATGTCGGCTTGGAAAAGCAATACTCATCTGGCTAGGGAGAGGCTGGGATGTTTGTTTAAAATAAAAGCAATTGATCTCGCCGTCCTACTGTTCTGAGGACCTGCCGTTTTAGAGCAGCACAGCCTCTGTTGTTTGGAACTGTCTGTTTTGGGGACCCTAAAGCAGGGTCACAAAGTCCCATGGAAATAAATAGAAGCATGTCTGTTTTGCTTGCTCTTGCCAGCTGCTGCTAATTGCTTATGTAAACTACAAGAGTCTTTAGGATTTCCTCCTGGCAGGGAGGGGGCATGACTCTAATTGACAGATGCTAGGACCACTTTGGGTGCCTGTGTTAGAAATGAAGTCAGAAAACATGTTCAAGAATAAATAATGGAATGGCCTAAGAACCACAAATATAATATTTTGTATATGATTATAGAGGATGCAGAAACAAGCATGGCAGGAACACCCAATCTGGTAATGTAGTTTTCAGGGGATGAAGTATTTTTCAAAAGGGGGACAATTTACAATTCAATGACTCAACAAACCAAAAAGAGATACAACGATCATTGCTGTGTAACAATTTGCACCAAAATCTAGCAACTTAGGACAACAAAAAAGTGTTATCCCACAGTTTCTGCAGATCAGGAATCTGTGCAGAGCTGGGCAATCTGGCTCAAGGTCTCCTATAAGCCTCTAGTTAACAAGTCTTCTGGGGTTGCAGTCTCATCTGAAGGCTCAGCTGAGGAAGGATCTACTCTCTCACATGGTTGTTGGCAGGATTTAGCTCTTTTGTGTGTGCTGTTGTGTGTGCTGTTTTTTGTGTGCTGTTGCTGTTACATTCAGTTCCTTGCTGTGTGGACCGCTCCAGATCGCTGGTTGTAATACAGTCACTGGCTTCCCTTAGAAGAAGCAAGCAAGATAACAAGAGACAGTGAGCAAGGGAAAAGATAGAGTCTTTTTGTAACCTAACCATGAAAGTGACATCCCATCACTTTTGCCAAATTCTGTTCCTTAGAAACAAGTGACTAAAGTCCAGTCCACAGTTGAGGGCAGGGGATTGCACAAATGCATGAGTAGCAGAGGCGAGTATCTAAAGATATTAAAATCAAAGATGCAAATGGATGAGGGGAAAAAAGGTAGGTAAGGGGGGCAGGAGAGCCAGCAGAAGCAGGCCTCGTTAGCCCTGTTATGGAGTTTACCTTTATTCCAAAGGCAGCCATCAGTTTCAGGCAGAAGGGTGACATGGTCAGCTCTGAGCCTTAAATAGCTCAGTCCATTATCTCAGTCTAATAAATCAAGAGGTACTAGAGATCTGGAGGAAACTCTGGAAGAAATAGCTAAAAGTAAAATATTGCCTCTGGTCTGAGGAGTTGCAACAGAGATTATTGCTTTTGACACACATCCTGGGATTATTGCTAAACACCTCTAGATGTACTGTTAGTGTTTTTTAAACCATTATATATATTATTTTTATTTTATAATTTATTGTTTATTGTTTTATTTAAAAGACTTTAAAAACGGGATAAAAAGAAGGAAGTCATAGAAAGGATATTCATTTAGTAATATTATAATGTAAATTTCAGAGAGCAAATGCAATAGTTGATTCTGGGAAGTGAGCTGTTCCACATTTGGCTCCCCTGTTGCTTCTTTCTGGCTCCTCCCCACTCTCTCCCTTGCTTCCCCTGGGAAAGAGTGAGTCATGTGATTGGGGGAGGGGGTTGGAAAGATGGACCAGCTCCTTCTTTCCTCCTTACCCCTTGGGAGTGAATCTGCCCATGGAGGAAGGCCTGTGTTCCCAGATGGTTCTCACACAAGGACTGGGTACCCAGCAGTGCCCTTGCTGGGTGCTAGGAATCTAAGACTTAAAAATCACTATCCCTGTCCTTACAGCACTCACGGTTTGGAGGGGGGAATAGACAATCGGCCTCTAGCCCAGTCTAGGAAAGGTCAAAGGTGGCTTCCTGGAGGAGGTGACCTTAGGTATGATTCTTTAAATAGGTAAATCAAGACAGAGGGATCAGCATGATGCTTGGGAAAACTGCAAGTAATTCAGTATTGCTCCGTTATAAAGAGCAGGGAAGGGGGACAGTAAGGAAGATGCTGAGGTCACAGCATGAAGAACCTTCAGTGCTGGCCTAAGGAGCTTGGGTTTATCCTAAGGCAATGGGCAAAGACAAAGAGCTGGTGAAGGTCTTTAAGCAGCAGGTAATGTGGCCATGTTTGTCCTTTGAATAATCCCTGCTGGGAAGCAAATTAATTCGACTGCAGGAACCACAGATTGCCACGACTGCTGATCACGTTGCTTTTTACCCTTCTTGCCCGGGGCAAAAGGAGACACCTCTTCCCAATGAGATCTCACTCTGCGTGCGCCCTTGTCTGCTTCTAATCTCCCCACACTACATACAGCCCAGGAGTTTGAAGCAGCCAGATTCTGATTTGGCAGCAGCTTTGCTCTGTCAACAGTTTCAACAAAAACTCCTTCCACCTCTGCTGGCAATTTGGAGGTAGCATTTCTGAAATGGTTTGTGGATAAAGGATGTTGCTGTCCTGGGAAAATGTGTCCGTCTCTTGCCAAGAGGAGACAAAAAGCATTGAAACGGTGCCAGAGGACACTGTCCAGAAGGGAAGGTCAAACAGCCCTTAACAATTCTCTCTCTCTTTTTAAGTCTGGTCTTTTTCCTTTTTTCCATTACCATCAGCTTTTTCACCCATGTCCCTTGGAGGAAGGTTAAATGATGCTTCTTGGGAATATTATGTACTTGACTAAAACTATGCAGTTTTACAAAATTCCTGGAGGGAAAAGAGTACGATGAAGACACAGACGCCCACAAAGCAGAGTGGGTGCCAGAGAAGAACCCCTTTGGCCTCTCCACTCTCTGATTCCTGTGGCTGAGCATCTCAAAGGCTGCCTGGTACATAATGTTCCATAAATGATCTCTGAATGAATGAGACTCTCGTATAAAGTATGAAATCTGGAATAGAAACAGATGTCTCAGTAGAAAACCCTACACCCCATGTTTCACCTTCTTGGGACACACTAAAGAGATGGGGGATGGGAGGGCCTTGGGGTGATCCCCTGAGGCCCAAGACGGTGCCATCATGGGAAGACTTTTCCTTCTCAGGGAACAGATGGGGACGAATGGAATCAGGACCATCATCCCTATGTCCCTGCCACAATAAATCAGTATCCACCTGAGCTCGGAGAACAGGGAACCCCTGCCATCCCTGCTGGAAGCTTCTCTGTCCAGACAGTTGCTAAAGAATTAAGCACCACGCTGTGCTTGGTTCAGAACTGTCAGAAACAACTTAAGATTTTTCACAGATGGAGCAGCGAGCCAGTCCACTGCTCTGTTGAGCATGAAACTGCATGGCCTTCATGGAGGATTAGCTAACATCAGTCTGGAGATTTCATTTCCAGCAGGTGAGTGAGTTAAGCATCCACGTCTAGAGAGTGTATTTGCACCTTAAGAGAAGAAATCCCAAAGACTGATAACAAATGCATCCTTTAATGTATAACAAGCCTCCAGGTAAAAGGTTACATTCCTGGGAGAGTAAAGAAAATCCTTGTAATTAAAACATTAAATTTCTGGGAGAAACTCTTGTTCTCCTGAACTTCAGTAAACATTAAAGAGGAGAGCTGTGATGATAATCACACACAGCAGACACATAGATTTAAACTTTATTTTTTAAAGATTTATTTATTTATTTATTTATACAAGCACTGGGTACTGTCAGAAGCGCGGGAGGGTGAGAGAATTCACCAGAGCCAGAGCAGGGAACAGAACAGGCAGACCGACGAAATACACTGCTGAGGGGAGCAGCAGGCGGCAGGAGAGGTCTGCGCGCCATGTGGGACCCTCTTCCGGTGCCCTGGGAGCAGCCGGGGATCGAACCGGCGCTGCAGAGGCTGCAGGCAGCTTCGCAACCCAGCGCTCAACTGCTGCGCCACAGGGGAGGCCCAGATTTACACTTTAAATGAGACCTTTGCCCCAACTAAGTTTCCATAGGTGAGCCTGTGGTCCTTTCTCCAACCTTCTCTTCCTTGTCTTTCTCCAAAAATAAGACAAATACAATGGAGCATTTTATATCAGTCAAAAATATGAAAGCCGATAATGGGTTTCCTTGTGCCTCTATATATAAATTAGAAAGAAACTCATCTATTTATGTTTCTCTCTCCCAAATAAATAGGATGCATAGCCCATCATAGCACAAGGGCCCTGTCATTTCTCCCGATAAGAGAGCTCAGAATGCATGTATGCACACACGCACACCCACACTCATCCACACTGCTAATACAATGGGTCCCCTGTCCCTAGCCATGGGTCCATCCCGTGGCCAAGCAACCCTGGAGGTCAGACTCTTTGGATGACTGGAGGCGGACTCCAGCAACAGCTACTTGGCTGCTTTCTCAAGGAGAAAGAGCCTTTTGCCTTTCTCTCTCTCTCTCTCTCTCTCTGTGTGTGTGTGTGTGTGTGTGTGTGTGTGTGTGTGTGTGTGTGTGTGTGTCCATCCTGCCTTTTGCATCACATAATCATCAGAAGAATCAAAGTGAAGACACCCCCTAAAATGGCTGGCCCAAAACAATGGGAAATCCCGTAGGGATCTTGTTAAATTTACTCCAAGTTCTGACTCAGTGACCTGGCAGTCCCAGAGAGCGTGCTTGTCTCACTAACTCCCAGATGATGCAGAGGCTGCCGGGGGCAAACGTACAGAATAAAAATGATCTGAGTGCTCATTTCCTGCAAGTGTTGAGATTGCTATAAGATCTTTGGGAAACAAAGTCAATAGCAAATTTGGAAGACTTGAGTCTTAGAAGAAATAGAACAGACTTAAGAGGATGGACATTTACAAGAGATAAATATCAAATTGACTCCTTGCCCTGAAGTTCATCCAGTCACACACAGGCACAGGGCCATACCTATGAGAACATTTTACTTATCTTCCAGAGCCTCTGACCCACAACTAGCCATAAAGGGTCAGGAGCGGACCTATCCATGATTACAGGAACTTTTTTTATTTAATGGCAGCACTGCAAAATATTGCCTCCTTAGCCCAGGCATGGTTTAGTTCTTTGTTAAAGAACAACCTGCCAGGGCCTCCTTGGTGGTGCAGGCGGTTGAGCGCGGCGCTGTGAAGCTGTCTGCAGCGCGGGTTTGATAGCAGCCAGCTGGGGAGCTACCCACATGGCACGGCAGACCTCTCCTGTCTCGCCTGCTGCTCCCCTCAGCAGTGTACTTGGGTCTATCTGCCTGCTCTGTTCCCTGCTCTGTCTCTGGTGAATCCTCTCACCCCACCCCCCCACCCTGCATCTCTGGCCTGTACCCCAGCTCTTGTATGCATAAATAAATCTTAAAAAAAAACAAACAAAAAAAAAAACAGAGAACCACCTGCCAACGAAACTGGATTCCAATTTGAATAACTGTAGAACAAAACAACAGGGAAATCTGAATCTCAACCGGGTAGTAAATAATATAGTGGAGTTAATCTTTTTAGAGGTGATAATATTGTTTCTTCAAAAAAGAGTTCTTACCTCTTAGATACTGAAGTATTTATAAATGAAATAATGTAGTATCTGGGGTCTGGATTAAACTAATGGCCAAGATGAGAAAGGTGAATATTGATTGGGGAAGCTGGATAGTGGTACATGGGATTCACCATGCGATCCCACTTTTAGTTATGTCTAAAAATTCCCTTTTAAAAAGGCAAGAAGAATCACTGCATGGGATTCCCTTTATCAGATATTCCTACTAGCAGATTTGGGTAATAGGGTCCGGTCACTAACCAGAACAGACTGGTTATGACTTGTGGCCTCAGTGACTTTTGAGTGAGATTCCTCTTGGGGTCCCTTCGAGGGAGCGGGGACGGTGGCCATGTGGGGAGGAGCCTCTGGGCCTGGGGAGGGCAGGGGCTCAGTAGTCCCAGCAACGTGAAAACGAGCTCAGCGCTGACACTGGGCGTTGCCACCCGTCACTTGCTCTGTCTCCACTTCCTTCCCTACACAAACGACCGTCCCCTCTCGCTGGTGGGAAAATTAACAGGCCCTGGCCCCGAGTGCGATGCGCAGTGAACGCTCGTTTCCCTGCTCAGTGTCTCCATTTGCCCAGGGCCGGCGCCGTCCCCAGGCGTTCCCGGAGCGCCTGACCCGCGAGCCCCACGGCCGCGCCCGCCGCCCCGTCCGCACAGCGCCCCCGCGCGGCCCGCCCGGGAACTGCCGGCGCGGCGGCCCCGCCCCCGGCCCGCGCCTGCGCGGCGGCGTCGCCCGCGTTTGTTGTCGTTGCGGTCGCGTCCGGGACGCCCGCGGCGGCGACCGGGTCGCGGCGCCACCATGGCGGTGCGACAGGCGCTGGGCCGGGGCCTGCAGCTGGGCCGAGCGCTGCTGCTGCGCTTCACGGCCAAGTCCGGCCCGGCCTACGGCTGGAAGCGGCCCGAGTGGCCGGGCCCCGCGGCGGGCCGGGGCCGCGGACAGCGCCCGGGCCAGGCCCCGGGGCCCGGCGCGGAGCCGCGCAGGTTCGGGCTCGGGCTTCCCGACCGCTACCGCTTCTTCCGCCAGTCGGTGGCCGGGCTGGCGGCGCGGCTCCAGCGGCGGTTCCTGGCGGGGGCCCGGGGCTGCGCGGGCCCTTGCGGCCGGGCTGTCTTCTTGGCCTTCGGGCTGGGGCTGGGGCTGATCGAGGAGAAGCAGGCGGAGGGCCGGCGGGCGGCCTCGGCCTGTCAGGAGATCCAGGTGAGCGCCAGCGGGGCGGGGCGGGGCGGGGGAGCGGGGCGGGGGCGTGTAAGGGAACGGGCCGGGGCTGGGGGCGGGGCTTGCTAGACGCAGGGGCGGGGCTGTCTAGAGCCAGGGGCGGGGCTGGGCGGGGCCTGTGGGCGTGGCTATTGGCTATGGGCGGGGCAAGGGTGACGCGGACTCCGCGTCAGGATGCACGCCTCTTGGAGCCAGAAATTCATTGGAAATCACCGATTATGACTTATTTTCATGTTGTTGATCTCCTGATAAGCCACCACCACCTCGCACTTGTTTGACGGTTTTCCTTAAACAGCGTGTTCAAGGAAACAGCCCCCTAAATATAGCTTCCGTTACACCCTGGCCAGTGCCTTTATGTTAATTGTCTAAAATTTAATGGCAACTCAGTAATAGTGCGTCTGTCCTGGAGGTGGTCCGTCCGCACTTGTGGGCGAGGCAAGGTGAAGTAACTGCCCGGAGCCACAGAGCTATAAAGGGCAGCGCCCAAAGTCTGACTCGCCAAAGCCTGTGCCCTCAACCACCGAGCCAGGCTGCCTCCACGGTTTAGCCAAACAGCCGGTGACATCGCTGAAGCTAAAGGAAAAACTAGGAACAGGAGAAAACGCCAGACCTAAAGGCTGTTGGTTAATCTGTGTGGTTACGGTGACTAGATTCACCCAGGGCGCTTAGGCTATTTAATTGTTTAAAGTAGCTCAGAGACTTCTGTTTCTATCCAGCCAAAAGTTTAGTGTTGTCTGGATAACAAACGGAGTGCGTTTAGAGAGAGAGATTAAGGGTTGACTCTCCCTCTATGGGTCTGGCAAGTCCAGAATCTGCAGGGAAGACCGTTGAGGTCAAGGCGGTGCCTCTGTTGGCAGAATTCCCTGTTTAATCCAGGAGGTCTCCCTGGGGTTTAGAACCTCTGACTGTGTTAGTTCAACCCCAGTGTTTTACAGCTTAGGGCTGAGGTGGTGGAGTTGGGGTGACCCGCCCAAGGACACAGCTGATGAGGGACAAAGCAGTGTCTCCCTTGTTTCTTGGTTTCCAGCCCAGGACATCTCATGTTTGGGCTTGGGCCAGTTTGGGGTGACAGGTGACAGCTGGCCTTATCCCCGGATGCTGTCCGTGTCGTGAGCTATGGCTTCACTGGCAGAGGCCAAGGGTAGAAAACTTGACAAATCCTACTTTAAATCCTGGACACTTTTTTAAACTGAGGAGCTTGATCCTCCTAAGCTTATCACCTGCGTGCCCTTCTCTCACACTTTACCCTCCTGTGTCTTTAATAGTTTAATTATCTGTCAATTTCCTTTTTTTTTAATTTACATCATTAATTTTGAAAAAAAAAAATCACCAGATCTGGCAACTCCAGTGCTAAAATTGCATATGCTGTTAGACGGGAGTATGTTAGCTCCCTTTAGATGGAGGCATATGAAAAAAATCCAGTAATAAGATAGGCAGAAAGCTTGTCACTGTGCTTCCCAAGAGCAGATGCAGAATAGCCTGTGAGAAGGTGGTCATCAGTCATTAAGGAAATGCTTATTAAAAAATATAATAGGATAACACTGCATACTTAACAGAACAGCTAAAATTTTAAAAATATAGAGATAATACCAAATGCTGGTAGGGACGCAGAGCAACTAGACTGAGGATGAGGCTATAGAAAGGTGAAACCACTCTGAAAAATAGTAGATAGTTTCTTACAAAACTAAACCTGCCATCGTAACGCTGGGCGTTTACCCAGAAAAATAAAACTTACGTCACACAAAAACCTGTACACAAGGAGCCGTGATGGCAAACAGTATGGCAGTTCTCAAAGAAAATTAAAAATAGATCCAGCAATTCCACTGCTGGATATATACCCAAAAGAATTGGAAGGACTTGAGCAGATATTTATACACCCGTGTTTATAGCAGCCTTTGTCACGGTAGTCAAAATGTGAAAGAGAAGCAACCCACGTGTCCATCAGCGCTGGACGGAGCAAAACATGACACACGCATACACTGGAGTGTTGTTCCCAGGGCGTGGGTGACCCGGGCAGACATTTTGCAAGGTGAAGTAAGCCCGCCACAAAAAAGACAAACACGGCACGGTTCTGCTGGGAGTAGTCAGAATCACAGGCCAAAGTAGAGCGGTGGTCCCCAGGGCCGAGGGGAGGCAGGCAGGGGGTCGGTGCTTAATGCGCAGAGTTTCAGTTTGTCCAGAAGAGAGCCTGGACATGGACGGAGTCGAGGGCCACACAGCAGTGGGACTGGACTTAATGCCCCTGAACTGTAGCCGTAGAAATGGATGAGATGCTGAATTTTCAGTTATATGTTCTTTACCTCAGTGTTTTTTAAATAGTTTTCTGAATCTTGTGTGCAAAAGTTCACAGCATCCTTGTAACACACAATGTGAAAAACAACCCCAGTGTCCTGCAGCAGGTGCTCTGGTGCACTGTCTGATGGGATACTAAATAACAAGGAAATCAGCTCTTGACACAGGGGACCCCCGAAGCCAGCCTCTCGGACATTATGCCTAGTGAAAAAAGTCTCCAAAGGCCACACACTGTGAGATTCCATTTCTCTAAGATTCCTGAAATGACAAAACTAGAGATGGAGAGCCGGTCAGTGGCTGCCGGGGACGGAGTGGGCCGGCGCAGATACAGAGGTGGCGCAACGGCACGGTTCTGTACCTGAGTGTGGGGGTGATGACGCCCTGCTCCTGGGGGGACTGCAGACAGGAGAGGATGTGGGTGAGAGAGAATGTGAACCCAGCGGGCACTGAGTCCAGGCGCCCACAGGTCACAGGATGCTGTGCCAGGGCTACTTCCCGGCTCTTAACAGCGCTCTGTCGGGGGTCGCCACCACGGAGCTAGGTAAGGGGGTACATAAGACTGCTGTTTTGGGTTTTATTTTTCTTTTTTTAGGTTTGTCTGTGTTGTGTCAACTTTCTGTGAGTCTATATTTCAAAGTACAGAGTAAAGTAGTATACCTCATTCTCGAACCCATGGCTGATGAAGGGTTACTCTAAAAACTCTGCTACTGCTCCATGGAGCTTAGCAACTACTTGGCAAGGCAGACGGACGTTCATCTTTGAAAGAAAGTTAAAAGTTCTCGGGCTAGTTAAAAGGTACTGAGCGCGAGAGGAAGTCTCCAGCAGGGAAGAGTGCGTGGGCTGTGCTTGCCGGGACTGGTCACAGAGGGCCGAGGAGCTGGAGCTCGAGGGGTAAGTAGGGATGAGCCAGGCAGAGCAGGACAGAGGAATTAGGGGTGCAGAGGGAAGCAGAGAAAGATAAGTGTGACCAGGGCACACAGCAGCCGGCAAGGGTAGTCATTTCCTCCTTCCAGCTGTTACCTGAGGTCAGCCCAGTCCAAAAATACCGCGTCTAGCAAGGTGTTTACACCACTTGCGTTACAGCGTGTTGCTGGACTCGCTCTATTTTCCCTTTACTCTTTGCCTCTTCCTGTGTCTAATTTATCAGGTAAACTACTGCAGGTCAGCTCTCCTGCCACCTGTGACTGCGCAGGTGTTTCTTTTTACAAAACTTCTCCCTTTGCAAAAAATAAGTAAATGTTACCAGAGGTGTGTGCAAGAAGAAAACAGCACAGGGCTCAGGCCTACCCGGGGCTCAGGCTAACCCAGTGTTCTGGAGGTGGGGGAGGGGGTTACCAAAGTATGAGAGAGAAAAGCAGGGCCGAGTAGTAAAACCAAGCTCAGCTGTGCTTTGTTTAGCTCTTGGTCTGGTCAGTGGAAGCCGCTCCTCCCCCGTTTCCCTTTACTGGGGGCTTCCCGGGCACCCTGGGTCACAGTGCATGATTTTTTCCTCACAGGCAATTTTTGCCCAGAAAAGCAAGCTGCTGCCTGACCCGCTGGACACTCGACGCTGGCAGGGCTTCCGGCTGGAGGAGTATCTCATCGGGCAGTCCATTGGCAAGGGCTGCAGTGCTGCCGTGTACGAAGCCACCATGCCCGTGTCACCCCAGAACCTGGAGGTGGCAAAGAGCAGTGGGCTCCTTCCGGGAAGAGGCCCAGATGTCGACCCCCATGGAGAGGAGGAGGAGCAAGCCCCACTGGCCCCCGCGTTTCCCTTAGCCATCAAGATGATGTGGAACATCTCGGTAAGGACGGGGCCTTCATCTAAAGCAGGCAGCTCTCAAAACGCCGGTCTTGGTGCACGGAGCACCTTCTCCCAGGAAGTAGATTAGAACAGACTCAGATTCTCCATAACCTTCCTCGCCCTCTCACCTCAGAGCTCTTCAGACCTGGGTCCCAGATTGTGGGTCGTCCAGCCACCCGGGCACCAGCAGGCTGGGGGCCGGCTCAGGACCTGCACACCAAACAGGCTTCCATGGACACCTGCTGCCGGCCCGTGCGCCACACCTGGAGCAGCAGGTGCCCCAGCCATTGAGCGCCAGGCTGCTGGTGCTGGTCAGGTCCACCCCCTGCCCTGCTGCACCTGAGAGGAGGCGCCACGCGCCTTCCCTCTAAGCTCACCGCCCACTCACCTCAAGTTCAGGGGCTTCTCACCTCCCTGCTCGCAACTCTTGGAAAAGAATTTGGGGAATTGAACATTTTCCCCTCAAAAAACAAAGATTTCCACCCACTGAGAGGATTTCTTGACTGGCCCCTCCCAGGTGGGTTTGGAGAATTCATCCAGACCCAGTGTCCTCTCCCGCCCAGAGCTGCCTTCCAGGGCCCGCTGAGCTCGTGGGGGGCGCTGCCGGGTGCCATTTCTTGGTTTGAGGAACGAGGTGGTTAGACGATTGCACCACCAGGCCAGTAGCCAAATAGCCGAATCCTTCACCTGGGAAACATCCAGTCTCAGCATCAAAACTTCCCCTGGCTGGGGCGTGACCGCAATTGCAGTCACAAAAGCGAAAAACCGTGATTTTTTAGGGTCTTCCTGATACTGAACAGGTTTTACATGTCCTGAGAGGAGATGAGTAAAGTGAGGTGCTTGTCCTCTTTGGTTTGCTTATTTGTTGGTTTTTGCTGGGGTGGGGACGCGCCTCTGGGATCCTCCACAGCTCTGGCCGCCGTGGGCGGGTCAGGCTCCCTGTCGGCTGAAGGAGTTTCATCATTTCTGGTGATCCGGGGTCTGTGCCGAGCCTGGGGTTGCCCAGGGACACCTCTGGCAGGAGGAAGGCTCCCGGGCCCTGATCTCTGAACGTCTCTTCCTGCCCTGCGCCCCTGAGCAGCAAGGAGTTTGAGGGAGAAACTAGTTAGCTGGGCTCCTCAGAGGGGCTATCTTCTCCTGAAGGTCAGAGCCGATTCTGGGCAGTCGCTGTCCTGGACCCACTACAGGGAGGGCTCGGACTTACCACCCCTCAGTCTGTGTAACTCGGGGTCCCTGTGGTGTGTTCCAGGCCGGCTCGTCCAGCGAAGCCATCTTCAGCACCATGAGCCAGGAGCTGGTCCCGGCCAGCCGAGTGGCCTTGGCTGGGGAGTACGGAGCAGTTTCTTACAGGTAAGTGTCCGCTGCCCGCCGCACCACCTGTGGGTTCTTTGACAGCAAAATCGCCACCTGTGTCCTCAGCGCCGCGGCTGACACCAACAGGACTGCTTACGGGGGCGGGGGGTAGTTAAGGGCAGCGTTTCAGCTGGAAGGTCACTTAGCGTGGGCGAGATGGCAGATCATCTCCAGCTGAAGGTGCCGATGGCTGAGGTGCCCTGGGGCAGGGAGAGACGGCTGCCCAAAGCACCGGTCAGAGTGTGAGGACTCGCCTGCCTTCTGGGGCCGCCCCAGGCGGAGCAGCACCTCCTGGTAAAAACAGAACTCTGTCCCTAGTGGAGGGAAAACACTCTCCCACTGGCTGCAGTGCACCTGATGGTGTCGGCAGATTTTGAAAAACAAAAGTGGCCTGTTCCTCAAGAGTTCATGTGGCAGGGGAGCCAGACAGGTTAGGAGCAGAGTGAGTTGGGGGTGCTGAGGGACCCCTGGGGTGGTATGTCCCTTCAGAGGGACAGTTTGTGCTTCTTTTTGAAGGATGAATAGGCACCACTTGGGCAAAGAAGCATAACGAAACATTCCCTGCAGAGGGAAGGCGGTGGGCAACAGCCCCGGGCCCACAGAGCCGGAAGCGCAAGCTCATCGCCAAGGCGACAATGGCTCACCTGAACCAGGACGAGGTGGGGCCTGCCTTCCCGGCCATTCACTGGAGAGCTGTCTTGTAGATCTAGTTGTCAGCAGCAGGAAGGTAGAAACCGTCTATGGTTTGGCAGCTCGAGTATGACTGAGGGTCCGTAAGGCCAGAGAAGCAGCTGCTTGGTGGGCCCAGCACGGCCGCCTCTTCTCCTGAGCGCTTTGTAGGGAAGAGGAGGATCTGAACGGCAGCAGCTAGGGGAGCTAAAACTACCCTAGGGTGATGCCTGTGGTGTTCGTTCAGCTGCTGACGTGACGCCCTCCAGCCCTACCACCCATTCTAATTCCCTGCCGCTCTCCAGGCCTTTCCCTGCTTCGGCTTTCGTCCTCGCATTTATGCCACCAGACCTTCATCCCCGCGCCCTTGTTTGTTGGTTCTCCCCAGCGGTGCAGTCAGCTCTCTTTGTGTTTTGCTTACTTGGTAGGTAGGTCGTTGTCTGGGTGTTTAGGTGAGCACGGCAGGTCTGAGGCCTCAAGTGCTATTGCAACCTAGCACCGCCTCAGGAGAAACACTCCTGAGAGCACCCAGGGGTACCCCTACTCAGCCTTTGCTCACGAGGGACCTCCAGCTCAGCCCTTTGTCATCTGCTCCTCTCACTTCTCCCCCGATTTCCCCCCCCCAATTTCTTATGATGTCCCACTTGCATGTCCTGTGCTCCCCCGCCCCACCCAAGGCAACCCATGAGCTACTCGTGGGCTGCCCTCGCCACAGCCCCCCATCCCATCCCAGGCCTCACACATGCATGCAGCACCTCCCCACCCAGCAGTCACACACCCTTCCTCCTGGGACACCCCGCAGAACGTCCCCGTGATGACGCGAACCTTGGCTGGGGTCTGATACCCCCCACTGGGGTGGGGGCAGCATTTTGACCCCTGTGACTGCGCAGGGCAGGGTCTCCCCCGGTGAAGGCGCAGTAGAGGGCTGCTCGCAGGCTGGATCTGCACCTCGGGAACCCGGCCCAGCTCACGCCCTCTCACTGCTGTCTCCACATCCCCGGGCTTCGCTCGTCTCCTCTCCCCACACCCCTCACCAGCGTCCTTACTTCCTGCCCTGTGGCTCTCCCTCCCTGTGGCTCACACACCTCCGGCCCCAGCCAAGTCCATGCATCCCCTTAGCCTGCGCTCCCGCTGACTGCCGGGGCACGGCCACGTTTCTCCACTTACTCTTCACAGACGGGGGACATCAGCTGTGACTGCAGGTTCCCGGCCCGAGTCAGATGCCCCTAACTCAGTCAGCTTGGGTTGGGGGGGCTGATATGCAGCAGGCAGCCACCTGCCTCAGCAGGGCTGTGGGTGTGGGGCGCCTGGAGAACAGGTGAGCAGGGAGGCAGGTGACATCTTCGCTGTGAGCTGCTTCTGGATCTGTTCGTTCAACAAAGGTCACTGAGCTCATACAAGCCTAGTGATGACAGAGTCTAGATATTTTACAGATACTAACGACAGTTTGAGATTTATTTTATTTTATTTTTTTTGCATTTGAGATTGAGCCCAGAGGTTAAGTAACTTGGCCAAGGACCTGCAGTGGCAGATCCGGAATTCAAACCCAGGCTGTCTGATTCCGGGGTGCAGGGACAGATGGAGTGAGGCTCGAGTGGCGAAGTTGTCAGATGTGATGAGTCACCTTCCTGGGGCTGTTTTCCTCCAGCTCCAGGCTCTGCATTTGGCACATGCAGAGCTCAGTAAATATTGAATTAAGTGGGTGAATAAATGGATGTCAGTTTTTTGTGACCTTAGATTATCACCTCTCCAACTGTTGTATCTCAGCGACCTCATACGTTTCCCACTTGTCTGTGACAGAAAATCCAAAAGTGGTCCTAAGCAGCTCACCCCACACCCCAACATCATCCGCGTTGTCCGCGCCTTCACCTCAGCTGTCCCGCTGCTGCCAGGGGCCCTGGTCGACTACCCTGACGTGCTGCCCCCGCGTCTCCACCCGGCAGGCCTGGGCCACGGGCGGACACTCTTCCTCGTTATGAAGAAGTGAGTGGGAGGGCCTGGAGCGAGTGAGAGCGGGTCACTCTGCACCTGGCATGGGGTGTCGGGGAGGAGGAGCCTCGCCCTTGGGAGACAGGACCGGGCAGGGTGTGCCTGTCCTAGAGAGCAGCTTCCCTCTAGGATGTCATGAAAAAAAAATTTCATCTGTGTCAGAACACACAGTCACCTGTCTGTTGCTCCTTCTCTGTGGCGGGGTGACCTGTCCTTTGAGCAGCAGCAGTTCCCCTTCCCCACCCTGTGCACCCCTAGCTTTAGGGGAGTGCCTGTGCACGGTACCCTGTGGAGCCCCAGCTCTTCCTAACTGCAGGATCACAGGCGGGTGGGCACAGAAAGGAGACTTGAAAAAAGTATCCAAAGCTCCGGGGAGTAGCACTGTAGCTCCTAACAGTAAGCACAGGGCAGGGCTGGCTGATGTGCCAACCGCCCCGTCTTCCTCCCCCAGCTACCCCTGCACCCTGCGCCAGTATCTTCGCGCGAACACCCCAAGCCCCCGCCTCGCCACCATCATGACCCTGCAGCTCTTGGAAGGGGTGGATCACCTGGTACAACAGGGCGTCGCGCACAGAGACTTAAAATCTGACAACATCCTTGTGGAGATGGACGCAGGTAGGGGCCCCGCCGCACCCGCAGCACTACCCGGAGCGTTTGGCATCCTCAGGTCTGTGGTTTTCATGTTCTGTCACAGCCCCTTCACATGCAGGCTTTCATGCTCTGTGGGGTTCGTGGAATGACAAATGCCATTCTTTTCTGTTGCCCACTTAAAGATCAGAAACCTCAGTAGTGGAAGTTTTCTTGAGTAAAAGAAAAGGTAGGTTTTATCGCAACATAAGAATGTTGGAACAGTGAAAGCTGTCCAAATGTGAGCCCCGCTGCCGCTGGCGATGAGCTCCCCGTCACTGGAAGCATTCGAGTAAACCTAAACACCTGGGGATAGTGCAAAGGAGATTCATAAATTTGATAACTAGACGAACTAAAAGACTTTAGGTTTGGATTGGGGGTTTCCAGTTCAAAGCAAAGTCTCTCAGGGTGCAAAGACTCTCAAGGTCATTTGGGCCAAGCACCTCCTGTTGAGTAAATCACAGCAGCGCCATTGGTTTTGGCCCAGCTCCGGTGACTAGAAAATTATCCAGTTCTTCACATAGGGGCTTTGATTCCCTCGAAGTATCTCTATGTTCAAACAGCTGCCCTTCCCACTCAGCGCTCGGGCTCGTGGGCTCCCCAGGCCTTGCTGCCAGTGCCCCTAAGCGAACAGTCTCTGCTCCCCACACATCCTGATAAGGGAGGACATAGGCCTGGGGGCGGTGGGCAGCAGTGGGTGAATCAGTCACTGACCTGTGCCTGCCCCGCCCCAGACGGCTGCCCCTGGCTGGTGATCTCCGACTTCGGCTGCTGCCTGGCTGACGAGCGCATCGGCCTGCAACTGCCGTTTAACAGCTGGTATGTGGATCGGGGCGGAAACGGCTGCCTGATGGCTCCTGAGGTAAGTCCCGCTGAGCACGTAGTGCCTGTCACCCTCCCACCAAATGATCAAATGAGACTTGCTGCCTCGCTGTTTACTAAACACTCCGTCCGTCCGTCGCACAATTTGGCACTAATCCCCTCCTATGCTTTCCTTTAACCTGGATCTCCCTAATGTTCCCAGGAGATGTGAATTTTTTCAGCACAAAGTAGAGCCACTACTCAAATTCTGGGTTCCTTGGGACAGAGTTCAGGTCAGCCCAGGAGTCAGGGGCCTGTAGAAGTCTGCACGGCCGCGTGACACCAGCAGCCTGACTGCTCACCCACTGCCTTCCCGAGCAGGTGTCCACGGCCTGCCCTGGTCCAAGGGTGGTGATTGACTACAGCAAGGCCGATGCCTGGGCAGTGGGAGCGCTCGCCTACGAAATCTTCGGAGTCTCCAATCCGTTTTATGGCCAGGGCAGGGCCCACCTTGAAAGCCGCAACTACCAAGAAGCCCAGCTGCCTGCACTGCCCGAGTCAGCGCCTCCAGACACCAGACACCTTGTGAGGTCGCTGCTCCAACGAGAGGCCAGCAAGGTGCGGCTGTCCCCTGGTGTGGCGGGGGTTGGGTGTCGGGGGGCACCTCAGGTCAAGTTCCAGGGGAAAGACCAGGCTTGGGCAAGCACTAGTGCCAGAGCACACCTCTGTCTTGCCAAGTAAAGGCCAAGGACAGAACAAAATAGACTTAAGGATAAACAGTGGGGGAGGATACCCACCAAATTAGAATTCCGCACATCAGCTCTTCCTAGTTGCTTAGGTTTCTCAGAGGGAAAAGATGCATTTTAAAGAAATGCATGATGGAGACATAGCTTACAGAAACCGCCAAATCTCGTGACAGGTAGGTGTGAAGACATGTCCCAAGCACAGATCTGGAAGTTTCCAGTTACTATTAAGGAAGCTAAAAGCTGACATTTGAAGCCATAATCGGAGGCAGGCCAGGTTCAGGTGGCATGCACAGTGAATGGGCACCAACACACCAGGGCTCCCACTGCAGGCAGATGTGAATGTGGGCAGGACAGCCAGTGTCAGGTGAAGGGAGGGCACCAGAAGAGAGTTGTGGGCAAAGAAGTGGGTGGGGGCTAGAGAAGGGAAGACACTAAAGTGAGGAGTCTCATTAACAAAAGGGGTTGTAGGCCAAAAACTTCATCACCGATGTTCTAAGCTGCAGCTTCCTTTCCTGTTGCAGAGACCATCTGCCCGAGTAGCGGCTAATGTGCTTCATTTAAGCCTCTGGGGCGAACATATTCTAGCCCCAAAGAACCTGAAACTAGACAAGATGGTTAGCTGGCTCCTGCAACAATCGGCCGCCACTTTGCTGGCTGACAGGCTCACAGAGAAGAGCTGTGTGGAAACAAAGATGAAGATGCTGTTTCTAGCCAACCTGGAATGTGAAACGCTGTGCCAGGCCGTACTCCTGCTCTGCTCCTGGAGGGCAGCCCCGTGACGGCGCTGACGTGGCTGGCGAGTTACTAAAAGAGCTTGCACTGCATCTGTGTTGTGATGTCTGTGAAGGCTGAGGAAGGCACGCCTATGTGTGAGGGTGGAGTCAGGAGAAAGATGGCACGGAGCGGGCTGGGCCACCTACAGAAGGCTTCAGGTTCTCCAGGTGAAAGGAACAGCTTGAGTCACAGTTCACGGACTGTTAGCTAGCTGTGAGTCTAGACGCATCGTAACCCGTGTGGACTAAACTTGCAAATTTCCCTTTGACTAGCAGGAATTATTAATTAAATACAAATGCAGAAAGCCTGTGTGCCTGGAGCTGAACACTTGGCTTTAAGAGTGACACATGCCATAAAGAAAAGTGATTCTTCTTGAAATGATTTTAGAACCAATAAATAAAATACAAATTCTATCTGTACTTGGTGGCAGAAATCAAAAATATACTTAAGGTTTTTTCAACCAATTCTGGAATTCTATTATAAAGTCTCACCTAGATTTCCCATTTCAGTGATTCCCCATCTGCCTTGATGTAGTAATAATAACCTTATTTCACCCCTTGAGGAAAAGTTGGAGACTCTCATTTCATAATTAAAGAAAACAACAGTCCAGTCTTTGACAAAATTAACTATTTTCTATCCCGTCATTACTGAGCAGCCGCCCCATCATTAGCAAAGCACCACAGGGGCCACATGAAGTTTGAGGGCGATGTTTCTCTTTATTTTAGAAATGAGAGTGACTGCACATACAAAAAATACCACTTAAACTCCAGGTGGAAAAACATCATAAAGGTTATTCCCTAGGCCCCAATCCTTGGTTCTCAATGCTGCATCTCCGCTGAGGTAAGGCTGTGCCACTGTCCCACGGCTTAAAAAAAAAAAAAAAAAAAAAAAAAAAGACGACAACCCACCATGAAGGGACACCTCCGGCTCCCACTCAACACCCCGTCTCCTGGCGGCAGAGCCCCAGGCCCCGGCGCTCAGTCAGACTTCTCCTTCTCCTTCATGTGCAAGAAGACGATGCTGAAGATGAACAGCCCAGCCATCATGGAGAAGGCGCTGGCGTAGTAGGGGTAGGCTGAGGGGATGAAGCGCTCATACTGCGTGTGCTGGAGGGGCCTCACTGACACCTGCAACGGACAGCGCTGACGGCCCTGGCCACCGGGACGCCGGGCGGGGCACAGGGGTGGGAACAGGTGGCGACCAGTGCTTACCTGGGTGGACGAGTATAAGTGCGTGTAGCCCAGCCGGTTGTAATCCACTTTAAACTGGAAAACCCCGTACACGTCCGGCAGCTTGAACTGCACGCTGTACCTGCCACCTGGGGAGGAGGCGGCACCGGTCACCAGAGGCCCGCTGCTGCCAGCCTCGCTGTGCGCGCCCGGCAAGACTGTCCTGCGCTGAGGACTCGCTCACCTTTCTTCTTCAGGAAGGTCCTCACAAAGGGGTCGATGCGGACGAACTCCAGCTGAATGTCGTCGCCATCAAAGGGGACCCACCTACCATTTGAGAGCTGCTCGATCACGATGCTGTACTCCTGAGGTCAGAGGCCAGTGAGCTGGGGTGGCTGGGGCCTGCAGAGGTGCCACCCTTGGGCCACCTGGAGCCCCCGCTCATGAGTCTGGCAAGAACTCCCAGGAGGCCCATACCCCCTCCCAGGGCCAGGGAGGGTGCCCCTGAGCCAGGTCCCACCCTCTCAGGCACCCTGGCTCTGTAGTCACTGCTCTCCTGCTGTTCTCACTGCTCCTACCTGGCAGATGCACCCTCAAAACCCCATTCAAATGCCGCTTCTCTTGTGAGCCCCCCTCCCACAAAAAAACTATGCCTCTTCAAAGGAGGCTTCCAACGAGGACAGCGGTTCTCCGCCAGGTACCTGGCAACCATGACACAGCCTGACTCAGGGCCCTCAGGCCCAACCAACACCTTAGTGTCCAATAAGTGCTTCTGAGCTGAACCAACTTGGCCAAAACTGGGGGCCCTCACACTCCAAGCACTCTTACCACGAGGTCAGTGACAGTGTAGGCGTTGGGTGGGGCCGTCTCGCCCACCCGATGATGGGACACAGGCCCCACGCGGAGGACACCCTCCTCCTTGAACACCCAGCGGGAGAGGGCCACAGCCAGCTCATAGTTGCCCGTCTGGGAATACCTGCGAGGAGAGAGGCGCGGCGAGAGCACCAGAACAACGCTCCATCTGCCCGACAGGCAAGACTAACCACTGGCCACCAGGCAGAATTGCTCATTTCCACCTGGAGGCCGTACATCTAGGTATCTGGTTAAAGGAACACAGAAAAGAAATAATGTGAGGTGGTGGTTTTCTGGGTGTCTTCTGCACGTAAATACCCAATTTTCAAAACGGCTCCAGATAAGTCACTGCTCCCTTGAAAAGCTTGCAGGGCCAACTCCAGCAATACAGCAACCAAATCTCTTAATTTTAAAACACCTACCACTTAGCCTCTGACACTTGCAGTTAAAAAGGTCCTTCCTCCCCACCTGCCCAGACCCCATCACACAGGCCAGGGCCCCGAGGCCTACCTCTGGGAGCCGGGCGTGGCCTTCTGCACTGCTGAGTTGAAGAAGGCATCGCTGAAGAAGTCCAGGGAGCCGCTGAAGATGACCCGGGCGTTGTTCCTGGCCTGGAGCCCGGCGATGAGGAGGGTGTTCTTTCCCACCGCATGGGGATACTGGGAATGAGATGGGTGTCTTCCAAGGAATGCCCGCGTAGAGGGCAGGCAGACAGCTTTCCTCATGCGCCCCGAGAGTATGGTTTTCTGCATGCTCCCTGCGCCAGCCCACCCCCCGGTTCATCAGCGTCACACAACACAGTGCTGTGCAGTTACTGGCCCAAAGTTGGAGGCCTCGGGGTTGCAAAGGCCTCTCACCTGGGTGATAGGTTTATCCGGGAAGAAGGAGTAGGAGGTGGAGGAGCCTGTCAGGATGTCCAAGACCAAAGGATTGTCAGGATCAGCCACCATCCTGCAGAAGAGAAGCATTGCCCGCCTCTGACCCCAAGAACTGAGCCCAAAGGACCTGGGGTCTCCAAAGAGTCTTTTCTTTGCAGGGATGAATCTGGCTCCTTTCTCCTCGCCCCCGAGCATATCCCTTGCCACTGGGGCAAGGGATCAACCCCCAGTCATGCTCGGGTTGATTTCCTGACAAAAGAAAGTGATCCCCTCTTCCCGCAGGTTCTGCTGGCCTCTCCCTGCTCACTCACCCAACACCTCGAAAGAGGATGGGATTCAGGGATGACTTCCCCACGATGGTCGGGGCCTTCAGCAGGTTCTCAGTGTCAGCCACAATGAGCGTGTGCTGCGGGGGGCGGGGTGTGGCAGGCAGGCAGTCAGGAAGAGCACCCTGCAACCAGGGAGCCCCTGCCGACACCCTCCTGGTCCAGGCTGGATGCTGCTTAAGGGCCTCAAACCTGGATGGCAACAGGCCGCATTACCTGACCAAGGTCTGAGACATCATAGTTGTGGTGGTCAATGACAGCCGTCTTCTCCTCGTCAAACTCAATCCCACACTCACTGCCCAGCTCGCGAAGAGGGTCACCTGCACAGACCCAAGGGGTGCCTGGCTGAGCCCTTGTGGGAGGCCCCGGGCCAAGTCGTGTCACTTGTCCTGGCACATCTCCCAGTCGCCCCGAGAGCCCCACAGCTCCACTGGGTCAGACCAGGCCCTGTGGGCAGCCGCCTGGTATTCGACCTACAGGGTCAGCATCTCAGCTGACCAAGAACAGCGACCCGACCCTCTTCCCCACTAATACACAGTGACCTTGGTTCTGTGCAAAAACGCCTTTGAAGCACAGCTGCCTCAGGCGAACCTGACCCGGGTGAGCCTGGGCTTACAGGGTTCTTTCTTCTCATCATCACCCCACCTAGAGGCTCGCCCAATATGGTTTTAAAAATCTGTTAGTGGGCCTCCCCAGTGGCGCAGCGGTTGAGCGCTGGGCTGCGAAACTGCCCGCGGCCTCTGCAGCGCCGGTTCGATCCCTGGCCGCCGGCGAGGGTCCCACATGGCGCACAGACCTCTCCTGCGGCCCGCTGCTCCCCTCAGCAGTGTCTTCTGTCTGTCTGCCTGCTCTGCTCCCCGCTCTGACTCTGGTGAATTCTCTCACCCTCCCGCGCTTCTGACTGTACCCAGTGCTTGCATAAAATAAATAATGTTAAAAATAAAAAAATAAAAATCTGTCGGCACTGGGGAGAAGGCAGCAAGGTTGGCGAGGGATCAGTGCTGTGAAGCGGGGGCCGGGCCCATGCACGGAGCCTGCTCTCACCCTGCATCTAAGCGTCTGTGCAAACGCCCAAGACAGGAACAAATCTGTGATGGGCTCTGCCCCGCCGGCTGCCCACTTGCTTTCCTTCCCTCCAAGAGCCACCAAACCAAACGAAACCATGGAAAAAACACAAACACACACACAAGGTCCCACTGGCTCCACCCACAGGGCAGCAGAGGGACGAGGGCCCTGGGGTCCCCTCCCTGACCAAGTCCTGCCTGCGGAGCACCAGCTGGGCAGCATCCACGTGTAAAGCTCTTCAAGCTCCCCAGAGAAATGGTGGACGGCACCCGCTGCCGGGTCACACTTACCAATGTCCGAGCTGGCAGCGACCAGGACGCTGCCTCCCCCGTCGATGAAGGTACTGATGGTCTCCACATTGATGTTGCCGCCAAAGTCTGCAAGAAGCACTGGGCTCAGTGATCCCCACGGTTCCTCCTGTGCCCCTCTGACATTTGTGGGTAGAGGTGGGAGTGACTGCAGAGCAACCACCGTCAATCACAGAACAGTGGCCCCTGAGGCCCACAGGGGAGGGGTGTTACCCCATATGCCGGCCACAGGGCAATTTGCTGGGTGCCCAGATGTGAAAAATCAGAGTTGTGAGTGACATAGTCAAACGTCGGCCAGTCGAGTTGTCAAGTTAGTGACCTGGGTGTCATCATTGGAAATGCTGTGTCTACCCACTCATATTTCCGGAAATCACACTCAAAGTCATCACCTGCAACGTTCATGTCAGTATCTTTGTCACCACTAGAGTTATTGGGGGGGTCACCAAGTTTTTTCCAGTGCCCCCCAATTTCACTTCCATCTAAGCTGCCTGAGAGGGAGCACTTTTGAATCTGAGGATGTTGCTGTCACCTGAGACTAGCACCCATTTGCCTAACATGAGTAACCCCCTATTCACCCAACATTTAGATTTGTGGTAGCCATAGTGGAATCACTTAGTAGACTGCCTTTTTTTTTTAAGGCACATCAATTTCCAACACTTATAATTGTGAGATTATCCCCTTTTCTGGTCAACCCAGTCAGCTCACTGACAGAAGCATTCAGAATAAGCAATGAGTAGGACCGCTGTAAGCTCAGGAGTTTTTCCCAAAGTGTACCCCAACATTCAACATAAAAATGGAGGGAGTGCTCGCAAATTCACCTAGTCTTTAAATGGAAGGGGAAAAGCCAAGGCAGCATTCTCGCACCTTGAGATGGCTGGGAGCAGAAGCCTTTACCCTAAACCCCACCCCCAGCCCACACCCCACTCAAACACACTGCCAGCAGATACACGCTTCTCCTTGGGAGTGCCCGGGAGGCTTTCCTGGGGCAGCATTTTCCAAAGTGTTGGACCCAATCCACAAAGGGCCAAAATAAAAAAAAAGGTGACAAGTGATGTGGGCCACAGAGGTTGCAGAAAGTTAATCCTCTTCTAATGCTGCTTCAGGCTCTCCTCATCAGCAAAGGTCACAGTTTGATGCCAGACTTTACCACTTATCTCACAACAGCTAATCAAGTCAGGTAAGAGGAAGCCTCCCCCTCAATAGGCGCCAGGTCGGTATAACCCCAGCATAGTCACAGCTGCTGTGAGCACGTGATGACGCAGCTCTCCATTTCCAGTAGTGGTTCTGGCCTCATTTATTGGCCCCTTTTTAAGATGTTTGTTTTTTTTCTAGGTGAATCCATTTAAAGGAAAGTATTATGCAATTATTAGCACAGGTGGTCGGAGAAGGGATCCAGAGTGGCCTAGGTGTGTGAGATGGCTTTACGCTCATACCCAACACGCAGGGCAAAGGAATGGGTCAGGCTTTACGCCATCAGCCTCTGTGGCTATCACCTGCAGCCTTGAATGCAGAGGCATTTGGGAGCGCGGACACGTGGAGTATGGTGTGGGCCTGCATAAGTGGGCACACCTGAGCGCTGAGGCTATAAGGGTGGCGTCATTCAGAGACGAGAGAACGAGTGGCCCCAGACAGGCAGGATCACAAGACAATGCAAGAGCAAGCCGAAAGAGTACAGAATCACGGGGGAGGCCTGCCAGCCTTGCCATCCTGTAGCCTTGCCCCACAACAACTGGCGTAGAAAAAGCATTAAAGCCTGAAAAAGCCACTGAGGGCTCTAGGACTCTCCTTTATGCCTCTGCCCAAATCAATACAGAGCTGCCCTGTGCTTGCTGGCACAACACAACAGCCCATTTCAACCTTTGCCCAATCCGTCTTACCCACACCTCCTTCCATGTCCCAAACCGACACTTGAGTGCAACCTGGGTGGGCCCTCCACTCCACCATGCACATCCCGACACAGGGTTTGGTAACTCATTCTAAATGCTCATTTTTATTTCTTCAAAAACAAATGGAAATATCTCAAGGGCAAGTTCTCAGTCGCCGTTCAGTCCCTATTTCAGAGTTCCAAACACAATCTTCATGAAGACTGGCTCACCCAATTTTCATGAACTACAGAATTAAGTAGCTGCCAACAAAGCAAAAAAACTTCCAAAGCTTCATCAATCAAAGACAGAGATGGCAGCCTGTTCTTAACCCAGACGGACAACTTACGTGTTCTGAGAAAAAGACAAAACTGAAACTACTAACAAGGAGAATAACTAGGAAGCTCCCCCAAAAAAGCACAACGAAAGAAAAACTGTCAAAGGAACCAGGGATATTTAGTCTGGAGAAAAAAACAACTGAATAGGTCATGAGATTGTGAAGACTATGCCTATGTAAATTAAGCATCAGACTTACTCTCTAAAACCCTGAGAAATATAAATACCTCCTTCCCTCTCCCACCCCCAAATAAACAAAACTGGAAATTTAATTAGGAACTTCTAACAAGAGTCCAGCGATGGAATGGACTGTCTCATAAGGTAGCAAGTTCTCTGTCACAGAAATACTTAAGTAACAAAACTGGATAGTCTAAGCAAGGTATTCATTCTGTTCAACAACTAGTTCCCTACTAAGCCCTAGACATACTTGTCCAGACTCAAATAGGATGTCACAACGCCTCTTTACAGCAAACCACATTAACATTATACCATTTTCTCTTTCCACACCGCACACAGGCAAACCCAATTAAGGGTAACCTCCATCTTTTCCACCAGTTCCTTTACAGAGAAACTACCTTCGCAAAGGTAGCAACACCGATCCCACAATCGTCAGCTGTGCCCTGCTGGGCCCAGGTTAGGCGTTAACATTCCCCTCTACTCTGGCATAGCAGCGACCAGAGCTGGTGACCCATCCCATGATCCAGAATATGCCCAAGATTCAGAAGGCGGCAACCAATCAATCCTGGGCCTCCAATCCCGATTCTGGAGACGCGCAGCTCTTACCTTCAACCGAAGGGGAGAAGATGATGAGATTGTCATAGAGGAACTCCCCGTACTTAATGAGGGACAGGCTGGGGTCATCCGCCGTCTTGAAAGTGAGTTCAAAGCCCCGATCTGCACAAGAAGAATGCAGGAAGCTGAAGGAGACGGCATGCAAAGGGGCATCACCCCTTCAGAGAGCACGACCGCCTCCCCCGGGCTACAGGCTAGACGCGGGCGGCCCGCCAGTGGAGAACGAGTAGGAGGGCGGGCGGGCAGCGCACCTGGGCCAGCCCAGATTCTCAGCCCGCCGCCCCCTGGGGCCCCGCTCTCACCCTTCAGGCTTCGGAAGAAAAGCGAATGCGTCTCCCGCAAGTTGAGGTTGTCCAGTAGCACTAAGGTGCGGGGGCCGCTGGCGCAGGCCCCACCAAGCAAGGGCAGCAGCCACAACAGGGACCAAGCGCGGGCTGCAGCACAGGGCTCCATCTTCCTCCTCCAGCCAGAGAACCCGAGCACCTGGGCGCCGGAAGCGGCCCCTGCGGCCGTCCAATCGCGGCTCGCGGTGGTGAAGTATCACCCGGAAGTGATCCGCGTTCGCCGGGGTCAGGAGTCCGGGGACGCAGCTTGGGCGGTAAGGAGCGGGGAGCACCGCCGGAAGTGACCGGACTGGAGGCGGGGCCTCTGAGCGCTATTGGCGGAAGAAGCGAGAGGCTCCGCCTCCCCAGAGGAAAAGGCTCAATCCCCGAGGGACAGCTCTGCAGCCAGGGCCAATCAACAAGACCGAGAGCCCTTAAGGCCCGCCCATAGCCTGGATTCCCGCCTCCTTATCGGCTACGCCGTGACGTTGACCCTCGGGGTGCGGGCTCTGTGGCCGCCTGGCTTCTCTTAGTGTGTGGGGGCCGGGCCCCGCCGCTCCGGGGAGAGGAGATCGGGAAATAGGGTCCTCCAGAGTGTGTCCGGCCGTTCGCGGGCCCACGGGCCACGGCGCGGGCATCTCCTGCCGGCCGGCGGCCTGGCAGCCACTGGGAAGCCCCACCTGGGTTCGCGTCCCGGCGCCGCCCCTCCCTAGCCCGTTTTCGGGGCGTTTCACTTCCCCGCAGGCCGCGTTGCAGGCGGGAGAGAGGAGCGGCGGCGAGGCCCGGCTCTCCGGCTGCCGGGCGCTTGGGGCAACCTGGGCCCCGGGAGAACCGGCGCGGGTTGAGAGCGCGGTGCGCGTCGGGCCCCACCCTCCGCCCGGCGATGAGGCTCCTGCCCCTGCGGAGTCGCTCCAGGGGCCGCGCGGCCACCTCAGACCTGCCTGAGGCCACCACGGGTTTCAGTAACTCACTACTCGCCGCCCCGAGACTTCAGCCGTTCCCCGGGCCCCAGCCACGGTCCTGGCGCTGGCGGTGGAGAGCGACGGTAGCAGTTCTTGGGTGACCTTTCACTCTTGCCCACCAAGTCAAGTGTGAGGCGGCGTGATTCAAAACCTCCCTCCGGCTTCTCCTTCATGGCCTCAGTCTGCATCCCCTCTGGCTTCAACCCCAGGTTAAGCCTGTCATCCCCGTTCCCTGCAGGGCAGCCCAGCCCTCCCGCCCTTCTGCACACACTTTTAGGACACCGCAAACTCAGACCGGATGGTGCAACCCGATGCTCAGGAGTCTGCCAAGCTCGGGAACAACGAAAGGCCTGTACTCGTCTCGGCCTCCTCCACCACCTCTCCCTCCCTGCCCAGGGCTTCCTCGGGACAAGTGAAAGGCCCTCCAACCTTCAACACCCTGAACTTCCCCACCCCCTGCCTTTTGCTCATGCAGCTCCCACTGCCAGGTGCCACTGCCCCGCATTCCCATCCTAAGTCTCCTGGTGTCTCTCCATGGTATCCAGGCGCAGTGGTGCTCCCTTCACACAGGCACTTGGCCCCCCATAGAGCTCATCTTGCACCCTCTCTGGGACTGCCTCTAGTTAGATCTGTCATTACCTAAGCACCCTCCGCCCCAGCTGCTCCAGAGCATGAGCTATGTGGCTTGTGGGACCCACCACGTAGGGATTACAGAACACGGAGGAGGAGGAGTAAAGGGGCTAACACAGCACCTGCTCCACCAGGTACTTTACAGACCATCTCATTTATAACCTTCGCAAGACTCCCGTGGGGAGGGTGTTATCTGCATTTCAGGGATGAAAATGAAAGGAGGCTTAAGAGAGCACCCAAGGCCACGTCTTCTCCCTCAAACTATGGGCCCCTTCCACAGGGCAGGCTTGGGACACAATAGGCAGAGAGGGGTGTGTCCTAGATACCTGGGGTGGCCCAGATTCATTCTCACGATGTCAGACGCCCCTCTCCAGCGCAGCCTCTGAGAACCTGCACCTTCTCTGGGCCTCAGCAACACATGGCCTCTTTTCCAGAGCAAGGACTTTGCCTTCCTTATCACAGATCCTTTGCGAATCTAATGACAGTTCAAATGCTCTCCCCAGAAAAATGCTCTTGTACTCACAGTGTCAGAAACCCTGGACCTGCTTGTTCTAAAAGTACCAGGCAGTAAGGACCCCACTCCAGAAAGCCCCTTGAAGGCCAGCCAGCGGGGTGTGGTCAGAAGACCAGGGAGGGGGCACTGGTTGGTAAAAGGCAGTTTATTGGAGCAGCTTAATGTGTGGCCTCTGGGCCGCAGGCCAGTCAGGAGTGGGCAGCCCAGGACAGCCGTTCCAGGACTCCTCTGCCCTGCCCGCAGGGCTTCACCCAGGAAGTGGGCCAAGTGGATGGACAGAGGCACAATTTCGATCACCAGCACATTGAGCTTGAACCACGTGGACGCTGCTGCCCACTCCGTCAGGGCTGCTGGTGAAGGCCTGGTGGCAGAGCTGAGGCCCTGAGCCCCCCGGGGTGCAGAACACCAGTGAGCACCGAGGGCGGGTTCTGTGGCAGGTGAGCAGAGAGAAACACTGACGCGATGTGGAAAGCTGGCGCAGGACAGTCCAGCCTCAGGTGGCCCTGGGCTGAGGTGGGCTCTCTGGGGAACAGGGAAGGGAATATGTCTTTCCAGGGTAAGGCTGCCTTGGGCCCCCAGTCACTGTGGGGGCAGATGCAGGGAGCCTGGCTGGGGCTGCCCTGGGGGAGCTCCCGAAGCCCAGGCAGGGCAGCAGCCGGCAGTTGTGTTCACAGGGGCTCACTGCCAAAGCTGATCTTGCTTTTCTTACGCTTGGCCTTGGCAAAGGGGATGTCGAGGGACTCGAGGCGGAAGGGCCGGGGCTGTGGCATCTCGGGGGCCGGGGCGGGTGGGATGGCAGAGGTGTTGCTGAGCGGGGAGCTGAAGCCGGGCGGCGAGCTGTGATGTGCTGTGGAGAAGAGGAGGCACTGGTGAGCCGGCGTGGAGTCGGCGACTCTGCCCACCCCCACCCAGCCTGGGCCTGGGCCTACAGCCGGGACCCCCAGCTCTGAAAAGCTGATCAAGCGCCCCATCTGCAGCCAAAGGGCCTGGGATGGGAGTTTGGAGTTTTCAAGCCCCAGACTGAGGCGGCCAGGGGTCTCAGGCCACACCCGCCCGGGTGAAAAGCCCAGCTCCGCCTCCTTGGGCAGCCACTTCCGCGCCTCAGTCTCCTCATCTGCCACCGGGGCACAATAGCCGGTGACTAGCGGGTGTTTCTTTCCTGCCTCTTTCCCTCAGGTCTGCCCTTTGCCTCTTAAATAACCTCAACAGAAAACAGAAACTTGCTTTTCATCGCTGCTGTTTTACTGGGAGCGCTGCGATCTTTGATTTTAGTTTTAAAAGCGGAAGGATGACGTGATTTTTGATCCTTGCTTTCAAAAGCGGGTGTTACGTTTGTGGCTCTGTTCGCCCCCCCACCCCCACCCCCGCCCCCCAGGCTCACTTGGAGAGCGCCCCAATACCAGCCTCTGAGGGTGCTGGGGAGCAGCCATGCAGGGCCCCAGGCTGTACTGAGCACCCACCGCCCGTCAGGGGGAACATGACTCAAGCCTTTCCGCAGCAGCCAAGGGGCGGCGGGGCGGGGAAGCCGTGGGCTGCACACCTGTATGTGCCCGGCCCTGGCGGCGCCCCCGGCCCCCCGCTTCTCACCAAACCCCGAGAAGCAGGCGTCACCACCCTCCTCGCTGAGTAGCTGATGAAACTGAGGCTTAGACCGGGGCAGGGTGTTTGAACTCGGCCTGTGTGGTCCAGATCCACCCCGCCGTGCCGCTCCCGGCTGACAGGGGCCAGGAGGGCTCTCGAGGGGCTGGAGGCCTGGAGGAGGGCAGGGCACTCACTGAGGCTCTTCATGGGATCTGAGCTGAGGATCTGGCTGGCCCGCTTGGACCGGAAGTAGTTGCTCGCGATATTTTCACTGTCGCTCCGGCTGAGCATCAGCTTATAGCGGTCTTCCTCCTGCTGAGATTCGAAATCCTTACGGGGCAAGTCTCCTTGCTTGTGTAACTCTTACCCGCGCCCTTAACCTGGGAACCTGCTGGGAGGGGGGCTGCCCTGAGCCCACCGCCCAGTTGGATGTACCCTATTGTACCCGCCCTGATGCCTGGGGTGGCGTTGAGGCAGCGAGGGGCCACCCAAGTTACTCAGAAAGGACCCAGGCTCGGCCCCTGCACTCATCCTTAGGTGGGATGAGAGTGGAAGTCGAGTTCTCTAGAGTCACTGGACTTTGACTAACAGGCCCGCAGGCCGCACTCCTTACTCGAGCTCGCAGGGGACTCACCAGGCCTGGCTCGCCGCTGTCCACTGCAGAGGTTTTGCGGGCTGGTTTGCTCTGAGGCCCTGTGGAAACTGCTATGAGAAAACAAGAGCTGCAGTCACTGCTGCCTGGCATGCGGGCCAGAGGCCGCTCCCCAGAACAGGGGGTCTGGCATGGCCCAGAGCTAGGAAGGGACACGTCCCAGCCCAAGGGATGACTCTGGGAAATAAGCTGGAGGACTCAGATGCCAAAGAAGCCATTTCCCTGCTTGCGGACTAGAGAGCAGGTGGCTGGGAGCAGGAGGCAGGAGGCTGCTGCCCAGAGTTTGTGGGCACTGCAGCAGCTGGCGTGTCAGTGGCTGGCCAGAAACCCCAGAGATGTAAGACCCAGAGGAGCACATATGAATGGGGAGGACTGATGGGGAGCACAGTGGAGTGAGAGCACGAGGCTGCGTGAGGGGCAGAACCACCCCTGAGCAGAGGAGAAGCCGCTGCAAGCCTGGTGTGCTCTCAGACTCCACAGAGGTGGAGCGACCTTCGACCTTACCAGCCCTTCTTTGTGAGGATCAGGGGACCAGGGCCCAGAGGAGGACAGTGACCTTCGGGAGGAGCTCAGTGACACACAGAAGTTGACCCAGGCCTGAAAGTCTGAGCAGCGGTCTCTATCCCTGGCCTACAACCACGGCCATACTGTGACTTTGGAGAAATCACACTTTCTGAGATGACGTTTCTTCAGATGGAAAACAGATGGAATCATCTTCGTCTGTCACTGAGTTGTTGTAGGATGAGTTGTAATTATACATTGTAATCACTCAGTGACAATCGTGATAGTGATAGCAAGCACCTACTAGGTGCCAGGTATGGCTACAGGCTGTAATACAGTAACACATTTTAAGTCACCCAGTGATCTTTAAGGAGGGCGCTGTTACTAATCTCCATTTCACAGATGAGGACACTGAGGCTCTGAGTCCCACAGGGAGTGGTGGAGCCAGAATCCCAACCCACATCTGTCTGGCTCCAGAATATACCATTTTCACAGGCCCCCAATGTTTTGGGAAGCCAGGTCATGTGTCTGCTGCCCCCACAGCCAGCAGGGAGAGGCCCATGTCTCCCTGTCCGTCTACAGGGTGGCAGACTGGGAGGGGGGCGGGGAGAGTTGAGGGCACAGCCAAGCTCCTGACCTACTGGGAGGCTGGTTTTTATGATGATGGGCTCAGGAATCTTCCAGAAGCCATTATCTTCATCCCAGCAGGATTCCCGCCTTATCTTCTCCAGGTTGCTATAGTTACAGTCCCTGCGAATCAGGGGCTGCACCTGCTCCAGGAGCTGCTGGAAGAGCAGAGAATCCCGTTCCTGCCGGCGAATGGTGGCCAGGTAGTCGATCTTCTCCAGCTCAAATTCCGACTGCAGGTCTTTGATCTCCACCTCTGCTGCCCGCAGCTAGAGCAAAGGAATGACAAGCAGTGAGCAGGAAAGACACCAAGTCATTTCACCATCCATTCGACCTGCCCGGCCACTGCCTGGTCCCCCAGCCACTCCTCTGTTTGTTGACTGAGCCGTCCGTCCAGCTCCTCTCCGGCTGCCCAGCCACCTCCCGTGTATGCATTCTCCTTTCCTGCCACCCCCATCCCTCCATCCGTCCACCCCTCCATCACTCTTCCACCTCTCTGCCCAGCATTTAAATTAGTATCTACTGCGTCTGCAACCCTACAGAAAGCAGGGACTCGTTCACTGATTCTAGTAGGTTTTCTAGTGGATTCATTGGAATTTTCTATATATATAAAGACCACGTCATCTGTAAATAGAGAAAATTTTACCTCTTTCTTCCTGATTCAGATCACACTCTTGCCTAACTGCCCTTTTCAGAACCTCCAGACCAGAGCTCAGCAGAAGCAGTGAGAGCAGATATCCTTTGCTTGTGTCTAACCTTAGGGGGACATTGTCCAGCCTTTGACCACTAAGTACAGTGTTAGCTGTCAGTCGCTTATAGATGCCCTTATAGTCCTCGTTCGGTGAATGTTTTTATCACAAGTTTCAAATTTTTCAAATGTTCTTATGCATCAATTGAGATGATTGTGTGATTGTTTTTGTCGTTTCTATTGATATGATACCTGGGGTTGGGGGATGTTAAAGCAATCATGCATTCCTGGGATAAATCCTACTTCAGCATGGTGTAGCAACCCTTTTATATGTTGCTGCACTTGGTTTGCTAGTATTGGATAGAACATTTTGGGTCTGGGGCCTCCCTGGTGGCGCAGGGGGTTAAGACACAACCTATGAAGCTCATCGCAGCCTCTACAGCACAAGTTTGATCCCCAGCCAGGGAGGTGACCCACATGGCGCAGCAGACCTCTCCTGTCTCACCCGCTGCTCCCCTCAGCAGTGTATTTCAGTCGATCTACCTGTTCTGTTCCCCACTCTGTCTCTGGTGAATACTCTCACCCCCCAAAACTCTTGCCTATACCCCAGTTCTTGTATGTATAAATAAATAAATCTTTTTTTTTAAAAAAAGAACATTTTGGGTCTGTATGTAAAAGGATCATTAGTCTATAGCTTTATTGTTATGTCTTTGCCTAATTTAGATAGTAGGGTGATACTGGCCTCGTGGAATGAGTTAAGAAATCCTCTCTTCTAGTTCATGATGACTTTTTAAAATACTTTAACCACTAGCCTTCATTTTACAACTAAAATACAATTAGAAGATATAACAGAGGGCCTCCCCGGTGGCGCAGCGATTGAGCGCTGGGTTGCGAAGCTGCCCGCAGCCTCTGCAGTGCCAATTCGATCCCCGGCCGCTGGGCGAGGGTCCCACATGGCACGCAGACCTCTCCTGCCACCCGCTGCTCCCCTCAGCAGTGTCTTCCGTCTGTCTGCCTGCTCTGCTCCCCGCTCTGGCTCTGGTGAATTCTTTCACCCTCCTGTGCTTCTGACTGTACCCAGTGCTTGTATAAATAAATAAATAAATCTTAAAAAAAGAAGAAGATATAATGGAAGAGGCTACTTCATATTGGAAAGCAAAAAAATACCCAAATATAAAACTAACAACATATATCCAAAGCCAGATGAGGACACTTATAAAACACTCCTGAATGACACAATAGTTGATTCGAACTAATAGAAGATATATCATGCTCCTGGACAGGAAACTCCAACTTCACAAAGGTTAGTATTTCCAAGCTAATTTATAAATTTATAAATATAAATTGAAAATATAAAAATATAAAAATCCATCAAGTTTTCCTTTCTTCTTTTTTTTTATCTAGTGCAATTATTTATAAAGTTCATTTGGAAAAAAAAAAACCAAACAAGAAAGAATATCCAGAAAAAGATCATTGTTGAGAGAGGATTAGCCCTGTGAGAATGTAAAACATATTATGAGGCTTCTACATTTTAAACAATGTGGCTGGCACTATTGTGTGACTAGAGCAAGCAAAAGAAATGAGTAGAGGGCCTCCCCAGTGGTGCAGCGGTTGAGCGCTGGGCTGCGAGACTGTCCGCAGGCTCTGCAGCGTCGGTTCGATCCCCAGCTGGCCAGCAAGGGTCCCACATGGCACGCAGACTCTCCTGCTGCTCCCCTCAGCAGTGTACTTTGTCAGTCTGCCTGTTCTGCTCCCCACTCTGGCTCTGGTGAATTCTCTCACCCTCCCATGCTTCTGACTGTACCCAGTGCTTGCATAAATAAATAAATAAATCTTTTTAAAAAATGAGTAGAAAATCCAGAAATACATCTAAATGCCTTTGGAAATTCAGTAGTCAATAAAAGCAGCATTGAATGCAGTGGAGGATGAAAGGCTACAGCTGAACTGGCCCTTTAGCAGGATACATTCTTAGTGGATCCAAGATTTAAATGTAAAAGAAAATGAAGCCAGGCAAGTTCTAGAAGAAAACACGTGAACTGACTGGCCCAAACTCAGAATCCATATGCAGTAATTAAAATTTTGATCTATTTGACAAAATAATTTTTTAAATGTTATATAACACAAACATCACAGAGCAAAGTAAAAAAAAAAAATGAAAATGGGAAAATCACAGACCTGAAGTGAATATTCCTAATGTAAATTATAATACTCCTGATATTGAGGACTTCTGTGAGCAGAGGAGACAAGTGCCCTTTTCAGAACCTCTGGTAGAGGAACAGGTGAAAAAGGTGAACATGAGTTGGAGGGGGGAAAAACTACAAATGTGCTAAAATGTGAAAAAGTGCTCAACTTTGCTCACAGTAAGAAAAATGCACATTAAAACTACCACGAGAGGGGCCTCCCTGGTGGCTCAGGAGTTAAAGTCTCAGTGCAATGGCCAGCCATTGCCACATGAGTTCGAGCCCCTGCCAGGGAGCTACCCACATGGTGCAGCAGACCTCTCCCGTCTTGCCTGCTGCTCCCCTTAGCTTTGTATTTCAGTCAGTCTGCCTGTTCTATTCCCCACTCTGTCTCTGGTGAATCCTCTCATCCCCTACATCTCTGGCCTACACCCCATTTCTTCTGTGCATAAATAAATAAATCTTTCTTAAAAAATGACAGTGGAGGGCCTCCCCCGTGGCGCAGCGGTTGAGCGCTGGGTTGCAAAGCTGCCCACAGCCTCTGCAGCGCCAGTTCGATCCCCGGCTGCTCCCCGGCCACCGGAGGAGGGTCCCACATGGCGCACAGAACTCTCCTGCCGCCTGCTGCTCCCCTCAGCAGTGTACTTCAGTCCTTCTGCCTGCTCTGCTCCCCGCTCTGGCTCTGGTGAATTCTTTCACCCTCCCGCGCTTCTGATTGTACCCAGTGCTTGTATAAATAAATAAAAACAAATAAATCTAAAAAAAAAAAAAATGACCATGGAAAAGCCCAGTTGTAGCAGAGTTTTTAAAAGTACCTGGCAAAGCATTTACCATTTCCTAAATTTGCACTCTTTGCAGATTTCTGCGTATATACTGAGATTCCAGAATAGTTTTGCAAATTGTACAGAAACCAAAAAGGGTAGAAGCCTTAAATAAAGAAATTGCATTGACTTAAAAAAAAATTAAGACTAAGGTAAAGCTGCACTTCTCCATATGAACGGAAGAGTGTGCTATTGACTGGGGAGCAACCTGAACCTTCACCTCTGCATTCATCTGTTACCGGAAGTGCAGAGAAACAAGACATTTGCAGATTAAACAGAAAGGGGCAGATGCATCCAATCAAAGCTACTATCAGAAAGAGAAATGAAATTCACAGCATTTCAGCAGAACCTCCAAAGCACACAGAACCGAGCAGATGGAAAATGTAACCCAACAGCTCAACATGAATAAAGTTTCCTGACGCATCTGCACAGATACGAGTTTCAAATCAGAAATCAATACAACTTAAAAGTGGACAAAAAGGAAGACGTACAAAATGGGACACTACGCAAACCCAGGAAAGAGATTTTTAAAAACTTAGATATGCGGACCACACGATAAGGTAGCGCAGGAGAACAAATCCAACGGAATAGGAAACAAGGGGTATATTAAGAAAAAGGCACAAAAATGGTCAAGAAAACGTAAAAAGATGTGAGGCTTAACTAAGAGAAAGGCAGCGCTTTATGCTTCGGTGGAATCCTTTGGTTGCCAGCGTTGGGTGGGACCAGAATGAGGGGCATCGGGGGGCGTTTTGACCATGCCAGGTCCCTGCAGGGGACGCTCACCTCCCTTGCCCTCATGGCCTGTGCTCAGTTCCTGGAACCAGGAACCCCTTGCAAGCCCCCTGGGGCCTGGAATGCTCTTCATCTTTCAGGTCCCACCTCGGAAGTCACCACATCCCTGACAACCTCCCTGACCCCCATCTCAGTGGCCCCAGAAACTCCTGGGGTTCTGCTGATGTGCAGTTTCTGGATCTGAGTGCTGGTTTCATGGGTGCATTTGCTTCATGGAAGCGAATTAGGGTGTGCGTGATCTGTGCATTAATACTTCAATAAGGATGAAAACACAGGGCCTCCCCTGGTGGCGCAGCGGTTGAGCGCTGGGTTGCGAGGCTGCCTGCAGCCTCTGCAGCGCCAGTTCGATCCCCGACCACTGGCGAGGGTTCCACAAAAAAAAAAAAAGGATGAAAACACAGTGACCTCCCACACCCCCCACACACACCCCACCCTGTGTCTCTTCCTAGTGTTATCACCCCAAGACTCTTCTTGCTTGTTTGTCTGTTGTGTGATTTCCGACACACACACTCCCCCTGGAACCCACACTCCCTCAGAGCAGAGATGCGGGGCGCCGCACACAGCGGGTGCGTGTGAGTGTCAGGGTCAAGAACAGAAGAAGGCCTGCCAGGGGCCACCTGGGCGAGGGTCCAGGAGCAGAGTCGGGGGCTCACCTTCCTCTGCATCTTCTCCAGCAGCTTGCTCTTGGCCCTCACTTCCTCCTGGATGGAGTCGTAGACGTTGAGGAGCACCCAGTCCCCGCTGTCCTCGTCCGAGTTCTGCAGGGCGGCTACCAGCTGCTTCTTGCGCTCGTCCGCGTACCGCTTCCGCCGCTTGTGCTTCTCCTTCAGGTCCTTGTTCTTGGCCTGCTCCCCGCCGACCACCTGCTGCTCCAGCAGCTGCAAACTGCCAGCGTGGAGGAAGCAAGCGTGACGGGGTCCACCGGCCCCTGCACCTCTGTCCCGCACGACGTCACCAACTCCTCCCCACACGCCCAGCTCCCGGGGCGGACACGGAGGCTCAGGGGATGTTCCTGCACTAGGACAACTATGCTTATTTTCAAAAAGAACCACATGGCGTGAGTCGAGCGCCACACGCTCAGGGCCCGCCGTCTGGGCGCGACGCTGAAGGAACGTGTATCTCCACATGCTGACACACGTTTCCAGGTTTGCCCTTTCAAGGACAGCTTTTAACCAAGTACACAGCAAGGCTTCTGCGGACTCCTCGCTGCCCATGAAGCACCGCAGAAGTGTCCCGACGCTGGCACTTTCCAAAGCCACGATGCCAGGGACCTGTCACTACAGGCGTCAGGAGGATTCCTGGGCGGGGCAGGAGGTCGGAGAGTCTGCAAGCCCCGCAGGGGGCTCAGGCGCAGGGGAACCCGGTGCAAGGTCTTCTAGGGTCCCCATCAGGAAGAAGCCCGGGCCCCAGGGGGCACAGAGGGCCGCGCTCTCTCATCTCCCTCCGCAGCCCCGAAGCCCTGCCCGAGCTTCCAACACCAGGCGGTGCCCTCTCTGCATCTTTGGGCCGCCCTGGCTGTGCCGCCACCTCCCTGCCACCAAGGCGGCGCCACGCAGGTCGTATCCTGGCGGCCCCTCTCCTGTGGCCCTTCCCTGATCTCACTCCTGACCACAACATGAAAGCTGCCGTGGCTCGTGCCCCGGGTCTCTGCGGGCGGGAGGCCAGCTGCCGCCTCTGTGGGCACCGTCCCCTCGGACCTTCCCAAGCATCTCAACAGGAACCGCCACCGCGGCCCGTTCTGTGACGAGATGTTGAGGCGCAGAGAGGAGGAGGGAGGGAGTGGCGGCGGCGCCGGGCCCAGCCTGACTGGCCTCTCACGGCTGCCTAGACCCTGGCCCTCTGGGCCTTGAGCACCTCCCGCCTCTCGCCTCCAGGAGCCCCTCTCAGGCCAAGAGGACAAATCACCCCCTCCCTGCCTGCGGGTGCCCCGCGTGTGGCAGTTGCTTAGCTGACGTCTGTGCTTGGACGATGGGCAGGGAGGAGGCCGCTCGCCCACCCCCCACCTCCCTCCACCCCCCCAGGGGACCAGGCGCCTCTGCCCCGGCAGGAGGGAGAGCTGGGGAGGGCTTCATGGGAGGCCGAGAAGAATCTACGGGCACCCAGAGCCCAGGCCTGGCGCCTTCCCGCCCCGCCCGGGGTCCCCGGCCCCAGCTCCAGCGCTCACCGGGCAAGCACCTGCTGCTGGTCCACGACGGGCAGCCGCTCCTCAGCCAGCGCGGCCACCGCCACGCCCGCACCGTCCCTCCTCGCCGTCGCCGTGGCCAGCGGGGGCTGAGGCTGAGCCTCCGGGGCCGCCTGGACGTCCACCTCCGGCCCCGCGCCAGGCTCGGCGGCCAGCAGCACCTCCTCGCTCGCGTCCGCTCCCAGATCAGCCTCCTGAGCACGGAGAAACCAGAGGGGTCTGGCCCCTCCGAGGCTGGCGCGGATCACCCCCAGCTCGGAGACACCCGGTTGCACAGAAGCGCACCCAGTCGGGTTGTAGTGCTGCCATGTCCGCCAGCAGCGCCTCTCGGCCTCCGCCAACCCCGCCAGCCCCGGCCGGGCCCCGGAGCAGCCGCGCAGCCTTCGGAAACTCTGAACTGGTCACAGCCCCTTCCTGATTGGACCCCGTCATGGATTCCCACGGCACTTGCAGGGAAACCCAGTTTCTTCTGTGGCCGCCTCCCCCCACACCCCCCCAGCTTCCTGCCTCCCCGCCCCCCCCAGCCCCCATCCAGCCTGCAGCTACTCTGGCTTCAGCTGCGGGTGCTGAGAAAGTCGAGGTCTTTCCAGCCGCAGGGCCTGGCCTGCTGTCCCTCTACTCCAGCTCCTCCCCGCCTCCGGCTCTGCTTGGGCTCCCTCTCAATGTCCCCCGGCAGCCAGGGCCCCCCGCCACCTGCACGGGCTCCTACCCAGGGCGGGGGTCCGGGGGCTGGCAGCTGGCTCTCCTGCTCCGCGGGCGGGGGCTGAGCCGGGGCCTTCCTCTCACTCCCGCCGTCCTGCTGCGCGTCCTTAAGCAGAAGAGAAGAGTGTGGGGTCCCCGAGCAGCACTGTTCAAATGCCCCCCGCCCGCATGGGGGTGCCCCGACAGTGCCTAGCGCCCGGCCCCGCCCTGTGGCCCTGTCCCCCCCACGCACTGGCCTCTGCGCTTTAGGCTAAGGAAGCTTGGAAACCACTGGCCGGCGCGCAGGCCTCGGCGGGCCCACAGGCCCCGGCGGGCCCACTTTCGGGAGGGGAAGCGGTGAGCAGGAAGAACAGGGCCCTGGGTCTCCCCCCTGCCACGCCACTGGCCCCACGCACAGTCCTGGGCAGGTCGGCGGCCGCCTCAGCGCCGAGGGTGCCGGGCTCGGGCGGATCTGTCAGGGAGGCGTGCTTGTGGAAAAAGTGGGGGGAGAGGGACGTGGGGGGCCAGAGTCATCCTCTGCTCCCCACTCAGCATCCCAGGCTGCCCCCACCCGCACCCCCACCTCCTGCCTGTCGCTGGGAGAGGAGGTGTGGGAAGGGGCGAAGAACAGGGAAGGGGGAGAAGATGGGAGAGAGAAAATGGGGGAGAGAGGAGCTAATGCTGTGGGCTGGGGTAACCTGCATGCCAGCACCCCCATTCCACGGATGAGGAAGCCGAGATCTAGACATGACTGCGCAAAGTCACACAAGTAAGAAAGTGACAGAGTTGGGATGTTTGTGTGTGTGTGTGTGTGTGTGTGTGTGAGAGAGAGAGAGAGAGAGAGAGAGAGAGAGAGAGAGAGAGGGAGAGGGAGGGAAAGAGAGAGAGAGAGAATAAACACAAGGAGGGAAAAAATTAAACAAAAAATGAGGGCTGTTGGGGCCTCCCTGGTGGCGCAGGGGTTAAGACGCAGCCTATGAAGCTGTCTGCAGCCTCTGCAGCACGAGGTCAATCCCCAGCCAGGGAGCTACCCACATGGAGCAGCAGACCTCTCCTGTCTCGCCCACTGCTCCCCTCAGCAGTGTATTTCGTCAGTCTGCCTGTTCTGCTCCCCACTCTGTCTCTGATGAATCCTCTCACCCCCCACACCTCTGGCCTGTACCCCAGCTCTTGTATGCATAAATAAATCCTTAAAAAAAAAGAACAGAGGGTTGGGAAGGGAGGCCAGATGAAGGGACAGGAGGTGGAAGAGCAGCAGTGCAGGGGTCCTGTGGCCCCTGAAAGATGCTGGGTTTCTGCAGAACCCACCTCACCCCTCGCCGCTGCTCAACTCGAAGCTTATATAACTATGGCAACTGAGCAAACTCCCCTAGTAGGTGTCCCTCAGGCGGCAGAACAGGTGCCCAGCTGGCACAGCGTGCATCTCCATGCCAACCTTCCTACCGATTCAGAGAGCATAAGACAGTGCCTCCTTCCCAGCCCCCTGAATATGAGTGACCCTGACCGGCCACCAAGCCAGAGCCACCACGGAGATGGCGGGAGAGTGTCTGAGGATCGGCATCCTTGCACCTCTGCCCAAGCTCCCCTGCTGGATTTCTGCAGGGCATCCCACATGACATGGCTACCTGAGTGGGGACCTGGGATACATCTGGTGCGGGCACATCCACCCCGGCCACTGCGGAGGCCAGCCTGGCCAGCTTGGCTTCCACCTCGGCGAACGGGTCGGGCAGGCCCGGCAAGAGCCCCAGGGACAGCAACTGTGGCTCCTCTTCCCCGAAGTAGAGCTCCTGCTCCAGCAGCGGCTCCGTGGCCTCCTGGCTGAGACACTCGTCCTGGAAGTACCTTCCCTTGGCCTCCAGCTCAGGCATAAAAAACTCCACATTGGAGGGCTCCTCAGGTCCAGGGAAAGTCTTGAACATGCAGGTTTCTTCGAGTGTGGAAGACTCGTCAGACCCAAAAGAAACCTCAGATTTGGGGGTCTCCACCTCGGGCAGCTCCCGCAGCCTGGGGACACCCTCGGTCTTGGAGGCGTCCTCACTGGGCAGAGCGTCGGGCATGGAGTAGATCTCGGGTTTGATGGCCGTCTCATACTGGAAGGTGGGTGAATACTCAGACCTGCTGGCGAACTCAGCCTTGGACATGACCTCAGCCTTGCAGAGGACTTCTGCCTTCAGGACGGTCTCTGCAAAGAGGGGGTGTTTCCCTTGGTTTTCTAAAGGTTAGCAGGGGGGCACTCTGCCCAAGCCCATCATGTCCACAAAATCAGCTTGAGGGTAAGAGTCCACAGTCCTGTTCACTCTACCCACCACTCCCAGATACTGGCTCCCCATCGCTGCCCTTCCCCCCATTAGAATTCAATCCGTTCAATCCGTCTCCTTCTGCCTCTTCCAGGAAGCCTTCCCTGACCAGTACTGTAATCTCTGCATTCTCTGACCTCCCCCCGCCAAGAGATCCTGGGCTCCTACCACCCTGCTTTGGGGCTGCTCTTAATGTATAAGCCCGTGGCCTTACTGCCCCTGAGGCTGGGGTTCCTGATGAAAAGATTTCACATCCAAGACCCCAGGCCGCCTGCTGGAGTGCCCAGCTCAGGGCTCATGCCCGACCGAGCTATGCTAGATCCGTGGGAGTTCAGTGAACACCGTGAATGAATGACTTGGCCACAGAGGCCTAATCTTTAAGCCAGGCTGGAGGGCACACCTCGAAGGACAGAAAAAGCCTGAAACTGCCCTCCCCTCTTTCTCTGGGTCTTCACCCAGAGTGGCGTCCCCCTCCACCTTGGGGGGCACCGTGCTCACGCACACCTTCCCGGGGCTCCCGCTCATGGGCACGGACTTCCTCCGCACCCCGTCCAGCTCCTCATCCCTCGCGTCCTGACACAGCGCTGGCATGCCCTGTGCTGAGAGGGAGGCCCGCACCTCTCTAGCCTCAGTTTCCACACTTGCAGCGCAAGGATGTGCTAGTCCCACGTACCTCAGGGTTAGAGGAAGCACCCACCCAGCACCTGGCATGCGACAATACCCAATAAAGGGGACCAGTGGGGTTCCCAACACCGTCCTTATTACAGGGTGGATTTTACAGTATTTGGGTGAGCTAGGAAGTCTGGGCTGCCTGGCACCATGGGTGTTTGAATGAGAGTCGTGGGGTGGAATCTTCTAGAAGGCTGGAAAGAAGACAAAAGTTTCCAGGAAGGTAAATGTTCTTGCTAAGAATTGCAAGCTTATTGTGCGATGTGGTTACTTCAGCAATGCATGGGCTCAATAGTGAGAATAGACAGAAAACGCAGACACTCGCAGAAGTACGGCAGACACTTTACAAGTCTGAGTCGGCCTTGGTCCGGGGCCCAGCCATGACCGAGGCGGCCTCACGATGAAGTGTCAAGACTCACACAGGCTCTGGAGTTAAGCCACCAAGTTCGAACCCTGGCTCCACTCTAGAGCTGTGTGACCATGGGCAAGTTACTTGCCCTCTCTGTGCCTCAGTTTCCTCCTCACCTATAAAGTGAAGGTGACTGAGGACCTCCCTCAGCGGGCTACTGCCAGGACTAACCAGACTGGGCCTGGTGCCCAGAGAGTGCTGCATCAGTGGCAGCCCCTGAGGTGGGCGGGCGCGGCCCCCCGCCCCCCGGCCGGGCCCACCTGTCTCCTTGCGCAGGTTCTCCTCCAGCGTGGACAGCTTCACGTCATACGAGTTGCGCATGGCGGTGATGTCCTCCTCCAGCCTGGCCCTGGACACCTGCTCCGCCTCGTAGTCGGCCTTCAGCCGGGCCAGGCGCTCTTCGTACTCCTGGGGGATGGGGGTGGACATGGGGGGGCGGGGGGAAGGGGGGCGTTTATCACCACTTCAAAACCTAACTCTCAGGATTCCTTTCTTGTCATCCAAATGCTCCAGAAAGACAAATAAATCCAAAGAACAAACATAAAATGGCCTCCACGGTGCGGGGAGACCCCTGTGAGCTTTTCCCTGTGTCCTTCACGGGTTAATACTGGGCGTGTTTGGGGCCTCCCTGGTGGCGCAGGGATTGAGACGCAGCCTATGAAGCAACCCGCAGCCACTGCAGCACGAGTTTGATTCCCAGCCGGCCACGGAGAAACCCACATGGCGGGACAGGCCTCTCCTGGCTCACCTGCTGCTCCCCTCAGCAGTGTACTTCGGTCCGTCTGCCTGTTCTGTTCCCTGCTCTTTATCTGGTGAATCCTCTCACCCCCTGCATCTCTGGCCTGTACCCCAATTCTTGTATAAAAATAAATCTTTAAAAAAAAATGCTGGATGTGTTTGTTTGTGATCTTCTGGTCCTCCGCCCACCAGTGACGACACGTGGTTGTGATCATCAGCTCCTCCCTCCATCTTTGCCGTCAGCACCAGCCCTTGTCCAAACAGCCTCCCCCCTGTGCCTCCCACTCTCGCTCCCGCCCCCAGCCTCGTCACAGAGCACCCACAGGGGCACTAGGCCCACAGGGGCACTGGGTCACGCAGCAGCTGATGCGCGAGGGGTAAATCTAAGTCAACTTGACCTGCGCGCCTGGCCATCTGGCCGGATGACACCTTTGCAAGGGTGGCTCCACCGCCAGGAGTGGCTTCTCCATAGTCCAGTGCAGCCCATCCTGCTCCTCAGATGCCCCCAGCCCCTTTCTGCTCTCCCCATGAGCTGTACCCCGGCATCCGGAACCCGAGTTCAAATCCTGGCTCAAAACTAACTTAGCTGTGAGACCTGAAGCAGTCATGGCACCTCTCTGAGCCTCAGCTTTTGGGGTTCCCAAAGCAAGACTGCAGGACCACCCCCAGGTGATGGTGGGGGTGAGATGCTGAGGCTCTGGAGATGGCCCCTGCTGCCCGCCCGCCCGCCCGCCCCCTGCCCTCTCACCTCCCGAATCAACTGCTTCTCGGCCTCCGTGTCGGGCTGGGTCGCAGTGGGGGGCAACAGCTTCTCCTCTGTCTGGACGGGGTTTAGGGGCACCTGGCTGGACAGCAGGGCTGGGGGAAAACAGAAACGAGGGCCAGTGACCGAGGCACACGTGGTCAGCAGAAGCTAAGCAGCCATCGGGAGGGGCGACGTGCTCGTCCAACAGAGCCTGCGGAGCCCTGAGCGGATTTCAAGGCTGCCATGACGGGAGGTGCTGACAGGCCGCCGTTCAACAAATATTTACTGGGGCCTGCAGGTCCAAGGCGGTGGAGACGCAGCACTGAACCAAACAGACGGGGCTCGCGTCCACACGGAGAGTCCCACGGGGGGAGAAAAGCAAAGAAAATGTGCCTGACACGGTGCAGGGAGCTGTGCTCTGCACGGAGAGAGAAAGCAGGGAGGTGGCAGCAGCCGGAGCCAGGGAGGCTGCAGCTTCCACAGTGTGGTCAGGGAAGATGCCCCAGACAGGTGAGGAGGGAGCAGGGGCCTGGAGGAAGGGGTGGGGGGAGCAGGGGGCAGAGAGCTTGGGAGGTTTCCCAAATGGAACGGAGCAGTAAGTGCAAAAGCCCTGGGGCAGGTGTGGTCCAGGAAAATCAGGCAGCAGAGAGGGCGCTGTCAGACAGGGCGCTCCCCGGCGCTCCCCTGCTGTGTGCACAGCAAGGGACAGGCAAGGGCCACTGCGAGATCCAGATGAGCGAGGCCAGAGCGCAGAGCCAGGGGGCATGGCGGGCAGACTCTGGCCAGGCTCTCGGGGAGAGCAGCGGGGTCTGCTGCCGGACTGGACATGGCTTTGGGAGAAAACGAGAAGCCAAGGGTGAGCCCACGCTTCCTACTTTGAACCCCGAGAGGGACTGAGGCCCAGCCCCGGGGTGACAGGGCAGGGAAACGCTGACTTGGTGGGGAAGGACAACGGCGAGGCCGGGCGGGCAGGGGCGGCCGCAGACCAGCAGCTTCGGGAAGAGCCAGCCCTGGGGTCAGGCACTGCCAGCTCGAAGGACTGCGAGGCAGCAGAGGTTCAAGTCCGGAGCGCGAGGGCGCCCCCTCGTAAGCGGGTTCTTTTTAAATTGTCTGTATTTGACGACGCTTTGACATCCGGGGCCGGGCTGGGGGGAGACACCCTGAGTCTCAGCCTGTCTCACCAGACGCGGCACCAACTCGCCTCTGCGGGCCACCTGGCCCCAAGGCCACGCCCCGAGCTCCGGAGCTCCGCCTGCGTCTAGTCCTCCCGCACCAAGGCGGCACGACTGGCCCTGGGGCTCCGCGGGCCGGGTCTGGACCCGAGTCCCAAACCCACCGGCATGATTCAACCTCGTCAACCCTGAACGGTTTCTCTGCCCTGCCGCCCTCTCCCGCAGAGACCCCACGGGGGCCCTGGCTCCCCACCCCCCAAGCCCGGCTCTCCTCCTGCCTCCTCAGCGACACTGGCTCTTTCCGTGGCCCGTGCGCCAGCCGCCCGCCTGCCCGTTTCCAGGGTCCCGGAGCATCATCAGGCTTTTCCTTCCACGGCCCTGACCTGTGCATGCACCACGCGTCACCTTGACACGCCGGCCCCATGCCCAGGCCGAGGGTCACGTGGCAAAGCCGCCAGCACAGAGACGCAGCTGAGCCCTAAGGCCAGAGGGACCCCCGCAGGAGCGAGTGCAGAGAGGAGGGTCTGACGCAGCCAAGGAGTTAGGGGTGGGAAGGCGAGGCCCGGAGGAGGAGCTGCGGGGAGGTCAGGCAGGCCGGGAGCCAGGGCAGGAGTCGTCCAGCAAGCAAGGGTTTCCAGAACAAGGAGGGGGCCGCTGAGTCAGCTCGTGGCAAGGAGGCAGGTGAGGCTGGCCTCAGGGCCCCTCCCTGGATCGAGCAACAAGGGGGGCAGGACGGGCAGCCTTAGCGGACGGCTGTGCCCCGTGGGCAGGACCACATGGTGGAAGCACTGGGGGCTCTGAGCCGGGCACCCGGGTGCGAGGCCCCACGGTCAAGTTAAAGCCCGCGTGTGCTCTAAGGAACGCGTGTGCCAGGGCCAGGCCACACGCGCACGTCACGCCATCCGCCCCGCTGCAGCCCCGCCACGCCACCTCCACTCTACAGATGGGGAAACTGAGGCCGCAGGGGCTAAGAAGCGGGGCGTGAACGGCTATGACTGCTCAGCCTCCCGGTGCTCTCTGTCCCGCCCTGCCCTGGTCGCTCCAGCCGGCTGAGCTGCACCCCCTAACCCGGGCACTGGGAACCCCGCCCTCCTCGGGGCCCCACCCACCTGACAGGCTCGAGGGGCTCATCTGCTGGGCCAGAATGGCCTTGAGTTTCTTGATCTCCTCCTGGTACTCCCGCAGGAGGGCATCCTTGGGGTCCTCGTTGATGCGCGGCTTGTTCTTGATGTTCTTGGCTCGGTTGGCGTAGCGCAGCGTGCTGAGCGTCTCGTCGTAGTTGTCGTCGGCGGGCGACAGGCAGGCCACCATCAGGGTCTTGGTGTTGCCGCCCAGCGAGTCCTGCAGCAGCCGCGTCAGCTTCGAGTCCCGGTAGGGGATGTGCTTGCTGCGCCCGTCCACCAGGGCCGAGATGACGTTGCCCAGCGCCGACAGCGACAGGTTGATCTTGGTGGCCTCCTTGAGCCGCTCCCCGGTGGCGCCCGTCTTGGACTGCCGCTCACTGCCCGCCAGGTCCACCAGGTTCAGCTTGCCCGCTCGGAGGTGGTCCTTGCCCCGCTCGTCTGCGGGCACGCCGGGCGCAGGGGTGAGGCCCTCCAGGCAGGGAGGACCTCCAGCTGGGGTGCCCGGCCCCCGCCCGCCCGCCGGCCCTACATACCCACAGCGTAGATCTCGATGCTGATGGTGAAGATGGAGTGGGAGCGGGAGGAGTCCTTGTTCATCAGGGTGTAGCCCACCGAGCGGTTCTTCCAGCCCGTCTCCATGATGCGCTCGCACTGGCCACGCTGTGCACCGTGTGCATGGACAGCCCCTTCACGTACACACCCTTCTCCGGGTGCTCCTTCAGCTGTGGGCGGGAAGGGCAGGGCAGGTTGGCCCTCGGAGACCGGGTAACGGGTTTGTGCCACGTGGAGCCAGCCTCAAACCCACTGCTGCCTCTAGCCTGTGGGACCTTGGCCTGGTGGCTTAACCTCAGAACCTCAGTTTCCACATCTGTAAAATGGGTATTAGTAGCCATGTCCTAGGGTGCTGGCGAGGATTCAGTCAACTAAGGCCCCTGCATGCTTGGCCCAGTGCCTGGCACATGGGACCGCTTGGGAGTTTACAGCCGCCGTCCTCACCACGCACGTGGCTAGTGCTGCTGTCATGATGGTGGTTTTCAGTCTGGAGCTTTGGCCAGATGAGGCTGCTCCTGCAGTCCCCCAAGGGTTCTGACTGCTTCCCTCTCCTTTGCCTTATCCACAGTGGCTCCCATCACCCCTATGCTGGGCTCCAGGGCACAACCAGACCCTTAGGCCCCGGCAGGAAGGGGTCATTTGCTGCCCAGCACTCCCTCTGGCCCACAGCTCCAAGTGGCCCCCAGGCCTTGGTGCAACAGCAGTGAGTAAATTCATTTATCTGATTGCTCCCTGCTTGCTCTCCAGGCAGCCAAATTGTTTTGCTGCTGATACAGAGTTGTGAAAGGCAATATTTTTCAAGTGCGAGGAAATAAAACCACCCTGGCAGGAGCAGAATGAGTCAGGACAAAGGGCTCTGCTTGCTGGTCAGAGCCTCAGCGGCCACAGATGCATTGCCCTGGGCAGCTTCGGGGTTCCGGGTGGGCCTGGACACCCTGCTGCATGGCGGGGGGTGGGGGGTGGTGCAGTGAGACTGAGGTGGGGGGTAGAGGGTGAGAACAGGCTCAATGTGATGGGAAACTGCTGAGATAGCCAGACCCAACCTGGAGGACGGGGCTTTGCGGTGCAGTTATGCAGCTGAGGCACAGAAAGGTTAAGGGACTTGCTGAAGGTCACGCAGCTTTTAGTGACAGGGCAGCAATGGGGTCACAGCAGAAGACGGCAGAGGCAGGGCTCAGAGAGAGGCTGGAGCACCAGGCAGTAACCGAAGCTTGAAATGACAAAGAGCCGACCTTGACCTAAGAGGTGGCTCTGAGACGGAGCGCAAGGGGCAGAGGCAGGAGACCCTGCACAGAGCCCGGCTGAGGCCAGCCTGTGGGCCGCCGCAGTGCGGTGCTCCCTGCCAGCTGACTGCGCAGGGGCTGCCGGGGGGCCTCTACCACACTCCCAGATCCTACAGACACACTAGCACGTAGTAGGCCCAGGTGAGCAAAAGGCAGCTGCAGGCTTCAGGAAGAAATGAGTCAGCCAAGCCCCGGTTAGAGACCTGTCACCTGCTAGTGGGGAAGTGAGTCTCCTGTCAAAACCCCAGGTTCCTCCCCTATGTGGGGAAGATGAACCCCTGTCTCTGCAATACCATCATGAGGCCTGGATCTTTGGAAAGTTCCAGAGCGACTCACAGGGCTCAGTGGACACGGGTCAAGAAGAGGATGAGGCTGTTCTGTCCTGGCCCGAGCAACCTCACTAGCGGGAAAAGGGAAGGAGCAACAGGCGACCCCCCACTTGTAGGCCCAGCGAGACCTGCCCCCCTCCTGGCTCCTTCCCCTCCCCATGCTGCGCCTCCTCCCCACTCCCTCTCCGCAGCTGCCGGGTTAGCTGGAACCGCGCCTCCCAGCTGGAACCCGTCGCCATGGCAACCAGCAGGGAAGAGGCTGGCTGGCAGGACCATCCGCCTCAGTCTGTCTAGAAGCAGAAACACCCCCGGGGAGGAGGGGCCTGACCCTCCACCTGTACACAGGGTGGAGAACCAAATGGAGGGGACACCTAGGCCCCTAAGAACACCCCCTCACTCCTGCTGGGTCTGGGTTGGGTTTCACTGTGGTGTGGAGGTGTCACTGCTGCCCAAAATCTCTCACCGGCCTTGGCTGATCTCATAGCCTCTTATTACCAGAATGGCAGGCCTGGAGCTAAGCACAGGTTAAGAGCTCGCGCTGCAGAGCCTGGTGACTTGGGTCAAATCCAGTTTCCACCCATTGCAACTGTGCGCTCCCGGGCTGGTCTTACCCTGGCATGCTGAGCCTCAGTTTCCCCATCTATAATACAGGATAAGATCAGCACCTTTTCCTAAGGCCAGGTTTACCCCAAAACATCACCCGCCCTTCCTCCACGAGGCAGCACAGCGAAAGCCTGGTGACACCCATGGGGCGTGTCTCAGAGCACAGCTGTCACCAGTAGCCACACACACAACCCCCAGGCAACCTGACTCACCAAACCTGAGGCCCGTGACCCAGCTGGGGCAGGTGCACAGGCTGCCAGCCCCTGGCCCGCGGGGTCTGGGGAAGGGGCCATTCCTGCACCAGGTGTGGCCCCACCTGCTGAACCGTGGCAAAGGGGAGGAACCAGGACTGAGTCCCTGATCCCATAAGGCTGGCCTTTGGGGGCTGGCATGTGGGAGTAATTTCCGGAGCCTTCTCCCTCCCCCATTTCTCTGTCTGGGGGCTGAGCTATGACTCAGCAGCTCCGGGATAGAGAAGACAGCAGAGACTCCAGTGGGCGGCTGGAGCGCCTGCAAAGAGGGTGAAGCATCACTGTGCGTGTGAGGGCACAGGAGCAGGGAAGGGGCCGGTGGGGGAGGGGCTCACCCCCAAGTGCTGGCCCAGCACCCTGCACATCTCCCAGGTCGGTTGAATGAATGAACCCACTGCTGGGGCTCTGTCCCCCCTCCCTCCACTAGAACCCCATTATTGGCTGCTTCTTGCCAAACCTGAACAATACTGGGAGGAAAGCACCTGAGGCCCCAATCCCACAAGTTCTGGTCCCCAGAGGGTCACTGTGTGACCCAAATCCCTGCCCTCCCTGGGGCTCCTCCGCTTCTTCTCTGTACCCAGAGGGGCCCGAACTGGAAGCTCCTAAGGGTCTTTGGGCTCCCCTGTTTCAGGACTTTTCCCCAATGGGCACAGCGAGAGCAAGTCTTTCAAGTCAGCCACTCCCTGGGGTCTGACTTGTTCAGGTGGGCCACAGAGCGGGTGCCAGTCAGAGGAGACGTCACAGCTCCCCAAACAAACCTGGGCAAGTAGGAGGGAGGCTCAAGCTGAGCAGGGAAACAGCCCAGCCCCGACACGGTAGGGGATGCGGTAGGAATCAGGTCCCAATAGCCTGTCCAACTCAGAGGCTGGTGAGGGGCGGCAGGACTCGGGGGCATCAGCAGCATCCCCTTTATCTGGTTCTCCGCCACCCCTCGCCCTGGCCGACAAGGTGAATGCCCTGGCAAGATTTCAGCGGTTCGGGTCAAGGGAAATGTCCGACCTCAACTCGGGCTTCCCAGCCCAGTGGCCCCCGGACAAGTCCTCGTCCCCAGCCTGGCCTCGCACCTGGCAGATGGAACCTGCACAGTCACCTCCACGTTGATGCTCAGCAAGGACTGATATTTCTCAGCTCCAGGATTCTGGCTCAGAAGGAGGCGGTGGGCCCACCCCAGCACTAGCTGTGGGCCTCTGGGGTTGGGGGTGCCCATGGGTTGAGTCCGGTAAGGAGCACCAGAGCTGGGGGAGCAGCCTCCAGCATTGCGGCCACCTCTGGGCCAAACTCCCCACACTGGCCTCTCCTCCTGGGATCAGACCGGGCCTGCCCGGCACTGGAGTCCCAGATAGGAGACATAACCAAGGCCTCGCACCAGGTGAAGGCCCAAGGGTGCTGGACCTGGGACCAGCCTTGCCACCAGCTGCAATCCAGTCCTGGCAGGTCACCTGGGCTTGCGAGCTCCCCTAAAGGTTAGCCAAGTTCCACCTGTCTTGATGGAACCTTCAAAGCATCTAACTCTGCTTCACCCCACAGGCATGACATTTTCACTCCGATTTTCATCCCGGGAAACCAAGGACAACTTAGGAAACACATGCAGGGGACCCGCTGAGCCGGCCACTCCCATCAGTCCTTGACTCTTTCTCCCACGGCCCCACCGCCCCACCCCATCACATTCACGGTCCTTTCTGGAACCCCGACTGCATGAAATAACTCGCATGTGAGCAGCCACCTCTGCGGCCAGCTCGTCAACCCTCGCCACCACCCGAAGGGGTCGCATTGACGGTCCTTGGCTGCCCCCTTTCAGGGGAACAGAGACCCTGAATCTGAGCCCAGCAGCAGCCGTAACATGAAATGTCTGAGATTCAGGACCTTGAACTCAAGACAGCTCTGGGTTCAAATCCAGACTCACAATTTACTGTTGTGTGAAACTTGGGCAAGATAATTCACCTCGCGAAGCCTCCCTTCCTGCGTCGGTAAATTGGGAGTGAAAACATCTCGCTGATGAGGTTACTGTGTCCAATGGGATAGTGAGCAAAAAGCAGCCTGCTGGCGGTGAGTCCTCCGTAACCATCACCCGTGTGGCCGTCTCTCCCGGCTGGGGCCCGGGGACACTTCTCGAAATACTTTTCAGAAGGAAAGCTCTTCCTTCGAATGAAATCGATCATGAAACTCCATCACGGTCAACAGGCACGGGTGGCATCACCCCAGGTAAGGTGCAGCCACTCTTTGTGCGTCCCATGAACCCACCTCCTGCCTCCCAGGCTCTCAGAATTCTCTGAAATTCAAGTTCAGGTGTTCAGAATTCAACATGTCCCCGCTCCAGTCTGAAGCAGCACCCGTGCCCTCAGGATTCCTGCCCGTATTTCCAGGGAGCACGGCCTGAGACCAACGCCCTCCCCCAGCCCCCACCTGCCCGTGCCAGGTCTGTGCCCACCTCCAGCTTCTGCTTGGTGTCGGCCCCCAGCAGGTCGCGGACATCCTCATTGTAGATCTCCAGGTAGGAGGCCCGAACCAGGAACTTGGTGTTCTCTGCGCACTGGCGGGAGGGGACAGAGCACGGACGCCTCAGCAGCTGCGGCCGCTCTGGCCTGGGCTGGCGCGCTTGCAGCCAGGCCGCAGGGGACGTCACGGCAGGAGGGGGGACGGCAAGGAGAGGGAGCGCCCAGCTCCGGCTGTCCCTGCCTGCCTGCCCAGCTCTCCCTCCTCCCCAGCCGGTGTGGGGGGTGGTGGTCAGACTCCTCAGAGTTGCATGATTCTCCTAACGCACTTGTCTTCCGCCCCCTCTGCAAGCCTCCAGGTGGAGAAGCCACAGGTAAGGCCTGGCCCTGGCCCTGGCCCGGGCTGATGCGTGGCAGCTTGCCCATCACGGCGTCCCTGTGGGTCACCAGAACCAGTCCTGGAACCAGGTGCCACGTCCCTGCAGCTGGTGGCGCCCCGGTCCCCCCGCTGTCGGAAGCCCCGCATTGCCGACCGGTCTCCAGGGTGGCTCTCGCCTGCAGCCCGGGCTCTGGATAACCGCCTCGGCCCAGCCCATCACCAAGTCCCGGCATCTCCAAAATGAGGCTAATGATCACCTCCTGGGCCCGGGGGAGTTGGGGGGGGCTCTGCAGGAGGCTTGGCCTCTGCTCAACAAAAGGGGGCGCCATGATATGACAACCACGTCTCAGCAGCTGCTGGGGATCCTCGAACCGCGGGAAAGGTCAAGTAAAAGGTCACAATGGAAAAGCCGAGGCAGGCAGAGCCGGCAGGCAGAACGTTCTGTTTCAGTGCCCCTCTCACCACCTCGCAGAGCCCCTCTCACCACCTCTCAGTGCCCCTCTCACCACCTCGCAGAGCCCCTCTCACCACCTCTCAGTGCCCCTCTCACCACCTCGCAGAGCCGCGCCGGCGCCCACCCCCGCACCGATCCAGGCCGGCTCCCACCGCCTCCGTCCGGGCACAGGCCACGCCTGGGGCCCTCGTGGCCATGCCCAGCTCCTGCCCCGCCCCCGCCCTCCGGAGGGCCATACCTGGACGCTCTCAAAGACGTGCTCGAAGGCCCGGGGGATGATGCCCCTCTGGCAGGGCGGGTCCGGCAGGCCCTGCATGGTGAAGGACTTCCCGCTGCCCGTCTGGCCGTAGGCGAAGATGGTGCCGTTGTAGCCCTCGGTGACGCCCTGTGGGGCACAGTGCCCGGGCCTGAGGGGCTGCCTCTTGACTCCCTCCGACCCAGGGCTCCTCCCTGCGTCTCCCTAAACAGGGGTGGGCAGGACAGAAGTGGGGAAGGCGCGGCGCTGCCCTGAGGGGTTCGCTGCCGGGGCAGGCGTGTGGGGAAGAGCTGTGCCACCCTGTACTGACGGTGAGCCCGGGGCTGGTCTTATGTAGGTGCTGAGCCTCAGTTTCCCCGTCTGTAATGCAGGATGAGAACAGCGCCCCTCCTAAGGTTTGCGCCAGGTTTGAGGCGTATATCAGGCCGGGCGCGTGAAAGGCTGGGTCCAGGGTTGCTCCTGAACACCTGCCGGGATGTGGGGGGCCCGACAGAGGGCAAGGGGGGAGCGCAGAGGGGGAAAGAGCAGAGTGGGGCGAACTAGGCTTTTCAAGGAAGGCAGAGTAGGGCTGGGGGGGGTAAAAAGGGTGGCTTGAATTTTGACAGATGACAGGAGAAGAAAGTCGCTCCAGGCTGGGGGCGCTGAGCGGGCAGCGGGGAGAGCAGGCAGAGCCAGGGCTGCGGGGTGAAGGCTGAAACTGGGAAGCTAGGAGGCAAACTGGGTAGGGCCCCTAAAGTCTTCTCCATTCACCCAGCTTTTATCCATTCTGTAGGTTCTCTCTGTTCTATCCAGCCTCATGCCAGCTGGAGTCAGAGCAACAAACAAGGCAGACATCCCCCTTCCTGCCCGCACACAGCGCCTGAGGTAACAAATTCTAGAACTGAGCAAGGCGGAGGGGGAATGATGTGTCAGAACGTGGGACCAGGGAGCTGCTCCCGGGCCCTGAGGGCCCACGTGGCGTCCTCAGCCGGTCCCCCTGGAACCATCCATCTTGTAGACCTAACCTGGCTCAGGGGCCCCCCGGGACCGCTGCGAAGGAGGACCAGAAGTCGAGCCACAGCCTCTCTGCAGCCCAGGGAACCCCGGACCACCACGTGGGTTCCAGCAGCTCGGCCCAGGCCCAGGGCCACAGCCAGCACCCGGGAGAGAGGCAGACTAAGCAACACCCCAGGAGCCTGGGCCAGCTTCTGACTCAGGGGAACATGGAGCTCCAGAAACAACACAGCGCAGCTTCCAGAATGTCAGTGCGACCCAAGCCAGAGAAGGGATTTTATATCAAAATAAATAGAGCTGCACCACCCAGTGGGTCAGCTGCGAGCTAGAAATGGGCCTGGTGCAACCAGGAAGGAACTCAACTTATTTTATTTCATTTACACTTAAAAATAGAAGCAGTAGGGCCTCCCTGGTGGCGCAGGGAGCTATCACCAGCCACTGCAGCACGGATTAGATCCCCGGCTTGCCAGGGAGCCACCCACATGGCGCAGCAGACCTCTCCCGACTCACCTGCTGCTCCCCTCAGCAGTGTATTTCAGTCAGTCTGCCTGTTCTGCTCCCCACTCTGTCTCTGGTGAATCCTCCCCCAACCCACACCTCTGGCTTATAACCCAGTTCTTATATGCACAAATAAGTAAATCTTTAAAAAAAAATAGAAGCAGTAAAAAATACCTTTGCATTAAACGTAACTTTATGTTTCCTTTTAGCCAATGACAATTCAGCATCTGAGTTGAGATGTGCTATTAGTGGAAATACCAGGTTTTGAAGATTGAGTATGAAGAAAAAATATAAAATATCTCCCTCATATATAATGATAATAAAAGTTGTTTTTATATTTCAGAGAAACAATATTTTGGATATACTGGATTAAATAAAATGCATGATCAATATTAATTTCACGGGTTTGCTTTCATTTTTTAAAATTTTGACCACTAGAAATGTTTAAGTATGTTTGTGGTTCACATTCTATTTGTGTTGGAAAGCGTTAGGCGAGAGCCAGGCAGTCCTGGCTCATGTTACTTATTTAAATGTAACCACATTCATGGACTCAAAAAAGAAATCAATGATAGGGCCTCCCCTGCTGGTGCAGCGGTTGAGCGCTGGGCTGCGAGGCTGTCCGCAGCCTCTGCAGCGCCAGTTCGATCCCCGGCTGCTGGGCAAGGGTCCCGCATGGTGCGCAGACCTCTCCTGCTGTGCCCACTGCTCCCCTCAGCAGTGTACTTCATCAGTCTGCCTGTTCCTGCTCCCCGCTCTGGCTCTGGTGAATCTTCTCACCCTCCCACGCTTCTGACTATACCTGTTGCTTGTATAAATAAATAAATAAATAAATAAATCTTAAAAAAAAAAAAATCAATGATAGTAAGATAACAGGACAACCTCCAAACCCCTGAAAACTATAAACACATTCCTAGATAGCGCGTGGGTCCAAAAGCAAATTTAAAACTTGGCTGGAATGAATAAAGATGAAAATAGATCAAAATTTGCAGACACGGTTAATATAGTGTTGATAGAAACATTTATAGGCCTAGAGACTATTACATATTAGAAAAGAAAAGTCTAGATAAATAAATCAATGTAACATAAATTAAATACAAATCCAGTTCCTCAGGGGCACTAGCCTCATTTCAAGCCCTGACATAAGGCCGGTGGGTACTAGCAGGACCGTCCAGATACAGAACATTTCCATCACAAAAAGTTCTACAAAACAACACTGGAGGGCAGAAAACTATTTTACATGCATTGTAAAGCAACACATAAGATTTCAAAAAAAGCTTCACACATCAATTGACACCCCCAGTCCTGCAGGCGCACACTGGTGCAGGTGCTAAATGTCTCTTGCTGCATCCCCTCCATGGGGCTCAGCCACCACCCCCTGTGCTATTATTTGCTAGATGATTCTCATGAACTCTACTGCTAATTGGCTCCTTTTAACTTGGTGTCATTCCCAGCAATAATTCCCATGAAATCACATTATAGGTCGAATGTGCTAAGGATTTTTTCTACTTCACAGTAAACACATCCCTGCTGAAGTGGAAATAAGCAGTGTCTGTCCTAAAACGCCTCATGCCTCTTTCAGCCCCCTTACAGAGGAACAGCTCTGTGCCCCATCCAAGGCCAGACCTACAGATTCGACTGTATGGATGTCTCTGGAAACCAGGCCCACTGTCCTCAGTCTGGGCAGGGTAGAAGCCATGGTGCCTGGGCCATGGGTGGGGCAGGGGTGGGGAGGCAATTCTAAGGCCGTGGGGGTGAACAGGAGGAGACACAAAGCCACTGGCTGAGAAAGAGCGCACAGACCAGGGAGCAGGCAGCCGTGGAGGGGAGGAGCTCTGGGGAGGCGCCTAGGGGAATTGAAGAGGTCCCCTAGTGACAGAGAAGTTCAGGAGCCTGGATTTAAGGGACAGAAGCAAATGGGCAGTCAGAAGCGCCACCCTGGGGGCTTCATGCCGCGGGACCTGGAGGCCCAGTCCTGGGCAGGTGGTTCCCTGCGGGTGGGGTCAGAGCCCAGCAGAGCAGACCCGCGGCCACCCGGCCCTGGTGGTGCAGCTGCTCTGGGCTCAGAGCCTCCCAAGACATGCTGAGCATATGATTTGCATGCTGCTCATTAAAGGGGAGGAAACAGGATGGGGCAGGGGATTAGGCACCTGCTGGAAAGCAAAACCACCCCCAACTCATTGGCCCCAATTCATTCTGTGACACTCCAGGCCTCGGGTTCTCCCTCAGGAATTAGGACTCCAGATCTGCGCGTGTCCACAGAGTTGTGTGAAGGCCCAATGCTACGCGGCAGCTCTTCCTTCCTCTCCCAGCTGGAAGGCCCTTTCTCCACCGTCCCAGCCGGCTGAATGCTCTCTTCCTTCAGTCTCAGCTTAGACCTTCACCACTCCCAGGAAGCCCCCCCACCTCCTCTCCCAGCCGAGGTTTCCTAGCCTTCTCTGTGCACCCAAATCCCTGGGCTTCTCCCCCCACACTTTGCCTTAGATCACAGCTATTCGCTCGGAGCTCCCCACCTCACGTGAGCTCCCTGAGGGCAGAGCCCACAGATCCTTGAGGGTGGTGGTCCCCATGCCTAGGATGGGGCTGCTCTGGAGTTGCTGTTCATTAGCTGAATGAAGGAACGGGTGGAAGGAAAGAATGCATGGGGTGCTGAGCAGAAGCTCTGGGAGTCCAGAGGCAGGTGTCTGAAAACCCCAAGTAGCAGTAAACTTGGGCCCCTGTGGCGAGCTGGAGAACAAAAGGGTTCCATGGTCAAATCTGTTTTGGAAACGATCTAGTTTGGTTAATAGCAAACTAGTTTCTTTGCTGTGGGAGTCTCCAGACCCCAGGGTCGCAGCTAGGCGAGGGAGGCCCATGTGCGGCTCCTCGTGTCGGCAGCATTTCCCAGACTTTTCGCCTGGAACAACCTGTGGCATGTCACTAAGTTTCACCCAGTGGTTGGGGAGATGCTGCGGAAAGGATGAGGGCTCGGCTGCGGGCGGGAGGCTTGCTCCAGCCCAGTCCTGCCAGACGCCCTCGGTGGAGCTGGCCAGGCTCTTCGCCCCAGGGCCTGAGGGAGGTGTGAGGGGCTCCTGAGGGGAGGCCCACACTTGAGCCCAGCAGGAGTGCTCTGGAAAGCACAACCTTACAAAGAGTGAGCAACCTCTGTTGCCTTCCTATTCCGAGGAAAATGGTAAGTTAGACCAGAGCTAAAGGGTTTCCACTCCTGCAGGCAGGGCCGGGCCAGCGGCTTCTCTGCAGAAGCAGGGAACTAGCAAGACACACACACTCAAGCCTAGGCTGGCTGCCTGCAGGCGTCAGGAGCCAGAGGGATGTGAGGGAAAGTTCTGCGTGCTGAGGGCAAGAAAGCCACGGGGTGGGGGGCCGAGCGGAAGGAAGAGGAGCAGGTAGAGCAGGAGGAGAGGTCCCCGGGGACGGCCAGGAAGGGCCGCACGTGGCAGGGGCTTCCAGAGAAGGACTGAAGTTCTCTGATGGCGGTGGCGCGGTCCTGGGGCTGGAGTTCCTGCGGGAGAGGGTCTGCGGGGCTGGGGTGAGGGCCCTGGGGGCACTGAGCCCAGGCGGCCACCTTGGAGGTGGTTTCCACCGTCTCCTGCCTGATCAGGTCTTCAGGCCGAACCCGTGGGTCCTGCTGCGCCCGCTCCAGAGGGGGCCCCCCACCGGCTGGGGCCGACATCCCCGCAGGACCCCTTGGCGGCTCGGGGTCCTGCCAGCCAGTTGCCGCGGGCCCGGGGCGCGCTCACCTCCACCAGCGGGTAGGCGATCTCGTTGTAGATCTGCTCGGTGAAGTGGTCCATGTAGTAGGCGCCGTCGAAGGTGAACTGCTTGGGGGGCTGGTCGGCGGCGCCGGGGTTCTGGATGAAGCACTGGCCGCGCGCGCAGTCCACGGTCACCACGGGCCGGCAGTCCAGCTCGCGCTCGCGCTGGCTCAGCGGCCGGCAGCGCACCGCCACCTTCACGGACTCCGCGGCCATGGCGCGGCGCGGGCCCCCGGGGCGCGGCCCGCCGAGGACGACGCCCCGGCCCGCGCCCCCGAGCGCGGCGCGGGGGTCCCCCGGCCGCCGGGGCCAGGGGCCAGCGCCGGGCGCGGGGGGCGGGGCCTCGCGGCGGGGGGCCCGCCCCCGCGGGGGGCGCCCGGGGAGGAGGGGCGGGGCGGCGGGGGGGTCGCAGCCCGCGGGCCGGGGCCGCCGCCGCCCCCCGCGCCCGGGCTCGCCTGTCCCTGAGGCCCGGCCCGGGCGGGGGAAGTGGGGGATCCGCGCTGCAGCAGGCGCCGCAGGACCCGAGCCCCCGGAGCCGCCCCGGCCGCCCGCTGGCCTGCGCGCGGCGTTCGCGGTTGCCGGGCAACGCGCGCGGCGTCACAGCCGGGGCTCCCGGAGGGGCCGCGCGCCCCGCGGAGGGGCGCCCCGCGGGAGTCTCCCCGGCTGCAGCCGGCGCGGGGGCGCCCGGGGAGGCGGCTCTGGCTTTGCACACCCGATCCCTCCGGATCCGCGCGGCCCGCACAGAGCAGAGGGTGAGCGGCTTGCCCGGGGCTGCCCGCTCCAGCCCAGGCCGGCTTGACCCCAGCGGGGGAGGCTTGACCCCAGCGGGGAGAGACTTGACCCACCGGGGAGAGACCTGACCCCAGCGGGGAGAGGCCCACTGAGAAAAGCAACAGGGGCCTCGAGCTCTCAATCTACATCCCTGAGCTGACTCTGGAAGGCTGGCCCAGAGCTTGTCACGGCCCTCCAACAGGGCAAACTTCCTCCTAATGAGCTCCGTCTTCTTTCAAAGGCAAGATTGATAAAAACCCAAAAGTTTTGAAAGCAAGTCTTTTGCGTAGCGAGGCAGCCTGTAGGGTAAGTAAAGTGTCAGGCTTTTCTGCCCTCCCGCCATCAGGATAGATGATGGATCCTCGCGGTCCTGAATGCATGCCTGATGGCGGGCACCTGGAGGAGGGTGTGGACACAGGTAGATGGGATTCACCTGGGCTGAGACTGGGCTTTTAAGGGCGGCATCATGGGGACGCTGGAAGAATCAACAGGAGAGCAGAAGCAGAACCACGAGAGAAGCAGAGACCACCAGAGAAGGCCGGAGAGCCCAGACAGAATGAAGACTTGCTGGGGGCTGGGAGACCTGCCAGCCTCCGAGCCCCCTAGAATCTCTGCCTGCCGTGTAGCTGGTAAATCCTAATAAAAGCTAAAAGCTACCGAGGGCTCCAGGACTCTCTCCTTTACCGCGTCTGCTGGAATCATGGAAAACCTGCACTGTGCCCATTCCTGCCCCTACACGGCCTCTCTCCCTAGCTCAGCGCAAGTCCTTCTGGCCAGACTAGCATCTGTCAGACCCCCCTCTGGAGTCCCCTCAGCACAGACACTGTCAGCTACCTGCCAGGCACCGTGATCGGTGCCGGAGGACAGCCACCCCCTGCCTCCCCTGGGGCCCCGTAGTCTAGTCTAACTGGGATGATTGACACTGGAAACAAATATCCCGCAAACACAAATCACAAGAATAAAAGAGTAATTACAAATGAAAGGACCAGTTGTTCCATGGAACATGTAACAAGGAGACTCACCCAGCTGGGTGGGGGGCCCGGGGCTGTACTGGCAGCTCCCTGAGATGGACAGGACCCCAGATGGTAAGACCGAGGAGTTAATCAGGCTAAGGCTGGGGGGGAAAGACAAGGAGACCTATCCAGACTGTGCAAAGGTCCTGTGGCAGGAACAGAGGGAAAGTCTACATTGCCAGAGCACAAGGTCTGGAGTCTTTTTCCTGGAGGAAATACCCACTGGAGGTTTTAAGGAGAGACATGATTTGACTTTACCTACCTACCTACCTACCTACCTACCTGATTCCTTCAGGACATCCTGAGCCCCTGAGAACATGATCCGTCTGTTTCACCATTCAGCACCAGCTGCAGGTGTGTCCGAGCAAATAGAAAAACTGGTGAACCGGATACTTTGCCTTTCAAAGAAAAAGTCTGTACGAGACAATCTGAAGAAATGCACTTTATTTGTTTCGAGTCCACACAACAGGAGAGCTGGTGGCGCTGGCTGCAACAGAGAACACTGGGATGTGTAATAAAGACACGGAGGCATCGCCACAATGTGCCACGGGATCACGGGAGGGAATGTTGAAGTGGGTGGGACACCCCTGATACTGTGTCCACATGCATGACCTGGGCAACAAACCGATCCCTCAGATGGAAGCTTTGGGCACAGCCCGGGCCAGTTACCAGGTTTTCCTAGAGGTGCATCTGGTCCTGTGATCTTGGGGCACCAAACCCTCTCTGTGGGGGAGGGGGATGGGACTGTGAGACTGGGGCCTCCCACGAGGGGCCCGGGATCCAGAAAAATGGCTATAAAACGAGTCCCCGTAAAAATCAGTGCTGTGGTTCCAGAGAAAGCCCCCAGAGGACAGCTTCCGCCTGTCCCTTGCAGCCACATGGCAAGTCCCTGGCCGAGGCCGGTTCCTGGGTGAAGTGTTTAAGCTGGAGAGCCTGCGATCTGTTCTGCTGGGGCTCCCTCATCTTCTGGGCATCAGAAATGTGATTCTCCCAAGACTCTGACCTGCCCGACCTGCCCCATCCCACTCCCGTGAAGGGAGGCGAGCGGGGGGAGCAGCCCTGACTCGTGCCCAGGGCTCAGCCTCAGGAACAGCAGCTCATCCAGGGCGAACGACTCCCTACTTTGTTCAGCAGACTTCTGTCCTCCGGGAAGGTTCTTTACACGGAGATGCCCAGACGGGCCAGTCACTGCAGGACCATCGCCCGAGATGAGAATCGTTTCTCGGGGTCCCCTGCTGCCCACCGATGCCCGCCCTCTGGCAGGACCCACATCAGTCCTGCCTCTGGATGGTTCAGCTCTGACCCCCTCCCCAGTGCGGCCCCTGCCAGCCCCGGTCAGTGTCTCGTAAAGGAAGGCCAGCACGGGGTGGCTTCCCGGGGAGTCATCAAACCCAGGCTGGGCCTCATGGACAGGGCCCGAGTCAGCCCTCTAAGCCTCAAGCTCAGGGCAGACGCCCCCCAAAGGGGCAAAGGAAATGAGCCCAGGGTGCACGTCTTGGGGGGAAGCATCACTCCACGAGGGCAGAAATCACAAGCCCGTGGTTCTGAAGGGACACCAACCCGCCTCGCTGAGCAACACACAGATCCCACGCCCTGTCGCTGGTTCGCAGCCCTTCCTTCTTCACAGCGTTTGCTAATGGCTTGTCAAGAGACGCTTCCTCAGGCCAAATGCTCATGTTTCATGTCAAGAAGCAGGTCAGTGACAAACGTCCACAGATGTCACCCCCCCCAATACTTAATGGTCCAAAATCACTTTGCACCTGAAAGATTCCTGCCTTTCTCAGCCCCTCGAAGCCTTTCACGGAATCATCACTTCTGCATTTCTGCAGAAACCTGCCTATGCCTTCCTCCTCAGGTCAGCCGCCGCAAAGAGAGAAAGCGCCCCCCCCAGGGACACAGTGAATGCTCCAACATGAAATCACAGAAGGGTCTGAAGTTTCCTCAAAGTACTGGAAGCCACGGCAGTTATTCTCAACGCTGTCGTCCTGCCAGCCTGAGGAAGAACCGGGCGGTGCTCCGGCAGCCTCGTGTCCACCTGCACACGGGGCCCACCTGCACACGGGGGCCCACCTGCACACGGGGCCCACCTGCACACGGGGGCCCACCTGCACACGGGGCCCACCTGCACACGGGGGCCCACCTGCACACGGGGGCCACCTGCACACGGGGGCCCACCTGCACACGGGGGCCACCTGCACACGGGGCCCACCTGCACACGGGGGCCACCTGCACACGGGGGCCCACCTGCACACGGGGGCCCACCTGCACACGGGGGCCCACCTGCGCACGGGCTCTGGGTGGCCCCGCGCCGTCCTCCCTGTCCTTTCTGCCATTCCTCAGAACGCAGGGAAAGCTGCTTTTCTCGCAGGTGAGAACAGGCCCTGCTCCATCTGGCAGCCCGGGTGCAGCTTGGCCCCAGCCCCAGGCCTGTGCCCAAAGGGAGAACTCACGCCTGCCTCCCTGAACACCTCTCCCTCACTCCTGCCCTTGGAGACTCCCAGGGAGTCAGGGCCCCCAGGCCCCGCCTCTAGAGAGACACCGCCATCATCTTGAAATGTAACTGCCGCCTCAGAGCGCGCCAGGAGCAAAGTGAAGCCCGGAGGCGACAAGCATCCAGCCACCTGCCGCCCACAGCCGCCCGGCGCCCCACCGACCCTGTACTCATGCTGGGCCACACGCGCCATCACATGTCACTTGCCATCCCAACTCCAGGGCTCCTCCCACAGGCGGGGAAGTGATGGAAGATGGTCCAGGGGCACAGCGACTGGGTGGAGGAAGGACACAGCCTCCTGCCGAGGCCCAGGAGTCAGAGCGAGGCGGGGCCTGTGTGTGGGCGGCCCAGCCTCTAGCCCAGGCCCTGCAGTTCTGCCTCGGACTTGGCGTGGCTCAGGGGCCGCAGTGTCCGCGGAGGCCTGCCCTCGGGCCCACAGTCCTGTTCCTCATAGCCGGGGTTCAGGCGGCCCATGTCCAGGGAGCAGAAGAGGCTGCGCTCGGTCCCAGCGTGGTGCTCCACCAGGGCCTCCAGGCTGGAGAACTCGGCCGGCAGGTGCTGGGGGGGAAGGGGCTTCAGCTCCAGCTCCCTCCTCTCCTTGTCTCTCAAAGGGCACCAACCACCCCTCGCGCCAGATCCTGCCCCACTTTATCAGGGGAAATTTGAGCTCAGAGGTCATGCACGGCTCACGGCAGCGCCACCACCACGAACCCCTGGACTCAAAGGGTGCCCTCAGCATGAGGGGGTGCATTGAAGAATCCCTGCCCCCCTCCCAGTCCCTGGAAATCTGTGACCCGGCGGAGCCTCGGAGGCTGTGCTGGGTTAGGCAAGACCCTGCCCTCTCTGAGTCAGTTTCCTCCTCCTCTAAAGATGGCTCAGGGCGTAGGACGGCGAGACATTTAAAAGCCGGGTCTCCCCTCCAAATGTGAGGCATGACCCCAGCCCTGCGCCACTAGTGGTCCCCTCAAAAGCCAGCTCTGGCCCCAACAGCCCAACAGAGGAGGTACCAGGTGGGTCGTGGGGCCCGGGGCAGCAGGGCCAATGACGGGCCCTGACTGGAGAGTTAAATCAGGGTGAGGCCAGAGAGAGCCGATGGGGGGCCGGAAGAGGGTGAGGGGCTCAGGATCTCAGAGGTTAGGAGCGGGGAGGCTTGAGGGTAAGGGGCGGGTCCAGAACCCCCCTCCTCATTCCCCCAACCTGCACCCCCAGTTCTTACCTCTACACTGTAGCGGCCCAGGTGATTCCGGAACACCTGATGTGGCACCACGCCGCACTGCGTCCGCACTGACAGGCACCAGCGGCCGCTGGCGCCCTGCTCGGGCCACAGGAGGAAGGCCCCAAGCACGTCTCTCCGCAGCAGAGCCAGGGCGCAGGGCCTAGGAGGGCACAGGTGAGGCTGAAGGAGACCCCGAGTCTGGGCCCCGTCTTGGGAAGCTCCCAGGGGCAACAACTTAACAGCCCCACAGTTGTCGGAAGCACAGGGCCCAGCCCGGAGAGAAGCAGCTCGCAGACTCTGTCTGAAAAGTTTCTAAGCGGTTTAGTTGACGACTTTACGACCCAGGCAGGGAAGATTGGAAAGAGCTGACGTCTGGGCAGCTGTGGGCCTGAGGGATCTACCTGGGTGACCTTGTGTGGGCCTCTCCACAGCCAGGACACGATGGGTCTTCATGACACCCACTTTATGTTTGAGGAGATGAGGCCCAGGGTGGGTAAGTGCATGGGGAGGCCATGCGCTCCATCTCTGCCCACCCCGAGGAGCTGGGCACCCTTGACCATCACCCCCCTACCTGGAGATGCCGGCGAAGGCCCAGATGTTCTCCGTCAGGCTGCCGTCAGTCTCCACCAGGCACGAGGGGCCACCAGGACCGCGGGGCCACGCCTCCCATGCAGTGGGAACTATGGAGACCAGCCTGGGTCAGGGAGAGGCTCCGCTCCCTGCCCAGTCCGCCAGCCAGAGGCAGCACCCTGGGCGGGGGTGGGGCACGTGCTCTTGCAACTCACAGGCCTCCCGAGCAGACAGCTGCAGCTGCGTCTCATAGGTGCAGCCTCGGTAGGCCCCGGAGCGGATCACCTTGCTGCGAATGGCCTTCTTTCGTACCAGCGTGGGCGAGCAGTAGGGGTTCCCCAGGCGGGCATGGCGGGTTCGGCCTTCTGACTCTGAAAGCTCCCTCTGGGGCACCAAGAGAGGCCCAAGGGGGTGGGAAGAGAGGCATCTCAGGTCAGGCAAAGCCCCTTCCCACTGAATTCCAGCCTCCCCGCACATGACCCCTAAACCCGTGCCCAGCCCCCATGCCCACTTCGCACTCCCTGACTAGGATGCTGCCTACCCCACTGCCCATGGGCCCCTCCGCCGGCAGCCGCCGGAAGGAGACCAGCGCATGAACGTTCTGTGAGAGCTGATCACGGCCGAAGGGTTCCCGGACCAGGCCCGGAGGACCCCCAGGATTGGAAAGTGGCTTCAGGGGCGCATCCCCCGCAGGCCCCGGGCAGGGCTCAGGTTGTGCCCGTTCCACAGGGTGCTGTAAGAGGTACGCGAGCTGGAAGGACCGGCAGAGAAGCAGGTGCAGGATCTGGACCTGGGGGGGAGGGAATATGGGCTCAGTTTGGGGAGACGTCTTACGGATCCCCTTTAGACATCAACCCACTCACCATGGGTGCACACAGCCCCTTAGCTTGGGAAGCTCTTCCCCATTCTCCTGGGAAAACGCCTACTTATCCCTCAAAACCTCAACATGATGCAGTCTTCTCTACCAGCCTCCCACATTCCACTGCCACACACATCATCCATGTTGGAACCAGGAGCTCCAGAAAATCAAGGGCCGTATCTCCACCTCCAATCACCCCAGCAGCCAGCACAGAGCCTGACATAATGCCACGTGGCAGTGAATTCTTGCTGGACAGAACCAAACCAGCCTCTGTGGTTCACGGTGGACATAGGGCTTTGGCGGCCTGCCCACCCATTCACCCCACCCCAGGACACGGGCTGAGATCCAGAACAGTTCAAGACATGGGCCCAGCCCTGCTCTCGAAGAACTCCGGTGTCCATTCTTAGGAGCAGGTGGGTGATGGAAAGCAGTTCACGCCACAGGAGCCCAGAAGGAAGGGGTGGTTTAGGGGACCAAGGTGGGCTGCACAGACACACCGGCCGAGCCTTCAAGGGCAGGCTGGGTGGCCAGGCCGTGAACGGGAAGGGCATCCAGGCAGAGGGAGCAGCACGAGTAAGGCCTGGCTGTGTGAGCCTCCTCTGGCTAAGCACGTGGTCTGGTCTCCCCACCCTGGGATATGAGGCCACTCACTTCTCATGGCGCCCTCAGTGGGCAGAGCCGAAGAAGGTGCCAGTGCTGTGGAGCGCACGCCCACCTGGCTAAGCCCGCCAAGGTCACGTGCCCAGGACCCAGGCTGATGCCCCCCACAGCCCTTGCCCCAGCCTCAGGGTGGGCCCTCCCTGGGCCCCAGGTACCTCTCCAGGCTGGCTACCCACAAAGAGGTGGCAGAAGAGCTTGCTAGCCGGGCTCCGGGGGTTTCGGGCCATGAAGGCAAACTGGCAGTGGCTGGGGCACCAGGTGCAGTAGAGAATGCGCCTCAGGGCGTGCGCCATCAGGAGCACCTGCAGAGGCAGCAGGTGTGACCCACCCCTGCCCACCGCGGGCCCACACCTGCTCTCCCGCCTGGCCTGCGTGCCCAGCTGAGGACCATGTGGCTCCGAGGGCAACGAACACGTCCCTCCTCCCAGGCCCACCCACACTCCGCTTCAAACCAGAACCCTCAAACTTCACGTGGCCAGTAGGCTCGGGTCCCCTGTTCCCCACCTCAGACCTGCTCGGTGGGAGGCCCAGGCCCACATGCGGAAGTGAGAGGCAAAGGACTCGTGGCCTGCGGGGTCACAGAGCAGGCGGTGGTGGCAGCCTGGGACTGCACGCCTGGTCTCTGGAGCCAGGAGACCCCATCTGAATCCTCCTTGCTCTGCCACTCCCGCGGAGCCGGATGACTCGTGTCAAAGCAGCACCTTGGGGCTAGGTGGGGGTCAGTGAGACCTCACAGCCGTGGTGGGTACCTGACCCGGGGCCCGTGCTGCCCAGCTCTGGGTGCCCCTTCACACCAGGTTTAAAGGAGCAGCTCCTAGAGCTGCTCCTAGGGCACCATGTGGCACACAGTAGGTCTTCAACACATGGTGGCTTGCACCACGAGGACGATGGGCATCTCAGCGGGACTCCCCTGCCACACAGCCGGGGAGGCTGCACCCCCCAGTCTGCCAGAGGATCCTCACGGAGCCATGTGTTCCTGATGCACAGGCCAGGAGGCTGCTCAGGAAAAGAATTTGGAGGGCCTGGGCGGGTGGGGTGAGATTGCTGCCAGAGCTTGCCCTGGGGGGTCCTTGGAGAGGTAACATAGAAAGGCCCAGAGCAGTTTGGGAGCCAGGAAGACTCAAGGGCAGTGCAAGAGCTGAACAGAGGCCCAGGGGTCCAGAGGGAGAAGGTTGCCTGTCCTGGCCAGGCCTCACCCGCACCCACTGGCTCCTACCTCACCCTCCCCGCTGTAGATCTTGAGGCCCTGAAGGCTGAATTTCAGGATGACAGCCCGGCGCCGGGGACAGTCCTGGGTGGAGAGAGTTGGTGGGGCAGGCGTTACCTCCCAGGCCCTGCCCAGCCCAGCCTCAGTACCAGTCACTGGGCTGTCAGCCATCCCCCGCCACCTGCCCGGGACCACACCTGGACAAGGGGCCCCCAGCAGCCAGGGGAGTGTGGGTGACTCCTGGCTGACCATCCCCCAACCAGGGCCACAGGTGGCTGTGTTAAGGTCACCCCCTCATCTTGCACCAGTGGCTTCCACTGCCTGAGGGGTGGAGGTGCCAGTTCTAGCGGCCTGGCTATGGGCCTGCCCCTCTCTGCCCCTCACTTGCTCCACCCGTGTGATGGGGGGGCTGGAGTGGACCAGACTGTGATCCCCACCAAAGAAACACCTCCCCGGTCCCCAACCCCCTACCTTCAGTGCCCACAGCTGCTGCTGCACCAGCCACACACTCTCCTGCGTGTCCAGGTCATCCACGGGGAAGGAGCCCACGTACTGCTTGAGGAGGGGGGGCAGGAGGACAGAGACAGAAGAGTCAGGCCTGTGGTTCCTGGTCCCCGTGCTCCAAACACGCCCCACCCCAACACACACACACTCTGACAGAGCACTGGGGGCGGGTCTGGCCTCTGCTTCCCCAGCAGGTGACCCCAGGTCAAGCCACTCGGCCCCCAGGAGGCCCGTTGGGTCTTCTCTGCATGCACAGACCCCAGAGCTGCGTCTGGGCACCTCCCATCCCAGGGCCTGGCCCCAGTCACCGCCCCCAGGGCACCCCCGTAGGGCAGCCCCACCCACCTGGGCAAACTTGGTGATGCACCTGGGCCGGAGAGGGGCAGGGCCGCAGTCGGAGGCCCTCCGGGCCCCGGCCCCAGCCTTCTGCATGGCCCCGAGGGCCCAGCTCCCAGCCCCGAGGCGGCGGCTGCAGAGGGCGAGGGCGAGAGGTTGGCTGGGGCAGATGGGCCAGGTGCCCCCCCGCGGAGGCCGGTGAGCCTCTTCCTCCGGCCCAGCCCCACCGGGGCCCCGCTGTCGCCCGGGCCAGGCTCCGGGCACGCAGCCCTGAGCAAAATGGCAGATGCCCTCCTGCCCTCGCGGCGCCACGTCCTCCTGGGCAGCGCGGGGAGATGAGGTGCTGCCGAGGGGCCTACGGAGCAGGGAGCGTCGGGGAGCGCCGGAGGAAGGGGGGGCGCTCACCCCCTGGGCCAGCCGTGCCTCTGCCCTGGCTGGAGCGAGCGGGCACGGACGGGCAACCAGCCGGGGCACAGGGGCGGCGCAGCCCGGCAGTGGCCGCCTGAGAGTGGGGGTGCGACGGGGGCGAAAGCAGGGGGACCCCTGAGAGCCGACCCGGGGCCAGAGCCGGGCTGCGAGCCGCTCTCCACGCGTTTCGGCTCCGCCTGGTGGGCAGCGGGGGCCACGGCAGGGCCCAGGCAGGAGCCGTGACCCCCAGGGGCTGGGTGGCCAGAGCTGCCTCCCGCGTCCCGGGCCCCGCTGGCGCCGTGTGGGGAGGCAGGGAGGGAAGCCCGGCCCGCAGCCCGCCCAGCCTGGGTCTGGCCTCCTCCAGGCCCCGCTCCCAGACCCCCGAGAGGGGGAGAGGAAACCCCCCTCCCGAGACTGGCCCCAGGGCGGGGAGGACACGCGGCCCCCAAGCCCAGGAGCGCGGCTGGCGGGGAGGTGGCCTGAAGAAAGGCCCGCCGGCCCCCCCTGCGCCCCAAGACGGAGTCTTTCCCGGGGCCACGTAGACGCCGCCCACTCTCCGCACCCCGGCGGCGCTGTCCCCCGGGGCAGCTGGTCACGCTGCGCGTGGGGTCCCGAGCCCGCGCGGCTCTGGCCGTGCCTCCGGCCCTCTCTGCGCCTCCGCGTCCTCACCTCGGCTCCGGGGGGCCGCGAGCAGGTGAGGAGTCAAGAGTCAGGCGCAGGCACCCCGCGCGGGCCGTCAAGGACAGTCTCGGGATGCGGCCCAAAGCCGCCCCAGAGGGAGCGCCCGGCGCCCACCCACCCACCTCGGGGGTCCTTGGAGAAGGAGGGGGCTTTGGAATTGACACTCAGCTCCAGGAGCCCAGGAGGGGCCCCGCCCGCCTCTGCCCACCCCCGGCAGCCCCAGGCTCAGAGCGGGGCGGGGCGCCCCAGCAGCCTGCAGGAAGACCCCAGAAGGCGGTTCCCAGCCCTCCAGCCCCTGCGCCCCTCCTGCCTTTCCGGGCCCTCCTGCCCCGACCACTTCCCACGCCGGCCCGGTACACGCTGCACGGTCGGTGTGGCACCGAAGCCAGGCTGGGCGTGGAAGGGCGCAGGCGGCGGGCAGCCCCCTCCAGGGCGGACGCGGGGCGTCCAGGGCGCCCGCCTGTAACTTCACAATCACACCCGGGCTGGGCGCTCTGCGCCCTCCGGCAAAGGCCGGAGAACAAGCAGGTGAAAGGGAGAGAAGGGGACGGAGCAGAAGCAGCAGCGGCAGCGGGGAGAGGCGTGAGAAGACAGCGAAGAAGGGGGCCGCGCCCCTCCGGGCAGCCCTCAGCCCCAGGAGGGTTCCGTGGAAAGAGCCAGAGCTGCACTCTCAGGGGCGCAGACACTGAATGGCTCCCCCTCCAGATCCAGAGCTGCAGTTTTCTTGGGGGACTCCCCAGTGTCCAGGTGGGGGGCCCACAGACGGTCTTGCGGACACCCCTCCTGCCTCCGGACCTTCCCTAGGCCCAGGACACGGCCGCCCTCCCTCCCTCTCCGGCTGGAGCGACACGGTGCACGGCAGCCCCAGAGCTGAAGGTGCAGGGAGGGCAGCGCGCCCCCAACCCCGCGAACAGAGCTGCCCACCCAGCTGTGGCACAAACACCCACCTATCTCTGTGGACCTATTTTTCCAAGGGTTTGCCCAGGAGCTTGGCCGGGCCGGCACCTTCCTAAGGGGACGCATTCGGAGCGAGGCTGGGGCTCTGCGCTTGCCCCCCTGAGGGTGCCCAGGGGAATGGCTGGGCTGCTCTGTCTCAAGAGTCCAGGACAGAGGCCCCCGCGGCGCGGCGGGGCTACTCATACCTGAGCTGTGCCCGCCACCTGGGTGGCCACGGGGTCAGCAGACTCTGGGCTTAACAAAGGGTAGTTGGGGGGCGGGGGGTGACGGAGTGTCCCTTGTCCAGGGTCACGAAGCATAAAGAGGGGAGTCAAGTTGGGCCAAGAGTCTCTGGGGCGCTCCCCCTCGGCCACCACAGTGCCCTTCTGCTCACACAGCCCAAACAAACAGGGGACCCATGTTTGAAGTTCGGTGGATCGCCCCAACCCCGGGCAGCAGGGGGGAAGGAGGAGGCAGCCAGAACATTCAGGGGCTGGGGGCTGAGCCCTGAGCAGATCAGCTGCGCTCTCTGCCCGCCTGGCTCCCCCAGGATGGTGAGGGGCTGCCAGAGCCCCCCCACTCGCCTGCCTCACCCCCTACCTATAGCTCAGCTGCACAGAGGGCGCCGCCCCGCCCCCCAACACACACACCTGCCCCAGCAGGTGGGAGGAGGCTGAACCAAGCCCCCGAGGCGAGGTCGGGTGATGTGACCTTGGGCAAGTTGCCGACCCCGTCAGCCTCCTGTTCCCCCAACAGTAAAGGGGGGACACCAGCAGGGACCCCCCGCGGTTGTTCATTTATCCGCTTCTTCCAAGACTCTTTCCCAGCGCAGCTGCGCCCGACCACGACAGTCCCGGCCTCGAGCGGCCCCGGCCCGGATGGGGCTGCACAGGGAGCCAGCATTTCAGGGGGGCTTAAGTGATTTGGAGGAAAATACAACGGGGTGAGCAGGACGCGGGGGACGGGGTGACCCAGGAGCGGGCGGCCTCCCCGACAGACGCCGCGGGGAGGAAAGTGTTTCAGGACCGAGCGGGCCGAAGCCACCCCGGGCGCCCGCCGCGGGTGCCGAGCGCCCCGGGGCCGTCAGCCCCGCTTCCCTGCGGCCCCGGGGCGCGGCCCGGCCGGGGGGGGGCAGCCCCAGCCCCGCGCGCGGACCCTCCCCGGCGCCCGGGCGCGAGGCAGGACCCCGGGGAGACGCGGGGGGACACGGAGGTGCGCCGCCCCACGCCAGACGCCCCCGCCCATGCCCGCGCGCGGGGCCCGAACCCCGCTTCCACCCGCGCACCCCCGGCCCCGGCCCGGCTCCCCGCGCTCACTCACCGCGGCCGCCGAGTCCCGGGCGCCGCCGCCCAGCTCCGCGCGGCGACCCCGGCGCGGCCCCGCAGGTCTCGGCCACCCCCTCGCCCGCCCCGCCCCGCCCCGCGCCCCGCGCCCCCGCGCCCCCGCGCCCCCGCGCCCCGCGCGCCCCGCGCCCCCGCTCCGCACCTCGCGCCCCCGCCCCGCGCCCCCCCACGTGGCCGCGGGAACCAGCGCGCAGCACCTGGCCGCGGCGCCCGGCCCTCGCCCACCAATCGGCGCCCGCAGAGCGGCGCCACTCGGCGGGCCGCCCAATCAGCGGGCGCGAGGGCCCTTGGCCCCGCCCCCGCCCTCGCGCCCGGGGCTCCGCCTTGAGGCCGGGGGGGGGGGGGCGGCCCCTGCCGCGGACGGCGCTTCCCCGGGCGCGGGTGCCGGACGCCCCGGAACGGAGGCTCCGTCCCTGGAGAGCCCGGCCCCGGCCCCCGCGAGCGCCCAGCCGACCAGCGGGGCCGCCGCCGGCGCTTCCTCCGAGAAGCCCTCCCGGCCCGCCCGCGGCTCCCCGCGGAGCCCGCGCAGCCGCCCGTCCCTCCAGCCCCGCCGTGCGCGCCGGGCCCGGCCGGGAGTGAGCGCCCGGCGGTGGCGAGGCGAGGGCGGCGCGCCCTCCGCTGCCCTGCGGTCGCCCTGGGAGCCTGCCCAGCCAGGGCCGGCGCCGGGAGGCCGCCGCGGAGGCTGCCGGCCGTGCCCTTCGGTCACGCTGCCCGCGCGGGGGGCGCCGGGGGGCGCCGTCCAGCCGCCGGCACAGCCCTGAGCTGGACGCACCTCTGTCCCCACCGGGGCAGCGCCCTGCAGGCGTCAGCATCAAACAGCAAGGGGAGGCTCCGAACCCTCTGGTGTGTATCAGACTTGAAATCTGCAGAGAAGAAACATCAGAAAAATTGCCAGTGGTGGGCAACACCTCCGAAAACCGGGGCGGGGAGGGGGTCAGCGCGAGTGGGGGAGCAGGCTGCACCGTTGGCATCCACCAGAGGTGGGCACGGGTGAGGCAGCCCTGAGCTGGGGGCCTTGGTGGGGGCCTCCCAGGAGGTGGGTTGGAAGCTCTGGCCTGCTGGGCACTCGTGCCTCCTGTCTCCCTGGGCGCCCGGGGGCCTGTCCAGAGGCAGCAGAAATGTAACGGTTAGAGGCTGTGCCCCAAATATGGGCACTTCCCCTTGTAGATGTGGCACCTTGGGCAAACAGGATAATCACTTTTAATCCTTGAGTGGAGCACCTGTTACTAACACCTGACTCACAGGGGCGGGGGATGGTGATGAGTTGCTGTGGGCTTAGTGCTGAGCGCAGTGCATGACCCCACCGTGAGTGAAGTGCCGGGCAAATACCAGCTGGGGCTAGACTCTGCATTCCTGGGTTTCCTTGGAATTGAATTGAATGGCAAGTGTTTACTGGAACCTTCCACGAGGCCACATGAAAACCTTGAGTCCAGTGATGAGGAGGATCACAATGGTTTACAAGTTGCTCCTGCTTTCCAAAAATCCAATATATGAAACTCAGGGTACGCAGAGGATAAAGAGTCGATTATTACTAGCTTTCTAAGAGGGCACATACTTTTTTTTGTTTTCTTTCTTTTATGTCATATATTTTTTACATCTTTCTTCATTTTTGTACAATGTATGCTTTCTCATCTCAGTTATAGCCCCCATGCGATTCCCACCACCCAGTCACCCTAGTCCCTTGTGCTCTTCCCACCCGTTTTGATACTGCTCCCCTCACCCCTATCC